TATAAACAGTTTTAAATGTTTTGTCCAACTTTTAGAGATGTTCCATAAAGCTTATGAATGTGATGTCATCACGTGAACTCACAGAGACGTGCCAAGAGAAAAATGGCAGCTTACGCACCAGCTGACTTGGTGTCTAAAAAGATCACAACTTCTGCAGTTTGAGAGTATTTTGGGTTTGAAGTAAACTTAAAAGGAGAGCCGGTAAACACTGATGAGGGAATTTGTGCAAACAAAAGATGCATGGCAACATTAACTTTAGGTATCTACAAATGGAGATGTTAAACTGTAAGCACTTATCAATAAGCTTACTAAAAGGCAAAGTCACTAATTAGCATTTAGCTGAAAATCAGACAGAAAACGTGTCTCCATGAAGAATCAGTCCCAGCTGGTTTGGATGCAACTAAATCCTTCTGTAACAGGTTCTATTAAATTAAACGATAACTTGCCAAAACAGACAAACATTTTACCTAGACAATAACTTTCTGTACCCTACAGCATCAACAACACGGTTCTTGTCATCAGGTGCACTACAGGGCTGCCTCAAAGAGATGCAGGTCACTGCTGCAGAAGCAACATTATGTCCTCTAGCATCCAGTTTCAGGTCCATCACTTTTATTTGTGACTGCAACACACCGTGTGATGAGGTGTTGTGTGTGTTGTCACTGGTAGAAAAATCAGGTAATAATAGAGGTGGCATAGTGTTAATACAGGGATAACATTTCTAATTCAATTACTTCTTCTGAGGGCAGTGTGTATGGAACAGTGCTATACTCAGGTTACAGGTAATGTGACTGTGTGTGTGTGTGTGTGTGTGTGTGTGTGTGTGTGTGTGTGTGTGTGTGTGTTGTGCTGGGGCTCATTATTATACACCAGCATGTGTCACTTTTAGTGATTCATGCCATGACATCATCTGCCATTACAACCAGACTGTCTGGGGAACCACAGGGCAGAGATCAATTGAGAGAAAACAGGCTTGTGTGCACTCCTCTGCACGCACGCACACACACACACACACACACACACACACACACACACACACACACACACACACACACACACACACACACGATGCAAAAGCAAAAAAATTATTGTGGACAACTGTAAATAGACCACCCCACATTACAAGTACATATGTGCAAGCTTCTGAAATTAAGCTCTCCCTACCTGTGTTCAGCTCATGGTCACTAGCAGATAACACATGACCTCTCCATGACCCCACTCTGAACTGACCCAGTGACCCCTGGCTGCCACCGCCCACTCATCCTTCATCTGAATCTTTTCTGAGGAAAAGCTGTTGGTTGAATATAAATGTAATAAAAGAGTAGAAAGCTAAAGCAACGTTTTAGTCAGCCTAAGCTTTGGTGTAGAAACGGCCCTGGGTCTGGAACACAACCTGCTCCTAACATCAAAACACAAACGCTCATTCAGGAGATAAAGCAACTCGCCAGTGCAGGACATTATAGAGGAATGTGGAATTAGTCACCAACTCTATTGCACGTTTAATTTTCTTCCCCGTTTCTAAAGTGAAAGAAACTCCAGATTTCTGCTTTAAGATGTCTTCACTCAACGTTTGTCCTTAAAGATCACCGTAATCCTGACTACATATGTAAATGAATAAACTCCACTGTTTAGGGGAAAAAAACAAACACAGGAAAGGCTTGCCTTACGACCATTTAAGTTGATATTCGTAATATTTCTCCTAGTTTTATTTAAGAAAAAATGTGGACACCCAGTGAAAGATGAGAGGGTGATAATAAAACAAAGCTGAGGCTTTCTGAGGAAACAGAAAATATGTATTAGATGACTGGTCTTTAATTTCATTTGTGTTTTCTGCTGCCACTTCCTGCTTTGTTGCTTTAATAAACAAGAAGCATTTAACAACTCTTATTTGTCGGCACTTGTGGTGTGGTGGGTATAGACAGGGTTTAAGAGCGTGCATAGTAACGGATCAGCTGTGAGAGCACCATTTAAAACTGGTGAACTTGTTCTTGGCTAAGCGAAAGCAGCTAATCATACCCGACTAAACTAAAGCTAGCTGAGCTTTGCGCTGAAGCGCAGTTACTCCAACAGAAAAAGTCTCAAAGCAGACAGTGATAAATTTAATCTAATCTGTCATTCAAACAAACAAACCCTGTAAACTCAACAGCCCTGCATTTCTCCAACATCACTCCTGGTCCTTCCTTTTCACACCGTTAGCGGTAAAATTACATGCATGTGTCGTTCTGGCCTTGAAACCAAACACAGAGCTCAGGAGAAGCCAAGACACACAGACATACCCTGGTGGTCCAAACAACACAAAGAGCTACATGAGCTGAGGCTTTCAATAAAAATGTTTATACTGATGACAGGAAATAAAGTGATTTTAGCAAAGCTCAAAGGCACAGTCAGTGACTACGTTTACATGCAGCCAATATCCGGGTTATGATCGGGTTAAGGTCGGTATTCGGGTTTCTGAGTTGATCAGAATAACCCGTTTACAAGCATAAATAGAAAGAGTTACCCCTAACTTGCATAACCAGATTTAAATGTGGACGTTGGGGTAGCGTCAGGACGTATGGACTACGTCAAGATGCAATATGCCTCATTTCCGGTTCTTCTTGTTCCAGTATCCGTGAAAACAACACGTTTCCCAGTTCGGAAGAGATAGCGACCGCGTTTGTTTGCGCTTTAGTTTCCTCGTCACTCCAAAAGTGTGGTGCTGTGCCGCAACTCGCCATGTTGCTCCCAACTTGTTGTTTACTTCCGGTGTTCTGGCGCATACAAGATGTCTCACTACTCAAAAGACCAAGATTCCTTGCGAACAGAGCATGCGCAGAACACACGCTTTGATGGGGATATCCCGATATGCGTTTACACGACCAAACATTCGGGTTAGAAAAGGGTTACCCCAGGTGTAGTGACCGGGTTTTTAAAAACCCGATTATGAGCATATCCGGGTTTTTGGCGGCGTTTACATGGACCTGCGGAACCGGGTTATTGTGAATATTCGGGTTTTAAAAGGATTACTGGCTGCATGTAAACGCACTCACTTCAGCTGAAAATGTTTCACAGTGTGTCTTACTAAAAAGTGTGTACAGGGTTTATTATCAAATGACTTCCCCAGATGAGTAATTAAAATGTGAAAGAGATTAACAAATAAACAAACCCACAAACCCACAACTCCTTAAATTTAAATGATAAAGCTAGAATGAAATATTTAGGCAAATGTTTTTTATAGCAGACTTCAAATATTAATTTCTGTCTGATCTTGATTAGAAAAAAAAAGAAAAAAAAAGGTCAGGCCTTATTCAATCATAGCCGTTTATACGGACTTTATTTTTAATAATTAGGCGTTTCACCCAGAAATCAAACAGCGCCTGAGCATCTTTAAATGATTCTCTTGTCTTATCAACACCCTAGAAATCTCTGTCAGGGATGAAGTCATGCGTGACTAGTAAACACCCCCAGTCCCACGTTGACAGCTGTGAAATACAACGAGTCACAGTCTGTCAAACCCAAAACAAACTTGCTTACGTCAGTCTCTGGCTGACTTTCCCTCCGGCTGTTTCGTAGCAAGTTGAGACTATGACAACGGTACTAAAACCCTCAATCTGGCTTTTTGGTTTCACCTGACTCATCATACCACTCCTGATGTAATATCCACAACTGAATATGTAAGACTTATTTGTGAATGCAAGGACAAAGCAAAATAAATAATTAAATCAAAGGCTGACTAATTTGTTATCCTCAGTTAAAAGAATGATCAAAAGTGTTACTTACATAATTTAAGAACAAAGTAGATTAAAGTTTCCTTTGTTTTAGGAGCAAAAATATTTTCAAATGGTCTTTACCAGAAAACGATTCAGAGCTGAAAAGTTTCTACTAGACTGGCTATAGAGATGCATTTTATGGTCAGCTACAGTACTGTCTCTTAAAACCAACAAACACTAAATCCATTCACAGTTTCAATGTTTGATGTAGTCATAAGACGAGTTTCCATTTGGAATTGATTGAGAGAAGTGGAAATAGTGAACAAACATAATATTAGCATTAGCAATTACTTTTGTGATATTTCAAAACACCTGCACAAAAACAACATGCAACACTGTGACTGACTGATATTTCATCCACTTTTGCCACACTATTGCAACATTAATTTTCTTTTTCTCTCTTTGAACAACACCTCAGCTTCCTTTTAGTGCATCTCTCCATCGCTGGCACCAGCTGTATCTGAACACCAAAGGAGAAAACTTAAAATAAATGTTGTGATGGCAGGGACAAGTAAAGATAATGCAAGGAAATCTATAGGAGGGGATGGCTGAAAAGAAACAGTTAAGTCGTGATGACCAAGGGTATGATATTTATTTTCTTGAAAGGGTCACAAGAGTTTATGTAAATTAATGCACATACCTACGGAGAAGAGATAAACAATGGACTGATATGCAACATTAACCATCACCAAACTGCCAGTGCAATGCCAACCACATCTTCACCAGGAAATCAGAGAGAAAGTGTCTGGAAGCAACAATTAACCCATAAAAGTTGTTTCCCAGCAGACAGCTTCGCTGGTATTTAATCTGCACAGAGCACGTTATTAGCACATCATATAACTGGGAAACACAGCTTAGTTATGAAGTTACTGTAAGGACTTGGCAATAGTGAACAACTTCTTCAAAATGACAATAGGAAATGTAGGAAATGTTTCTAAAGGGAACTTGGGCAACAGATTCGGTGACTTAACTCACACTAAACTTCAGATTTACAGATGATGAGAAAAGCAACTTCAGTTTGCAACGATCATTAAAAGATTTCCCCTTTTTGGATCAGCAAAAGAAAGTAAACGATTTGGCTGCATCTCTATAATGAAAACATTTCTGATATGACATATGAAACCTGTCATCAAAGCTGCCTTACAAATGAAGCAAGGCACTCTGACCCTAAACCTGGTGGAAGTCTGCGAGGGAAAGATGTTTTGAAATCCCCTGAAGGAGCTCTGAGAAGGGTGTAGAGTGTAGTTGTACCTTTCGTAGAGCTTGCACGAAGAGGCCTTTCCATTTGTTACTGTTGTTGTCAAACGACAGGTCGTAGATTTGCTGGGGCTGCATTGCTTCAGCGGCTCCTGGCGTTGCCGTGATCCGGGCTGAACCGTCAGCATCGGCCCCGGATAGATAGTACTTATGGGTGGGTCAGTCCGTAGCAGCAGGCACGGTGGTAAAGTTTCACTGGTTTGTTTATAAATACCAAGGGTAAAGCCAAACAACACTGTAGGTCCAAAGTCAAGTCGCGTTTAACAACGAAAAATTAGCTAAAACAGAAAACAAGCACATGTAGCAATAAAGTTAACTCGCTAGCTTGATGGCTAACTCGGCTAGCCTGCTGCCGAGCCTGCTGTAAACACGGACCAGCAGCTAACTAAAAAGCTAACGGCTAATAACTATATTAGTCAGTATTAGACTTGTAACTTTTACTACAAAGGAAAAGCAGGCACGTTTGGGACAGTGTTACGTCAATAAATATAACCCTAACTTGTTGACAGTAATCTACAGCTACAACTTTTATGTGTTTTGCTATCAAAACACCTGTAACCTAAGTAAGCTAGCCGACCAGCTAACTACAGCTACAGGCTGCTGCTGGCCTTGGTGCGCTCCGAATTCTACGTTGCGGCACACGACCCGTTCAGCTCCAAAGAAGGCACACTTTTCCCTTCGCTGCTCGCTTTACACTTTGTCATCTTCTCCGCAGCCACCAGATGCTAAATCCGAAACACAATCCTCCCAAACAGTGAGCAGTCCCAAGGCATTTCGGTGGGCAGAGCAGCTTAAGTGTTTTTCGTTTGAGAAGTCGAAGATGTTCGCACCAACTCTGCTGCTTGTCTGCTGCGCGTACTGGTGAGTGCGCGCGCACGCTGCGTAAATTTACGTTTAACGGGACAGAAAACTCACAAGCACACACACGTTTAGGCTCGTCTCATTGTAAACTAAAACGGGTACATAAAATACTAGTGAATTAAAATACATTAATGTTTGAACGGTTTCTGAGACGGGTGGGGCATATTAAACATTTACAAAAAATATCCACAGACGTGTTGTAATAATTTTATTACTATTAGAAACACTGACCAACTGGTTGTGATATTAACATGTAACAAAAGACAGATTTTGTGCATTTACCAACCATAAAAGCGTTTATTTGTGATTCTGCCCTCTGGTGGACAAACAGAATATCTGCTCGTTCCACGAATTCACAGTAAGCTTTGATTTTCATCTTAATCACATTTATTTAAACGTTTAGAGGCAAGAACGTCTCAAAATGCAGACACGTGTGCTATTTGAAAAATAAATATCTATGAAAAATACCCAAGCATTCATTTAACAATAAGAGTTATACCACAACAGAGGAAGATTTAAAATGTTCAAAATAGAATCAAATTACAGCAGTTCTGAGTGACAACAAAAGAAAAAAGCTTTAAAAACTTTTGAAATAGTTCAATTTAGTCTTTTTTTAAGGAAACTACAATCTCAACAATCTAAATAAGATATTTCAAATTTAAAACAAATTCACATTCCATTAAATAAACAAATAACAACCAATGCCTTATTTGATTTTAACAATTTCTGCTAAAAGAATCTTATGAGCTTTATTTTTAGTAAGAAATGTAGTCCAAAAAATAAATAAGGTTTTTTCAGTGATGTGAGGGAGTAAACATGGTATGGCACTTAAGTGAGAGCAGTCTTTAAGGCCAGTCTGAGATTGGAGGCTTCTTTCTCCTCCCTGATCTTCTGTCTCTACAGTGTGAAGCGGTTCTCCACCTCATCTGCAATCATTTCAGCGATGGCGAGGGAGGAGGTGGCCGCTGGCGAAGGAGCGTTACGCACGTGGAGCACCCGGCTTCCGACATCTCCAACTCCTCCATCAAACACAAAGTCATCTACAAGGTTTCCGTCACGGTCCAGGGCCTGAGCTCGAACTCCCGTGGGACCCCTAAACAGAAAAAAAAAACATATTACTAAATATCATCCAGTGACACTTATAAAGAATAAAAAAACTTGTAACTGAACATGACATAATACCTGAGAACATCCTTTAGGGACATCTCAGGGATGTACTTTTGCAGAATTTTAACTTGTGCACCAATAAATACTCCTCTATACATTTCTCCTACACCATAAGTTACATTCCTCAGGATCAGCTTCTGGAGGCCTCTGCAGAGTAAACAAACAACCTCTGATCACCAACGCTACTAAAATTGCAGCACTGTATTTGTAATCGTCGTGATAACAAACCTGTAGGACAGCGCATCGGCGAAGTCCTGTGGGTTGAAGTCGTACATCTTGTAACCCTCTCTTTTGAAGGCGAGGACCGCATTGGGGCCGAGCCAAACATTTCCATCCATCCTGGGGGTGAAATGAACCCCGAGGAACGGGAAGCGAGGGTCGGGAACCTATTCCAGGATTTACAGAACCCATTTCCAGTTTAGTGCTTATGTCACTGACAGGTGAACAACATGGAGAAAACATGAACTAAATGCTTTGTAGTCCCACCTGAGATGACCTACAGAGATGTTTTAATTCAACAGCAGTCTGAGTAATTAAAATACAGCTTTAAAGCAGGAATATCTGGACATGAAACTGGTTTACTCATCAGACTTCTGTGAAGTTTTTAACCCAGAAAACATCAGAAGATACTCCCTCTTCCACCAGAACCAGGCGTGTTCCACAAAGCTGAAGTTGGCTTCTGATTTGGTAAATGACTAAAGGGCGATTCCACCTCCGTTTTTACTAACCTGGACATTTTTAACCTTTACTTTGCATTTTATTCAGTTACTGGAAAACATCTCATTTGCTTTCCTGTAACATATGTCATATTTTCAAACTCTGCTATTCCTACTCGGAGCTATCACCTGTGTGCCGACACCACAAACACACACATACACACACACACACACACACCTACAAAAAGGCTTACTTTTAAAAGGGTTTTGCTGCCTTTATTCATTATTAGATTAGCAGGAACAGAAAAATAAGAATTGCCAGAAGAAAGAGCAGCATCATAATATTTATGCACAAATGGAGGATTTGTCAATCTCTGACAAAAGCTGTTTAATGAAAGTTTAGAAGTTTGAAGAAGTAGCTGAATTTTTTTAAGACCCCTAACCCACAGACAAAGAAACATTTAGCCTGTTCAATGGGGTTTTGTTCATTGATTAAAAATGTTCAAGGTAGTGAAAAATTTGGTGGATTTGCCCTTTAAGATTGTTACTTTAAGAAAACAAGCTGGAGCTGGCCACGCCCACCCACCTCCTCTCAGGCTACTATAAGCTGAGAAGCTCCGATATCTGGGAGGGGCTCGGAGAACAGCTACTACACCTCCAGCAGTAGTCGTTCTCCCAGAGGAAAGAGGTGATTCTATTCTACTTTCCCTGATTGTGATGTCACAAAAAGGGGCTTTTTGAAACTGCTTGTTTTAAGAACGTAATTACCAAAACCAAAAAATGACAGAACAAGGATGGACAGGTTTTTTCATGTTTGGAGTGTTTACAGAGTCAATAGAGACCCACATGGCAGCACAACAATCTGCACAAGATGAGTTTTGCATAATATGTCCCCTTTAAATCCATCAAAGCATCAAATATGCAGAAAGCAGAGGTTACAGTTTGTTCTGCTCAAACCTCAGAAAACTTACAGGGTAGATGTTTCCTTTAACCAGATAGCGTTTCTCTGGCTTCAGGACCAAATAATCTCCTCTGAAGGGGACAATCCTTGGTTCCCGACTGCATCCAGATATCTGTGACAGGCGGTCTGAATACAGCCCCCCACAGGTCAGGACGTAACGGCACCGCACTTCGTTACCCTGTTAAAATGATACTGTGTAAAAACAGGTAATAAAAGAACGCAATTTAAAAGTTATGATTGTTTCTTACCTTTTTATCTCTGACTGTGATGGGATATTTCATCCCTGTAAAGAACAAAACAGCAAAAAATGAAAGAGCAGGCTAGAGTAAATAGACTTGGTTTTTTGCTAAATAAAGAACAAGGTGACATTTTTAAGCAGTTTCTTACCTTCGGAGCACCCGGCTGGGCTCTCTTTGACTGTAGAAATGTCACTGACCTCATACTGAGTTACTACTGTGCCACCTGCCTCCTTAAAATCAGCGCTGTACTTGAGAGCAACCATCCTCCAGTCTACGATGCCAGTGTAGGGCGAATCCAAGGCCATTATCCCCTAAAGAGATGACACGATATCAGCCTCTCCTGACACGCCGTCTTCTGTTCAAACAGAACACAAAGTGTGTTTTACCCTGCAGTAAGGCTCTCGCTCCCGGATCCCCTTGGCGTCGACGATGTGGAGGTCACGTACATTGTTCTTCATGCCACGCTCGTACAGAGCTCTCAGTCTGGGAATCTCTTCCTGCTCCACGGCGACAATTAGCTGTGAGCGACGAGTTCAAGAGACAGCAGGAAGGTGATTTAGAGTGGCTTTATTCTACTACTGATGCATAATCAGTCACTTATGTTTGTGGTCACAAGAAGTCTCACAAACACAAATCTAGCAGATGTTTTCACATGGCTGGATCTGGGTTTCATCCAGTTGGTCAGCTGAATGCTAACCTGATGCAAACACAGGGTAAAATTAATCATATCTGGTTAAAGTGCTAAAGCAGACCTTCCCACATCTTTTATAGGGAATTCCCTTCTTTTCACAATACTCGTAGGCTAATGTTGCTCCCCGTACGCACAGCCGGGCCTTCAGCGAGCCTGGCGTGTAGTAGATCCCACTGTGGATGACTCCGCTGTTGTGCCCACTCTGGTGTACAGCTGAGTAGATGCAGAAATAGTTGAAAATCTGCATTAAGACTTCAGATAGTGTGTTTGATTTGATTTTCAATTATCGAAGATAAAAAAGCTCTCAGAAACAAAACATTTTGCTGAGAACCTTCTAAACTCACCAAGTTCTTTCTCTTTCTCCAGCAGGACAAAGCTGAGCGAAGGGTGTCGACGGATCAGCTCCCTGGCTGAAGCCAGGCCCACGATGCCAGCTCCGACGATGGCCACATCACAAGAGCTGAAACAGAGCTCAGAATTAAAGAGGCCACTTTAAATGAGTCCCTCTGCGTCGGAGAAGGCAGAACACGGATCCGTGTGTAACTGGGCAAGGCTTAATAGGAAAAAGACCTTTGACACTTAACCAAAGGCGAAACCTACCACAACACAAACGTGGAAGTCAATCTGCAACTACAAAGTAACCTGAACGTAAATCCTTTACATCTTATTGTTTCCTAACTTCTGCATCTAGAGAGAGCTTGACCACAAAGGTCAAGGCTTGACCAACACATCCTCTGCCCTGGTCAGACCCAGAGCCTACCTGTGATGCATCACAGTGGTTAAACAATGACAACACCATAAATGTTTCATTTAGAGCTTCTATTTTAATATTTGTGCTCAGTCTAAAACCCATCAGAAGACCAGTTTGAAACATTTAATCTACCTTCTAATCTATATGACCCTGGATCTTTGACTGGTCCGGCTTCAGTGGATCAGTTATTTATTAATTTGCGCTTATAGGTTTTTGCTTTCCAGAAGCAAATCCGAACAAGGAAAATTAACTTTTACACAGAAAACACAAACAGAAAAGTTTGCGTGCATGTTTAAAGCCTCTCCGTTTCTTTGCAGCGCATACAAGGTTAAGTGTGAGCTTGTTGAGTATGAACATTATTAATAAACCAAATAAAAGGCCAAACTCTGCAGCAAAGGTAAACAACAGCACCTGTGTTGGAGCTGACGGGTTGCAACCCCCTTCAGCAGCTTCGAGTGCGCAGAACAAACGGCTCCGCTCAGAATTCGGTTCATTTTCACTCTGTGTAAAAACAATAATAAAACACCTCACAGTTGTTTCTTCATGTTAAAAATGTCCGACCGACTTTCTGAGGCTCGAGTCGCTTTCCTTCTTGTGTTGTCAGCTGCGCATCCCGCTGATGTAGCCACAACTCCTCAGTTTGTAACAACGCTGACGCAGTTACGTTTAGCCAATGGATGACCACGTTTCGATCAAATGGCGAGGTTAAAGGTCAAAGTAATGGCGGCGGTCAAAACATAAACATTATTCTGTCCTGTTTGGTAAGAGACAAGTTAAACGTTTCATTGCATCTTTTTTTAGCCGTAGTTTGTCATTGGTATTAAATGACCTAATTTTGTCTAAATGTGTTTGTTTACCTCGCAGAGAAATGGGTCTGTTATCGCGGACAGTGGTGAGACCGTGGGAGTGGAGCCAGAGACACTTCTGGGGGTGGCTCAATGCTGTTTTCAACAAGTGAGACATCTTCCGGTGTTTCTACAGCTGTGCACAGACAGGCAGATCCAGGGTCAGATTCAAGCCGTGTAACTTATTAACGTCAATATTTATCCATTCATTCAAGTTTTAAAGCTCCAGTGTGATATTTTTACCAGTCTACTATCAAATCTTGTGTTTCTAGTTCACAAACTTGTCCTTTTTCACTAATATTTCTCACCAACATCAGTTCTAAATATTCCTTTCAACTTGAACTTATAAATTTTTAAATACATAAACTGTGGTCGATGCTCCATGGTCATCCACCATCTTAAAATAAAGTAGCTGTTTAGTGACATACAAGCTCCACGTTACCTGTTTGGACTGTGACTGTAACCTGAAAGAACCAGCAGAGGGCAGCAATGTGCCCTGGAAGCATGGAGTCTGCTAATTCAGCTAAGAAATAGAAAAGAATAGCTACACCGTTGCTGTACTTGTTAGTTTGAATAAAAAACAATTAAATCAAAAGACACATAAAATTTGTCAGTTCGTCATCATGCACACACAAGGAAGTTGTTCAGACCCCCGCCCGCTATTGTCTCTTGACTCCCAAACTCACCTCAAGTTGTTCACTTGTCTTAGTACCAGAACACCCAAACCGGTCCCAATGTGTCTGTTCCAAAGTCCTTCTACTCAAGTGTCCTCTCTTCCCGCAGCCTGCCGTCTCTCCCAACACGCTCCAGCGCTCGTCCGCTAGCCAGTGGCTAAATCAGCGTTGTTTACTTTATCTCCACAACACTACTAACAGCGATGTAGTTCTCCACCTGTTGCAGAAACACTCCGACACAGAGAGGTTCTTCTCAAACGTTACCTTTAGACTTGGGTCTCCTTTTGCTGGTTATCCATGGAGTTTACACACAGCGTGTCCCCGGCTCTAGCTGTGGCTAACTAGTAGCTCATGACGCCCATCTCCACCACGCCAGCCGTAAGCCACGATTAGCTGGTGGTTAAGTCAACATTGTTTACTTGATGTCCACAGCGTGTCCCTGGCTCACCAACCCTCCTGAGCCAGCCGTGGCTAACGAGCAGCCAGTGATTGCACCATAGATTGCAGTGGCAGCCAGTATGTTTACATGGAGGCACCATGATCCACGTGAAACGGGTGTTGTGGGAAATTATGTTCCCCTGAAATATTCTGTTTCCATTAGGCAGTCAAGAGCAAAATTTTCCAAATTAACAGAACTTATTGTCTATTATGAGGACTAAACAACCTCAAACAAAAGATGGTTAAACTGAGTAGATTACATCCTTTTACATAACTTTCAAAAATGATAAATAAGCTTGCTGCAAAAGGGTAAACAAGAATGTTTTTACTGTATCTTTTTTATTGTTTTTAGGAGGAAATATAGATAAAAAAATCACAAACATTACATCATTACATTACATTACATTATTTTCCCGTAAAATTTTATCACAAATGTTGTGAAAATAGCCAGAAGCGTGATTTACCGACACAGGGGACAGAATATTTCAGGGGACACAATTTCTCACAACACCTGACCTCCTGGCTTACGTCACTCCTCCGTGTGTGAATCGTGACCGCTTCAAGATCTAACAGAACTAGCTTGCTAGCTTCAGAACTGGTAGGTTGATAAACAGTCAAAATGATAAATGCTTTTTTCAAGAGGTCGAGCAGCTTGTTTTAAGCTTCGTGTGGGTTAGGCTAGACAGGTTAGACATTGATTATACGGTCAAACTCATGAGTGAGCCACCGTAGCTGCAATACTTTCTCGGAACTGCGTGGCGCTAAAGAGTCACATTTTTTCATCATGATTTTCACACAAAGGGCCTTTAACTTGTTGTTGTTGCTCAAATATTTTTAGTTTGAGGCTTTCCGCATGTGAAAAGAACACGGTGGCATCACAACTTGTTTTCTTCATATTTCGCTTCAAACGGGGTTTATACGTGTTTTTAACTGAAGTGGCCTTGAGCAAAATATGTCATCTAGTGTTTTTTTCTTCAGTCGAGGACACCTATTATATCCATAACCATCTAAATAGGTCTGTCCATCAGTCCATCCATTATTTAACCAGGAGAGACTCATGAGACTTTTTTTTACAAGACTGCTCTGAACAATAATAAAACAATTCAAACAAGAGATGAAACAACAAAGCATTGAACATCATGCAAATCATAAGATTGAAGATTAAGATTAAAGTCCCACAGTTGTCACACACACTGGTGTGAAAATTGTCCTTCACATTTGACCCATAAGTAGGTTCAATGGGGATGATTGTTTGTCACTTGCTTTTGAGATGACTTGTTGTGAATTGGTGCTACACAAATAACTGAATTGAACTGAATAGTAGCAGCTTTGGTCAGAACTCAATATAATGTTATTTTTTGACAATGTATTACAGTGAGATCCAAACATGTCTGTGTCACTCTTTCTTTGGTTAATACTAGTTTTCCTTATGCAGGTGAAGGGCCCGTGCGCAGCAAGTTACACAGCCCTGCTTCTTCTTTCTTTCTTTTTTAATTATAAGTAATAATATCTGCAGCTTTTTAGTTACATCTATTTAAAAAGTCATAGATTAAAGTTATAAAGGTATTTAATACCATTTTTGCACTGCCACTAAGGTAACAAAGAGCTAATAACTGAAGACTTTGTTTTTAAAGATGGATCTCAGGTCTTTTGAAATGAAAATAAACAGAACTGTGTTGATGGGCCGTTGCCTTTTCTAATTCAGCTTTTACCTCTTATTTCCATTTCAAACATCACCGGTCGTATTTCATTCCCTATCCGACTTCTACTGCTTCTCCTCATACAGGGTGGATCATGAGAGGATCAAAGCTGTCGGTCCGGACCGAGCTGCAGCAGAGTGGCTGCTGAGGTGTGGTGCCAAAGTGAGGTTTGAAGGTTTTGAACGCTGGCATCATGACTACAACGGACTGCCAACGGGGCCTCTTGGCAGATACAAGATCCAGGCTATTGATGCCACCGAATCGTGCATCATGTACCGGGGCTTCGACTACCTGGGTCAGTGATACAGTCCTGAAAATATTCTGTTCTCGCTTCTCTACTCACTAGGATGTCGTGCACATTTTGTGTCTGTAAAGTTTACTTAGTAAAAAATCACACCAGATTAAGTAATATTTGAAAATATTATTTTCTGTACAGTTTGGTCTACAAACATGTTATTTGTTGCTCTTTTGTATTTTTCAAGATTAAATGTGTTTTCATTCAATTTGAACATATTTTTTACCTATTTGTACATTGAGATCAGTCAAGAACAAAACATTAAGGATGAAAGGGATGTACGAAATATGAAAAAATAAGTTTTTTGTTTTTTAATTGCAAATGAGCACTGTTTGCATGAAACGCTGCGTGGATGTACCGGGATCCTCCACAGAGTCCACTCAAGAGTTTGCTGTAATTTAAAAAAGAAAAACAATGCAAGTGTTAGACTAGGACTCCTAAACGACTCAGTGTCGTCGTTATAGTATAAAATCAGGGATTTGGTATATTTCTGAATAAGCTTGACTGTTAGCTGCTGGTCTGAAAGAGGTTCTGCCAACACAATAAACACCAAGGGAGGCTTGAAAACAGACTTTGGTGTGAAGAAAATCACTGATTCTATTAAGTAAGTGCTGCTGTTATTCTATCCATAGATGGATTAAAGCATGTGGAAGAAATTAAACTCAAAAAGTGCATCTACATTGAGGACACATGCTTGGAGAGACTGAGCTCAGTGGAAAACCTCCAGCAGAGCCTGTACATGATGGAGGTGGTCTCCTGTGGGAACGTGACTGATAAGGGCCTCATCGCCCTGCACAAGCTCAGGTGTGTTTTATTAACCTTTCATTCACGTCTTTGGTAAATCAAAGAGGTCACATGAGTCGTGTAGTAATGAGATCTCACACTCCCCACCCCCCAGGAACCTGGAGTACCTGTTTCTCTCTGATCTTCCTGGAGTCAAAGACAAGCAGGTGACTGTTGACAGACTGCAGACGGCTCTTCCACGTCTGGACATAACGCTGGATCTGGACTGACCGTGGAGAAGATTCCTGCTCTTACGTGTGCATTTTAGTCCTCAAACTCATCCGACTCTCACAGTTCTGGACAACCCACAACATGAACTGATTTTCAGAATAAAAGCATTAGGCTGGAAAAGCAGCCAGGACATTTTCCTTTAAAGAAACAGCACTACTCATTAATGCTGACGCCAGATCTCTTTGACATTTTCTCTTTTATTTAAAGTTATTCCATAATGAGCGTACATAGAACCGTGTGTGAAAATGTTTAGGACTTAAATCTTTTCTTATTTATATAAGTTTGGCAATTTTTTGAAGGCCAACAGAAGTTTGAGGACATCCTTTGCACCAAAGTTCCAGATTCAGACAACATGTGATTATTATTATTACTGCTGACAAACGCGAGTAACGGTGGGTGAAATGAGTGGAATAATGCAGTCATATCAATAAATATTATTTTCAAAAATGCTCATGAGCCGTTAAAAGTTTGTATCCTACATAATTTAACAAAACATTAAAGTTTCTACTAAAAACATGTCACCTTAACAGAGTCTATCGTTATATAAAAACACATTTGGCAAACCAGGCAAGGCAGTAAGTGTTACCTTCAGTCTACTCTGTAACCACAAGCAGAGCAGAGCGTTGCTCCTCGTCATGACACTCCTAAGACATATCGGCTTGTAACGCTGTGAAACACAGGAACCCACTCGTCCAGGTTTAGATGTTATAGTGCATAGACCGACATTAGAACAGGACGGCACCATCAACAGGAAGGAAAGGGGCTTCAACCTTTTGGTTTGAACGAGTTACAAAACTAAAGTGGGGGTTTAAGTTCCTGCTTCATTTGTTCAGAAAAGGGAGGCTGAGTTCGGATCAGATGTTTGGAAGGTGGTAGTTGAATTTACGCAGGTTGTTGTAGTACTTCCTGTTGTCCAGAGCTGGAAAGATACTGCTGCTGGTCAGCTGCGGCAAATACTGGAGAGAGAAAGAGAGAGTGGTGGTTATTTCAGGGTTTTAACTCTTTGAAGCAACACTAAATAGTTATTAACACTTTAAGCTATTGCTATCAGTGGCTCTTGAACCATAAACTTGAGCAGCTTCGCATTATACATCACTCTGCTCCCCACTGCTGGACAGAAACTGCACTTAACGAATTTGTGGAAGCACTAGTGGGAGTCCTCTACTTGCTTTGTGCCAACAGCTATTTACTGTACAGGTGGTTAGCATTTTCAGTTTGTCGTCTATCAGTAAAAAGCACAAGAAGAAAAATTTAGCTTTTTTGCTGGCATCACGGTGGTCTGGAAGTAGCTTGTATTTGTATAGCGCCTTCTTAAGCCTAGTTTATGCTTCTGCGTCAACTTCACGAGGGAGAGATGCACACACACTGATGGAGACATTTTACTCTCGGACTTCTCCGTCACCTGGGGAGTGTTGCAAAGCAATTCCCCACCAGGACAACAGATGGCGTACAGCTTTTCTGGGGTGTCCTGCCATGTATCCAGTCCGAGATAGTGCCTTTACTGTTTTGCTTATATTTCCATCCACACTCGCTGCAGATCTTTTTATTCTTCCAGTCACGGGTGAATAAAAAGTTACTATTTTTAGAGATGTTCTGTGAGGTATTCTTCAAGCTGCTCAATGTCTGTTGCTAGATATCTTCAGTCATCCACCCAGTCAAACACACACACACTCACACGCTGTGTGTATGAAAGTAATGTCTCTACACGTAAAGCAAGGGGCTAAAACCAGAGTGAACATCAGTTCAGCCTACACTAGTTTGAGGGCGCTAAAGGAGGCTACAAAATCACGGACTGATGGTGACCTGGCTTTGTTGCTACTGGACTTGTTAGTAATACTTTTTGCGCAGCAGTGTATATCTTCTTACTTCATGGCTTATTTAGCATCAGTTGGCGCATGTTAGCATTAGCTTGTTGTTAGGGCACCAGCTACTGTCGGCTGCTGCAAGTTTGTTTACGACAGTTGTAATTCAGCTTTCAATTCAGCTATTTTCCTTGTAGGTGTATAAACCTTTAAAAAGAAACAACTTAAACAACATTCATCAGTGCAGATTTTGACATCAATTTAGTTTACATTTTGTAAAAAAATAACATGAACTTAATTGAATCCCTTATTTCACAGAGAGGGCTTCTCACCCCGGGAGGAAGGTGTCTGCGAGGTAAATGCATCCTCTTGTAGTTGGGCCGGTTCTGCTCTCGAGACGTGCTCTCGCACTTCTCTCTCAGGCTGTCGAAGTAGGGATGCTGCAGGAGCTGTTCACAGGTCAGCCGCTCAGACGGGTCCATTCTCAAACAGCTCTACAACAACACACGAAGACACATTTACACCTAAATATTAAAATACGCCCTTTCTTTTTATTGTTTTGAACTGCTGCCTTTAAAATAAAACCTTTTAGATTTTATTCATAAAACAGCTTCCTTACCTTCATGAGGCTCAGAGTCTGATGTGACAGGTTTGAATATTTATGCTCCAAAGATTCCTATGAAAACCAACATGACATGTGGCTGAGTTAAGAACAGTTTGTTTCTAAATAATAACAACGATAATAATAATAATAACAACAATAATAATAAAGATAATGATAATAATAAACATGATAATGATTATGATAATAATAATAATAATAATAATAATAATAATAATAATAATAATAATAATAATAATAATAATAATAAAGATAATAATTATAATACCATCTCCTGTGGTTCTGGGATTGAAAGTCCACAGAAGAATTGGTTGTTGCTGAAGACCTGCTGATGCCGAGGGATCAGATCTCCTGCGGGAGGCAAGAAAAACAAAACAAGGAAACGGTGTTAATTTACATTCATAGAAAATAAGTTAAAATTGCTTTATTACTTTATATTATAGTAAGAGGCTGACCAATATGTTTTTTTTAAGGCCGATGATGTGTTGGGGTCCTTCAGGCCCTTTCATGAGTCTAGAAGTGATGGCAGTTAGCCACACAGGTGCCTAATTTTTAATTTTTTTATCGACTTTTAAAAGATTTTTGGCCGAAATAGAAAAAATTAAATATATCGGTCAGTCTCTCATTATAAATACATCCACAGCCTGCTTTGGTAGTGACATGTCTACCAGCAGCTTTAAAATTATTCAATCATGTGATATTTTCTTCCGCGTGTCTCAGCAGATCCTTCTTACCAAGAGTCTTTCTGATCAGGTACAGCTGGTCCATGTCCGACTTCCCGGGCCACAGAGGAACTCCTGACAGCAGCTCGGCAAACACGCATCCAATCGCCCAAACGTCAACAGGTGGGCCGTACTGAGTGTCACCCACCAGCAGCTCGGGGGCCCGATACCAGCGAGTCGCCACGTAGTCGGTGTAGTAATCACACGGGCCCGCTGAGTCAGCACAACCCACAATATATCAGTTTATTTGAAAATAACATTTTGTTTTCACCAGCATTTGCTGATATACTTGGACAACTTGCATTAGAATACCTGATGTTCTAAAACTAGTAGTGGGACTCGATTAAAACATTTTTTTTATCTAAGCCTTTGTCATTAATTAATCTCGATTAATTGCATTTTAATCATTCAAGACAATTTGCACGCAAGCAAAGTGTTTTAAATTATAATGTTAGTGAGGCACAGAGGACACACCCACGCTTTAATGAGTATATTTCTGTAACCACAAGGTCTATTTGATTGCTTTGGTCTTGTTGTAAAAGTAACCATTGTGGCATTTGTTGGGAAGTGTAAATATTACTAAACGTGTTATTCATGAAGTGTAAATGGGCACGGAACATTGTAAATGTGGTGTACTGAGCTGAACACTAGGTGGCAGCAGAGCACTTCTAATATAAAGGTGCAGTTTAGAGTTCAGGGGAAGTTATGCTGAAGGTTACAATCTGTTACTTGTCCTTCCAGTTGTAATAAAGTTCATATGGAGAAAGGTACCGCCTGCCTGTTTCTTACCAACTAAAACATTAACAGTAAAAAAATGTTTATTTTCCTTTCTTTTTTCATGAAAGATGGCGTTGTCATGATTCATTTAATTGTAGTTTTAGTTGTAATTGTTGCAATTAGCCACCGTTATAGTGGATGAGGTACTTTTTGTGACATCACGGGATCAGCTGTGTGGAACACTTTCACTCCCGTTTCATGTCAGAATTGCTCCCGGTTGGGAATGAGCCTGCAGGTAAAACAACGCTATTATGTTGCGCGACCGCTTTCACAGCCGGTGGAAAGCCGGGGTGACATTTAACGTGTTATTTTTGTCTAATTAATTAACCAGTCGTAATTAACAAGTTAAATTCCCACTCATATCTAAAACAGATTCAAATCTAAATGTAATTATAATGCATTTTGTTTCTGTTACCATCCCAATAAAATATAGATAATTATTACAACATTTTCAAAATAAAATACCCTGCAGACTAATTTATGATTAAAAAATTGATTATGCGGAAATATTTCGAAAACGTTTTTTTTTCTGTCTGTGCGGGCTAATAACAAACGATGCAGGGACTGGTTTCAGTCCATGCCCCACTTGCCCCACTTATTGGGAACCCCTGGTCTAGGAGACAAGAGGCTTCTCTCTGATAGCTGTAACATCATTTCCTTAAATAATTCAAGTTCAAGTTTTTCAAGTTCAAGTCCTTGTTTCCTCTCATCTTGAGATCATCAACTAGAGAACAGTTCTCTAATAAATGGTTTTTAATGATTTCAGTCCCCACAAACTACTTTTCTAATTTCAACGCGTTCCTGGTGGAAATGTGTGAAACTCATCGGTGCTCGTTGGCGTTAAGGTCTCCTCCATTGAGTATCTTCAGTGAGTACAGAACGCCGCAGCTAGATTCCTCACAAACACCTCCAGACGTTGTCACATTACTCCCATCCTCGCCCGCTTGGTTACCTGTGCAGTACCACAGTTCAAAATCCTACTTTTTGTCTATAAAGCATTGATTGGCCCAACTCCCACTTACCTCGCTGAACTAATAAAACTGTATGCTCCTTCTAGATCCCTTAGATGCAACTAAATCAGCTACAAATCTCAAGGGGAGCGAGCCTTCTCTTTTGCTGTCCCCAAACTCTGGAATGCCCTCCCCCTTCAAGTACGACAGGCCCCTTCATTAGGCCGTTTTAAGTTGGCGCTGAAGACCTATTTTTTATCACCTTGCCTTTGGTCGTTGACCTAGTTTTACTATATCTTAGGACTGATTGCCTTTGGTGTTTTTCTGTGCTTTCCCTGCTTTGATTTTCTCACATTTTTTAGTCCCATGTTTTATGATTCATTAGTTGTTTATTCATTCCATTATTGTTGTGATGGCGCTTTTGTTTATCTATTTTTAATCTCATCTTTAGGTTGTTTGATTTTATTTCTTTTTTAAGGAGCTCCTCTGTTCCCTGCTGTACAGCACTCTGGTCAGCTGTCATGCTGTTTATAAATGTGCTCTATAAATAAACATGGCATGGTATGGTAGTGATCACACACCTCTGTAATCATGACAACGGTGGAGAAGATCTTGAAACTTACTGAGAATCCTGGCAAAGCCGAAGTCACAGAGCTTGATGACCTGGTGTTTGGTGATGAGGATGTTCTCCGGCTTCACGTCTCTGTGAATGCACTGCGGAGGCACAAGCAGCAGGAAAACAACAAAAAACCGTCAACAATGCTGCAAATTTAAAAGGCTGAGTGTGAAAAACAACAAAAGGAAAAGACCAGAGGAAATTTCTGCTACCCTGTTTAACGAGGACCCTCGTAGCAGCTGTTGTGTCTAGGTGATACATTAACTGCTGCTCAGCCAAGGAGAAGGAATTTGTGTTTAAAGAAAGAAGAAGAAGCCATAAAGCTGAAGGAGGGAGGAGAGGAATTTAAAAACAAGCAGAGGATGACGGCAGGTGGGAGATGTACAGCACGAGGAGTCAGGAGGAAGAACGGACCACTCACATTTTGTTTGTGACAGAAGTTGGCGGCTTGAAGCGTCTGCCAGGTGATGCTCTTGACCAGATGCTCCGGGACGCTGTGGAAATCAAAACCCAATCATCACTTCACCCCTCAACTCTTAATAAAACAAGATCAGGTCCAGATCTTTCTTCCCAACGTGTGAAACACAATCTTATTGGCACATTTTCCCCCCAAAAACAAAATGTGACATTTATTTTTTTTTCTACATGGTTTCAACAGGAAAGTCCAATGGAAAAAGCATAAACACATCAGCAATGTTTCTGAAGTCACACGTAGGAGGCAGAGGGGCCTGCAGGGCGTGAGTTTTAATCCCAGACTCATTCCTGGAGCTCTGATAAATAATTAATCATGAAATGTTGTATTTTCTGCAGGAGTACAGTTATTAGAGTTCTGATAACCTGATGGAAATCATTTAGGGAGGATCCCTTATCTAAAAACGGTTATTACTAATTATTAACAAACAAGAGAAATAACTGATTTCCAAATAATCCAAATTGATTTATTTAGCAGAGGAAACAAACAAGTCTTGTTCTTTTTTTTCTCCAAAATAAAACTCAGGTTTGTTTTACTTTTCTGTTTAAGATCAGTTTAAAACCGCTAGCTGGTGAAGAGAGACTCAACAGTGTCTGTCCAACGCTGAGGCTTTGTTGGCTCAGGGGCGGCCATTTATCTGCGCTGCCATGGAAACGCCTGATTCAAGTCTTGTGAATGACAATTAATTCGATTCTCCACCCTTTTCCCCATTTGGCTTTTGCCTCTTTTGTACCTTCTGAATAATTTTTTTGCAGCCGGCCAGGGCTGGAGGTGAGGTGGTGAGCATCACCGTAAGCATACCAGAGCGACCCCGTCAGCCTCCTCAGAGACGAGAGCTGTGCCTGTTGGAGCTGAACTTTTTTCAGTTATAAGGGTTGGTCTGCAGCAGATGCAACTTTATGCATCGAAGTTGATGGGAGGATTTCTTTGGTGCATGTTTTTCTGTTTGCAGCCACTTATTCTGCTTGTTTAGTTCAGTCATTCTAGAAATGAGCAAGTTGTGTTTGTAGAGTCGACCTCTCCAGCACATCAGGGCTCTGCAGAATTATGCAATCCAGGTGCGATGGAGCAGAAAGAAACCTAAAACATGAAGGATAGTGGCCCTCGAGGAAAGGATTAGACACCACCGATGTTGACGTTTGCTTGTTTTGACCATTGAAAGCATCACTTAAAGGGTAGACACACACACACTTACCCTCTGGGATGGCGGTCCAGCTCGTTCAGCACCGTGTGTTCACAGTATTCAAACACCAAGTGTAGCCTCCGTTTACGCCGAAACACTTCAATCAGATTCACCAGGTTGACGTGTTTCAGTTGCTGCACACACAAATCACAGAGTTTAAACCCCACAGGAGATGACCGCCTAACCTAACCCTAACAAATCATGTGACGGCACTGCCTGGACGAGTGACGTCCGGCTTGCTCTCATCAAACAGTAAATAGGAGGTAATAAACATGCTGTTGCCCGTGACAACTGGTCCTACTTATGAGCTCCTGATGTCCAGCTGGCTACCAACACTTCCACCGTCTGCGTGACTAATTAAAGCAACTCCACCACAGCATCTTTGATTAGTCTCATGCAACATAAAAGCCTAAACTAACAGTTTTTAGCCTTCTTCTGAGACACACCCGACCAAATGAGATGCAGTCGTTGTCAAGAGAGGAACAAAAACTAAGTGAAACAGATTAGTCATTGATGTAGGGTCATATTCTGATTGAATACTTTCTCTCGCTGCCTAAGGTGATACATTTCTGCAGATGTGAGGTTTCATTTCTCACAACAAAGCCCTGACTTATAAAAGCCTGATTCACCTTGAGCATCCTGATCTCCCTCAGTGCAATCTTTTTGATGATGGGGTCGTCCTCAGACTCCACAAACTTCTTGATGGCCACGATCTGTCCCGTGTCTCGATTCCTGCACTTGAAAACAACGCCGTAGGAGCCTTCTCCGATTTTCCCAATTTTCTCATACTTATCCATCTTCTCTCAGGCTTGGGTAACTAAAAGCAGTGAAAGATCACCCAAACGCTTTAATACAGGAGGAAGAGAGAAACTGGTCTGGCAGTGAGCAGAGCAACAGAGGCAGAGTAATCGGACCACCAGCTGCTTTTATAGTTAGTTTGCAACACTGAAAAAAATACACAGTATAACTAACTTAGTGCTATTTTGTAGTTAAATCTGTAATTATTCCAGAATTAAATCTGGGACAGAAATCCAATCCATCTAGCATTTGAATATGAGTACAACTGCATGTGGAGTGAGTGTGTTAAGGTTATTGTGTAGGGATCAAAATGTTTAGGTAACCTCCTAAAGAGCCTGTAAAAGGTACAGGTAGAGGCAACATTACACCTGTCTCGTAACTGTTAAGATTGCATAATGAAGCATTTGCAATGCAAATCTGTGAGATAACTTCTCTCAGGGTACACACACACACACACACACACACACACACACACACACACACACACACACACACACACACACACACACACACACACACACACGCGCAAAGTTAAACAGTTAAGGGGATGAAATCAGAGTGCTGCAATAATAAAGGAATTCAATATTAGAAAAATGGTTTAAATAAATAAAAATAAAGCAGCATTTCAAGAACTTATCAGATTGTTTTTGTGCATTTGGAGGACCTAACTCAAAAACACAGAGCAGAGTTGCCTCAGTAACAATGCTTCATTTGCCAAAGGCACTTTTATTTCAGTAGGATGGTATTTTCCTAAAAGAATAAACTCCAACTTACATGTTTGCAGATGTTTCTTATGTAAGATCCTTCCCTTCCACCCTGAAAACAACCCGTGAGGCGGACACACACAGATCCACTGTGCTCACAGCTGCTACAGGCGCATGTTTTTAAGCATCAAATCATATGGAAGGAACCCTTCTTCCACCAGACCTTTCAAAATAAAACTAGCTTCTCTCTCGATCATTTTTTAAAATTTGTACATGTTGGTTATAAAAAGTGACTGCACCTACAACATCTGGATTTATATATACATATATTAAAAATATATATTCCAATAAATTTAGTAAAAATTAGCCGTTTCATTACATAAATCTGCAGATTTTCTGTTTTCTACATCTAGACATTTCCTCATATTCTAAAATATTATGGTTATTTAAAATAACTCAAATCTCTCAGAATATACATTTAACTCATCTTCCCTGACATTTTATAATCAAAATGTTTCCATTTGACCAATTTTTTATTCCAATATTTATTTTAATATTTTTATTTTTTGTTCTTATGAAGCGCCTTGTAATTTTTATCTTTAGAGGCGCTACATTAAAAATAATTTCTTCAACAATGTAGTTTTTGGATTGCTACTTTAAAAACTCAAACATTCAGTATTAGACATTTTGATTGAAACAGAATCAGAGGAACAAGCATCAGTGAGGATTAATAACAAACGTGTTTAGAGGAACCAACAAAGTCAAACTAATAAACCTGGAGTTCCTTACTGGACAGCTTACGACAGAAGTTTGAACTCTTTCATTCATGAATTGTTTGTCTTTAGAATGAAAAACTAATATTTCAGTCTGGGGTTGACAACATGCGTTTTACTATAAAATAATATTCCACCAAACTAATGAATAAAATGTCATTACAAGAATGCAAATGTAGCTTCATACACAGCAAGTGGGGGGGGGGGTATGGAGCGATGCACTGGAGAACAACGTGGTGGCTTATGTGAAAGCATAGCTACCATCCACCCCATGAACAGTCTGCTAATGAAGTTTGTTTAAAATTTTAAAAATTTCACGATCAGTCTTTGAAGGCATATAATTCATTTTATAAAGTTTAAATTTTCTAATAACAAATTAAAATGATGAGCCTGAGGAACTTAATCAGAATTGTAATATTTTGGTAGGTTTGTTTATTCAATCATCGGCAGATTGGTTGTGCTGCTTTTATTTTGAAGGCAACATCACCTGATTTCCGGTTTGCTCTAACACGTAACTTGACTCATATCTGGCTTCACTAGCCTGGTTCCCATGGGAACGGTCGACTCCACCTACAGAGCGAAAGGGAAAACAGGACTCTGGAGGTTATGAACAAGCATCCATGTAAACTACAGCATCACTCAGGTCTGAGGAGCTGCCGTTGCCCCAGGTGGGATACTTCATGAGTGACGGCAGGTTACCAGCATGAAAAGTCTGTTCTGTCACACTGAGACCAATTAGAGCAGCTGTGTGGAGTCAGACGAGAGATAACTGATGGAAACAAATACTCAGGATCCCCGTCAGCCGGATACCGTGTTAAAAACTTTTATTACAAAAAGGTACACATTGAACATTTTTGCAAAGGGAATGCAGAGATGTTAACAAAACCTAGCATTGTCCCTCATTCTGTCATTTTATTTTAAATTAAAAAATGTACAAAAGTGCTTAAATGGTGCAAATAAAGAGAAGTAAAAGGTCTATAAAAGATAAGAGAAAAAGAAATAACATGTACATTATATCCAAGTTCTAAAAACGCTGCAGAGCAGGAGATGCAACATTACAAAGTAGTAAAACCGACCGATCACTAGGTCCTCACGCAGCAAACCGTTCTGACACCAGATGGAAAACACGTTCATCCTCTGGTTGAAGATGAGGTTAATAAATATAGCTAAAATTATCCACATGTTTAAACTGATGTGTACATTTTGACTACAGAGCTTGTGAAATCTCCCAAACAGAACGGCGTCTGCTACTTGCAATGACTAAACGTAACAAGTTAAAGACGATAACAGTTAATCTCCCATTGTTTCCTAATACAATCACAACTCATGAGGATTTTAATGGCACTTCTGTTTATAACACCTCCAAATAACTCGTCTGTTACTCAGTTCACAGCTAGGTACTGCTAAAACGAGCCTGTTTTGTCTCTGGCCCCAGCTCTAACCAGCTTCTATCTTATTCAAGAGACGTGAACGTCTGGCTGATGCAAGGCCACTCATGAATCAACGCTGAAGAAGCTCCTCCTGTTCTGATCACAAGACCTAGAGGTTAGAAACTAAGATGTTTCTCTTGGCAGAGCAGCTCTTCGTAGATCCAAATCTGGAGACTTCTCCCAAGATGAGGCATCTAGATGATTTTACTGAGAAGCATCCGTTTTCTGGCTGAAGATCAGTAACTGTTCTCGTGACCGGCTAAAATGTAAAGGTTGCTCAGGGCCGTGGGGTCATCAGTTGGCCGGCTCTCCAAAACCACCACCCTGCAAAAGACAAGAGTCGTTTTAACTAAATGATTACATGAAGATGTCAGTGGGAAACAGCTAGATGTAGTTTACCAGCATGTTCTAAAAGCTTTTTGATCTCCATCCTCTAACCCCACATTCACCAGGACGGTTTATCTGAATTTCTCTGTGTAGTCTACTGCCAACCAGGCATGTTGATGGTATCAGTCTGCAGCTACAGCCGACAGACAACAGTCATGCATGTTAAGCATCATTACAACGCCAGATCAGGACGAGGGTGAGTGCATTGTCAGATAAAATCTGTCTGGTGGTGACAGAAGAGCAGCTAGGCTACAGCCTGTTCTCTGTTCCATTAGATGAAATTACAGAGCCATGGAGACACACACACACCAGGCTGGCAGTGCCCAGGCATCAGTGAATAAAACATGGGGGCTGGGCGGTAGACAGATGACTAGCTCTGGTGCCACAGCTAGGGCAGAATCACTGGTGACCCACTGGTACTCCTGAGAGATCCGCCTTAACAGAGTTCCTTTTATAGATTAAAAAAATTATTGTCCCATAGTTGTCACACAAACTGCTGCAGTGTGGTGAAAATTGTCCTCCGTATTCAACCCATCCCCATGGGGAGCAGTGAGCTGCAGACACGGCTGCGTTTGGGAACCATTTGGTGGCTTAACCCCCCCCAATCCAACCCCTTAAAGATGAGTGTCAAACAGGGAGGCATTGGGTCCCATTTGGGTCTTTGGTATGATCCGAATGGGACTTGAACCCCCATCTCCCAGTCTGAGCTGGCTAAGTAATATAAAACATGTATTCTATACATTTAAATGCTGAACTCATTAGGAGACAGAGGACGTTTGCAGATTTGCCAACAGTCTGTTCTGATGATGTGGAGAAAGACAAGTGATCCTGGATCTTTCAGCACAGCCAGCAAATAATGAAAAAACAGAATAAAGACGAACAATTCTCAGTCTGATGGCGATTTTTGGAAGGACATGTGAGGGGCAGGTGTTCTGATAAAATCATCTGAATTTTTACTCATAAAGAAGAAAGAATAAAACCCGGAGATGGACGGAGCAAGAGAGCAAGTGAAGAGAACCAGCTCCCAAATCCACTTCTCAGGGGACGAACGTTCTGGTTTCCAGGTAATATGAAGACAAGGGAAGGAAGTTATTTTTAACACAGCTGGGCTGAATGGATATCAGGGAGGAAGTCAAACAGAAAGAAGAGGGCAGTGATGCGATTAGTTCCTACTATTTTTTCCTGGTGCTTGCTCGTGTTTACCAATACACATTACTTGCGTATGTCTTAGTTTTTCTAAGGAAAACACATTTTTATCCAACCCAGAAACGCTTGAGCAGATGATTTTTAAAGCATAGAGGCATATTATGAGTGACGGGGTGGGCGACATGGCTCAAACATAGTATAATGGTGTTTTAGAGTTAAGGTTTGTCACCTCTGATGATGTGACAAAGAACAAAAAACATGTGTAGATATCCATTCATCAGCAGTAACACTAGAGTCTAACTTCTGCTTTTCCATCTTTATTTTTCTGAAATTCCCATTTTCATTCTAGTCATATATGTTAACCTAAAGTGTGTTTTATAAACTGAATAATTCAACAAATGAGAATTCTAACTACCGTATTTTCCAGACTATAAGTCGTACTTTTTTTCATAGTCTGACTGGTCCTGCCACTTATATACCAAAGTGACTTATATACCAAATTATGTATACCGCGCTGCAGCGGGCCGGCTCCGGACCAGGAACGAGCTCCCCTGCCCCACCATCACCTGCTGGAGACTGTTGCGCGCTGCTGCGGGCCGGCTCAAGTCCAGGTTTCTGCCCCTCAGCCCCGCTGGGAGGGTTTGAAACACCGCCATCCTCTGCTGGAGACAGTGGCGTGCTGCTGCATCCTGATTGTTCATTCTGTTATTGTTACCGGTACTTGTCTTGCAATGTGAAATGCTTGGTCTCAGATTTTGTAAGAAAAATAATAAAATTTCCCCCCAAAATGCGACTTATAGTCCTGTGCGACTTCATTATACATTTTATGACTGGAGCGACTTATACTCCGGAAAATACGGTAAATGTAATGACTGTTTTTTCACTAATATAACAAAGTGCTTCTACAAAACATTTGAGTGCTTTTGCAAGACATTTAAAATATGTCCTCCTCCTTTAGAAAACAACAAAAGCAGAGGTTAGTGCATTTTGTAGCAGTTCAAGACTACAACAGGTTGGAGAAAAAGTCATGGTGATTGTTTATGTCAGGAGTTTAATAAAGTTCACAGAAACCAAACAGAAAACTGGATAGCGCTGCACATTTCTGTGACCTCTACATTTTACAGTGACCCAGAGGCTCCGTAAGTGCACTGTAAATGTAAAACTAAATAAATACCAACTAAAACCCAAGTAACTCCATCAGAAGGGGTCCCTTTTCCTATGTAGTTCTAAAGGTGCTCTCTAATAATATTTTAACGATAGAAAAGTTTTAATAAATAAATTCTTAATTTCTAACGTCTGCATGCTCTGTTCATCAGCTACATTTCCTTTACGGATTCATTTCACACGTGATAAAATATCCAGGGGATCCTAAACTTGAGCACTGGTGTGGTGATGTTGTTGCGTGAACTAACCTGTCAGATCCGAGGAGGCGGAAAACTCTGCTTGGATCACAAATCTCCTGAGTCACCTACACATAAAACAACAGTGACTCATCAGGAGTTATAGAGGAGTGTTTTTTTTTTAGCTGTGTTAAGATGAAGGACTTAACTCAGCCAGAACATATCCTCAAACCTAATCACACTCGTCTGAAATTCTCCCATCAATAAACAAACATTTATTTGTTACTTTCAGTTTAAACCAACATAATTAACTGTTTTAGCAGAATGAATACGTTTATGTTATGTAGCTGCTGGGACCGGAGTTCAGGTGTGTGTTAGTGCGTAGCCGAGTATCTAGTGGCAAGGTGAAGCAACGGCCCTTTAAAACACTCTCTCGCTGATACGTCACCAATACTTGTTGACAGACGTGAGACGGTGGGTGGGTGACACCTGCGAGGTGTGAGCCCTTGGCCTCAGGAGAGATCTGATCTGTTTAGGTCTAAATGAAAACAAGGTCTTGGGTGTTCGGAGGAGCATCCACCCGAGACCAGCGCGGATGGCTGGGTCGACCCCCTTTGGGAGAAGCCTCATAACGGGGGAAAGGCTGAATTATTTAGTGCTGCTCCCTGTTGTGTGACAGGTTGCATTTATGACTGAACATGAATTTTACATGGCTGCTGACATTTCAAAAATCCTTGATATGGGAGAGCTGTGGTGCCTTGGAGAAGACCTTTTTGTTTTAGCCCAATGCTCCAGGACCACATCTGACACAGCCAGCCTTCAATGGACCGGATCACTTTTCATCAAAGGAGAGTGCTTCACCTCCTTGTGATCTCCTGACCTCCCTTTGTGCAGCTTAACCCGACTCGTGATCAGGTTAGCATCGATCCTTCAGTGAGAAGCACAGCAAATTTGTTACTTTGACCCGACACAAAGGAACTTTGTGCGGCTCCACCTGACAGCTAATCTCCAGAGCTGCTTCTGTCTGTGGATGAACGGTCAGGAGCTGAAGGTTCTGTAGACGAGTGTGAGTTCACACAATTTTGACTAATAGTTGTTTAAAGGAAGTATCACGAGGCAAATAAAGGGAGTAAAGCAAAACTAATTCCTAGAAAACAAACTTGAATGGATAAAAAACAATATTTTGGATTTGCATTGAAGTTTTTAGCAGCTGAACAGGTATCATCACAACGTAGCCTAGCTTTGGGGGTTACATTACCTCGTTGGACTTGAAGCTCTTCCCCTGCATGCCGTGTTTCCAGAAGGCCAGAACACTGTCCTGAAGGCACACTAACAACACACAGGTGTGTTACTGTGAGAGGAATCCTACTCAGAGCACAGATGTGAACTAAAGGCTTGATTTAAAATAAAAAATTAACCTTCTAAAACATCAAACTGCTATTTAAAATGTAGCACAACTCCATTTTTAGACATTTTCCTCAGAATCGTTTATCTAGCAGGACACTTACAGCATTAACTGATCAAGTGATTTATGTGAACATGAGTGCATGATGCTGTTGGATTATTTCAGGAGACCATGTATTATCTTACCAACAGCTCCGATACTGAAGTCAAAGCTGAGCTCGGACGCCAACTTCTTGTTGGACTTCAGCTTACCCAGGAGATTAACGATCTTTACATTTTCTGAGGAGAAGTTGTAAGAAATTAGCTGCTGGGAGGATGGCTAGTAATATGTTTTAAATTAAATCCTACTTACTGTCCAAACACACCAACACCGTGTCCCTCTCCAGCTGAGTCACGTGGATGGCATCTACTTGCTGATTAGCTGAAGAGAAACGAAGATGTCAGAGAGCCACTAATGTTCAATATGACCGCATCAATAGTCCTGTTTTGAATAGTGAGCTGGATTAGATTTGCTGAAGTGGTACACAAACACGAGTGGCACCTGAGCTTCTGGTTGAGCTTACAAAAATAAAACAACAGCAGAATAAATAGTTGACTCACTGGTTCCCATTTCTGTGAACCAGGAGGAACAGGAGTTGAGGTTGATGGTCTCAAAGCAGACCACCTGACCCGCTTCGGTGCCCTCGCTGATGGCCACACACACCAGAGGATACTCCTGCTCCGGCACCACCAGCATCTCAAACACCTTAAGCGGGCTGGGAAGTGGGAAGTCAAAGTACTGCAACCAGAGGGTCAGATGTTTTAGAATAAACTTCTAAAGGTGTCATCATGTAATTGATCTTAATTACAAACAAGCTACTAGAGACAATCTCGCAGAAGACTGAAGGGAAAAGTTGATAAATCAGTGATAACTGACCTTTATGAGCAAGAACCTCTGCATGGGCTCATACCACTGGAACAGGACAATCCCCGACTGAAGAGCCCCACACAAGTACTTGTGGCCTGTATACGGGTTCCTCACTGCAAAGAGTCACCAGAAAACAGCATAAGCATGCAGACAGGACGAACAAACAGGATGCTTTTTCTGAGAATCGACACAAGTGTATTTGGTAAACAGAACAGATTGTAGGAGAGGGACTCACCAATGCAGCATTTGTGGCAACCCTTTGTGTCGGGGATCTTGGTCGTCAAAGCAAACCGCCTGGGAAGAAAACAGTCTTTAACTAGGAAGGCTGACATTTTTGTTCATGTATAAAACCACAGACCTCGATGCCATAGAATAAATGATAAATGTGTGAATTAAAGCAACGAAGCAGGAGGTGAAGCTGGCAACATTAGGAGCCAAGTTCAGGTGTTTGAATCTCACCTGGGCAGAGGAAAGCGATGCGTCTGGAACTGAGCGGCCAGGCCAGGCTTCTTCAGCTGCTCAAACAGCCCGATCAGATTATGGGAGTACAACTGGAACGATCTCCCTATGGCAGAACATAGTTCATCCTGTCATTAACTTCAGATGTAACACACTTTGGCTCAAACGGGACAACAGTGAGTTAACGTGTCAATTAACTCATTCACTGCCAATGACGACTAAGGTCGCCATTTGCATTTTTTTTTTACTGTATGGGCATTGGAACGAGCCCCCGCACAGCGAGAACAAGCATCCCAGCTCTAAAGCTCATCTTCATCCGCATACGTCACACGTCACGTGATCAGGAAGCAGAACATCCATGTGTTAGGAGATCGTTTTGGGCTGTTCCTGTCAAAAAAAAAGTGAGGCGCAGACAGGAAAACCGTCTGCCGATCACAATTCGACAACGGATTGTGAAAGAATGGATAACGCTCGAAACGCGCGTATTCTTCCCGATGTAAGAGGTGAGTCTCCGCTTTGTTTTAGTTGTTTTGGCGTCAACATCATCCTAGCGCGCAACGTTCTGCGACTCTTAAAAAAACTGTAAAAACGGCGAGAAACTCTGGCAGTGAAGGCCTTCAGCGACCAGGAAACGGCTGGCAGTGAATGAGTTAAGAAGATTTAGAAAATTTCCATAAGACTTCACATACAGAAAGATTAGAGGTGGACGGGGGTAAAAAAAGAAGTGTGATGATGATGATGATGATGATGATAAGCATGATTACCTTCTGATGAAGCCAGTTAGTAGAATATCAAATCAAGCCAGGCGAGAGGAGGATGGACAGAGTCCAAGGGAAGAGGAGAAGAAAACAGAGGTTAAGTATATCAAGAGGTAAAACCGCAAGTAGACCCAACACTTGTAACCCCATCCTAGCCTGCTAAACAGAGCAAAGAACAAGTGCTTAAAGCCAAATCTAGACACTTTGGTTTCAGGCGATGGCTGATTTTACTTTTCTGCCAACAGAGAACATATCTGTGTCTCAGACAAACCAACCACCGGCTTCTGCTGCTAGCGAACGCTGCGAACTACCAAAACAAGAGCAACAAATCACTTCTTCAGCAGCGGATCAGTGTGTGTCACTAGTGAGTCGCTGTGCTACAAAGGCACAGCTCTTACAGCAAACAAGAGGAACAGTTATGGCAGATATGGGGTGACTGTGCTGCCTTCAGGGGGCAGCCAGATAACACGGGACAAAGCAGCAGTAGGTTATGACAGTGGGCTGTAAAGCAGGAGGCTGTGATAAGGATGTCACCTACCTGACAAAGACATCAGGTTGTTGTTGATAACATACAGCCATGTGCACTTCCTGGGAAAAAGCTAATGAGGGAACAAAGAAAACACACAGTTTACGTTAGCTCTAAAGAGCTAAAGGAGGTGCAAAGCAAACATTAGCTGAAAACTTCAGGTGAATCGTCACGTTACAGCTTGGCAACAAAGTTTGTCACAGCAGGATGGAAATGGTCTACAACAGATAATCTCAAAGAATTTAGGCTAATCTAAGATGAAATGTTGCATTTAGGCTTTCCTGCTCCATCGCCTGGAGCAACATTGTTCCAGAAGAGGCTAATTCTGCTGGGTTTATTTCTTCCTTTGTTAACGTAAACAAACCAAACACACAGTCCTTGGGCTTTCAATCTAAAACCTTTGTTTGTTGAAAATAAATGTTTCACATGAACTCGAGTCATGTACTGCAGGATATTTCCCAAAGCGTTAACGCTTAGAGTGTATGTACCACTACCACATCAAGTGCTAGATCAGTATCTGTAACGTTGACATAAGGAGAGCCATGTTGGGCGTGGCTAAGGCTAATTAGCTATGGTGTATTTTTATAGTATGCATTTCACTCCCTGGACATTAGTGCAGAACGTAACTTATTAATAAAGGTGATTTCTAATCTAACTTAGTCATTTTTAAAATAACATGTAAAGTAACTAAGTTACTTTTTAACAGAGTAATTTGTCGTCAAATTACTTTTTAATGTAGCTGTGGGAACTAGGGTTGGGCGACATGCAGAAGCTTTCTAATCTTTAATCATCAGTCCAATAAATTGACGATACATTCACACGTGTGACTCCGTCAGTTTCTAGTTATGCGTTTGGGATTTGGGTTAGCATACACAGATGGATGTTTTATTGGAAGCACAGTGCAGATGTTTGATGGAAGTAACATTTAAGTGTTTTTAGTTTTGGGTTAATGTTGTATTTGTTGTCTGGTTGAGTGTAAGACGGACAAACGGCTCATAAACACAGTTAAAGTGTTAAAAGAAGCCTCGTCTTTGTTCCTCTTCCGTGCTCACCATTGTGTATTTTATTTAAATAAATGTTTATTTCTGAGCATAGACCTCTGCCTTTATGAGTTTGTGTAGGAAATGGAATGAATCGCTCATGTATTTGCACTCTGAGCAGGGAGCATGATCCGCTTAACCTCGCCACTTTCGTTTTTAAATAATAAACATTCAACAAAACTGTTACATCTCCATTCATTTTCAATTAATATTTAGTCCAAACAAGCTGAAAAGAGTGACCCAGTAACTTATAAACAATGCAATCAAACGATTCCACTTAAATTAGGAACATTTCACCTGCTGCACGTTCCTTCTGATCCACATGAACCTGAAATGGTCACCATAATCAAAAGTCTCTAGGGAGCCTGCTGAAGACTCTGTGGTCATGATGTTCTGGACTTTTGCCTCGGACAGACTCATGAGTGTCCTAATGTTGTTGTGGAGGCTGAATCTCAACTCCACTGCTATACTGAAGGCTGAATAACAAACACTACTTCATCCAAAGTTTTAAAATCAGGGAACATTTTTTCCAAATGACATAACCAGAAGTCAACAAGGCTCTGAAAGAAGGGTTTCCACTTTCCAGATCTGGAAGCACTCGGCATTGAGCTTTTGTGCACAGGTTTGTCACAGACGTGCAATTTTCTCAATGTGATGAAGCACTAGCACAGCATCTGAAACGGCTGAAGGAGGTCATTTCAGTCAACTAAACATAGTTTTAGTCATCTAAAAAAGCCTCTGAAAGCACAGCATCAAGTATAAATTGTGTTACAAACGCAGATCCAACATTATAAATGATCCTCAAGAAACTCTAGTACCAGCTGGTTTTACCTGCTCCATCGTGGCCTCATGCAGCTCATTCAGATTTAGCGTGTAGATGCCATCCTCAGTTCCAAAGATCAGGTACTGATCTAGAATTAAAAATAAAATAAACGAAGCACGCCAATTTAAAAAAATGAGTGGTTTATATAAGTGCAGAGAGCTTTTATTGTGCTGCATGTACCTTTAGTGTCTGGATGAATCCAAGAAGTGGCACAGGTGATCTTCAATGGACAACCATCAAACACTTTAGAGAAGCATGCCCCCATCTGCAAACAAAACAAAACACAGCCCAGCTCAGAACAGGCAGCATCTGGCTCTGGGAAGCGCCAACATGTCGGCGAGGATTTAATGAGCAGGAATGAAGTTGGACCACAAAGTAGAAATCTCTGTGGACCCCAAACATCTGCAGGATTTACAGAAGCAGCTCAGATGAGTCTCTAATAACAGTGTTCATAAAAGCAGGCCAGCAGGGATGAGCAGAGGGACAATGCAGACGAGTCACTCACCAGTACTTTGGGAGTGGGTGGCAGGCCGTTTATTGCTGGTTTCTATGGAGGAGCAGAGGAAACAAAACAACAAAAAAAAAGTCAAAGATACCACAGAGACAGGAGACACAAAGCAACATGAATACTTTTAAATTCAAATCCATAATTTTGCTCTAGCGGGAACAATGAGCTACAAAAACAAGCAACAGAACTGCTTCGGAGCATGTTTTCCTCAAACGCTCCTCTCTCCTGACCATCGATCTGCCAAAGGAAAAACTTCATATTTGAGGTTTCAAAGTGAGGTCAGCCAGCTAGCTGGAAACACAGCTCGACCGCTTATGGCCTTTTTTCCTTTTAAAACCCAGACACAACCTCAGATAAGTAATAAATACTGCAGTGGAATATGTTTTGAGCTCACAGGAAATTCCTTCTTCTCCTTCCGGTGCTGCTGTGGTGCTTTGGGACCGTCTCCATCTGAATCGTTGTCTGTTACAAACAGAGGAGAAGGGTCAAGTTAGATCTGAGAAGAGCGATCATCAATCAGAATGTCAAAACCTGAACACAAAGATCCTAAGATCAGAACAATGGACGCCAGCCTCTCTTACCTTTAGGTTTATTTTTTATGGGAGCTTGTAAAACAGAATCAGAACTCATTAAGAGCCCAAGCTGACTGAAGAGAAGTGAGAAAAACAGACAAAGAATGGAATAAAACACTGAAATTAAAACTGAAGGGCAGCGACTCACCAGGATCTGATGCGTGAGACAAAATGCCCGGGCTGCTGACGCTGGCTGACAGGAAGTCAGGAGATGAGTCGACCTTGATGCCCTGTTCAGGTGTGCTCTGTCTACGAGATGCCTGGCTCGGTCCGTTCTCAGATTTGGGGAATCGGCGAACCGTCAGAGACTTCTCATCGTTTAGTCCGAGCTCCTCCGAAGAGCTGTTCAATCGTGGCTGAGAGGATAAAAAAAAACACTGAAATGATTTCAGTCCTTTTGATGAATCCAAACTGCACTCCTTACCTTCGGGGGAAGAGGAGGAGGAACACACGGCTTGATGGTCGACCTGAAAGTACACAGAAGTTAAACTTCACGCTTGTCTGATTACATCTGAATCCACCTAAAGATGCAACTTACACTTCTACTACTTCAAATGCATCTTCTAGACGAGTGATATGCCCGCTGCAGTGAAAATAATGCGTTTAGTTTTCAATAAACAAAAAAACATTTTAATAAACACCTTACTTGTAGACAAAATGTGTTTTACAAGTTCGGGTTATTTCTGAAATAATGTCATTCAGACTTGACACTGAAATGTTTTCTCAGCAGAACTCAGTTTGAATCTATTATCAGACTACACAGTGCTCGATGGACGGGTGTGGACGTGAAGGGTGGGGGGCAAAGCGGCTGGTGTGTTTAGCTACAACATGCATCACACACACACACACACACAGTATTAGTGTTACCGTTGGAACAATTCATCCTCAACGCTTCGGAGAAGGCTCCTTCGAAGGACAACACGGGTGAGGCGGACAGGCAAAAGAAGACAGAGAAAGGTGAACAGGGGAAAAAAAAAAGTCAAAGCACGAGGACAAGTGAGACGCAGCTTAAAGACTAAAGCAACATAATAAACCTCCAGACAAGAGGAGCGAGTGTGTCAGCAGGTTAGTGTGAACAGGTGATTAACACACAGGCAGGTAAGTAAAGCAGAACTAAGTCTCAAATGTTTATCTAGTGCAAGCCAGTGAGAGAGAGGAGCTGTTTCCATGGCAACGGTTTCCATAGCCTACCTGGTTATTCCTCCATCTGCAAAGTGTCTCCATGGTGAGAAGTCGTTATCTTTATTCACATCCTGTGGAAAAACAAATGCACAAAAAAAACCTTCAACATATTCCTGCCTTTAATTTACAGATAAACTAGTAAATAACAAATTTACATAATTACCAGTTCAGAATTAGCCTTAGTCTCCATCTCAAGGGGAGGTTTAAACTGGATCTGTTCAACTGTGAAACAGATTAAACATATTCGTCAGGTGTTTCTTCTGCACATCTTAGACACTAGGGGGCGCCAGGATTTCAGACACACAGAACGTCCTGGCATTAGCAGGAGCCCTGGGAAGCTATGGGATTAGACTTGTGCCAATAAGATCAAGAAAAACACTTTACAGATCAAACAAATTTTAAGACATTGAGAGAAAAAACATTCGTTTCAAAAGAAAAACTTACGATCTGAATCAGATTCTTAAAATGATCAAGAAAAACACTTTGACGGTCAAACAAAAATTAAGAAATTGACAGAACAAAAATATTGACTAAAGGAAAAAACACGTTTCAGAAGTAAAACTTGCTGAATCAACTTCTTAAAATGAGTAACAAAGTACGTTTCCTTTTTCTGTTTGCCTCTATGTGTTTTTGTCATCAGTTTCCTTAGTTTCATTCTCACTGCTCACAGCTTTGCTCTCACTACCAGATTTGCACTTACACTGTCTGGCTTTCTCCTTTGCAATTCCTGAGTTCTTGGTTGCAATTCTAACACAACCCTTTCGGGTGGGTGGGACTTCTGAGAAGTCCTCTCCCATAGGACAGTGGTTCCTCTTGAGTGACAGTTCAGTGACCCGGAAGTGATGTCGCCTCCAAGACATTTTTTCCTACCTCGGTCAACAACATGAATTTTGAGCCCCAAACACGTTATTTCTGTTGTCTGTGGTGTCTACTAAGGATCTAAAGTGAGTATTGATAATATATTTTATCTTTTCTTAGTTAATCTGTAAGTTAAGCCACTTTTCAAGTTGGTTTTAACCAGACTTTAGCTCACTAGCTAGCTGCTAAGCAAGCCATTGTGCTAGACTCAGGACAAAGATCTATTGTTCCAGAGAGACGTATTAAAAACTCATCTAGCACTGATCTAGGTAATGCACCACAAGCATTTTTATTTTACAAGCTTGTTTGGCATCGAAATAATTAGAACCCTCTTCTTTTCTGTCACACCTAACACATACATAAACACACACCAATTTCTATGTCACAGCTGATGCCTTCATTAAATCTAATAAAATCTATAGTAACTATAGTCTGGTGACTAGTGTCTAGTTTAGCTACATTTAGCTTAAATATAATATAGTCTAACTCTTCCTCAACTGGTGACTTTTCTACTTCATTGTCAGCCAGACAAAATGTTGCTACAGAGAAACGCCCAAGGTACTGAGCCCACAATAGAAAATCATAATGTCCACATTTATTTCACACAATCTCAAACGTCACACTAAAATTAAACTTTTAGCTCTGATTTAATTATTTCCTTATTGAAATCAGTTTTCCCTTTGTTGTAGGTAATCCTCGGGTGTCAGCAGGAGGTGGTGACCACCTGCATAATGGAGCACCCTGGTTCTGTGCCAGCTGCACCTTTGTGCTGCTCTTTGGGGAGCCAATGCTCAGCAGGTTAAACAACTGTACAATTGATTTTGTTCATACTTTTTTAGAACTCATACATCACCAGTTTTTCTTTCTTACAGACACATGCCTCCATGTGGTCAGGTGGTGTTGGTGTGATCTGGGAGGGCACACTCATGTCATCATCTCCTTGTGCCGTCTCCAGGATCATGATGGGAGTTCTCTGTGCCTATAAAGCAGGGGTATTTACTTCTGGGCCTGGAGGGCCGGTATCCAGCACGTTTTAGTTTGAACTCTGTTTCAACACACCTGATTTCAGTCAGCAGATAATTAACAGGCTTCTGCAGAGCTGCTGCACAGGTAATTCAACCACTGATTCAAGTGTGTTGGAGCAGGGAAACAACTAAAACGTGCTGGATACCAGCCATCCAGGACTAGAATTGAAAACCCCTGCTATAAAGCCTTCCTCCCTCCTCTGGACTTTAAACATTAGTATTTTATTATGGTTTACCTGATTTAGTAAATAAATCTCAATTTATAAATTTCCTGTTTTGGTGCCTGTCCATAAAATCCTGCATTAGACACTGAAAGCTGAATGGATGCCTTTCATTCACTTTGACATTCAATGTATTTTTAAAGATACACTTGAAATTAATATCAGCTGTTTAACAGAGTGGTGCAAAATAATTGCTGATGTCATGATTTTTGCAATAACCTGACCTTCATGCAGAGAAACTCAGGAGACAAATGAGCTAAAAACTGTTTATTAAAATGTTTGACGGATGACTGAAGAGGTAACTGCTGGAGATCAGGAACCAGAAGCTTCTGCGAGGAAGAGCAGAGGTTAGTAAGAGGAAACAGGTCAGGTTTTTCTTAGACTGTGCAGGTAGCTTACAGAGACTGAGAAACGCCACAGAGAGGGAGGCACAGGTTTTAGTGTTTAAAGATCAGGAGGCCCTGAGGTAAAATTGAGTGTTAGTAATGACTAAAGAATGACTTACAAAAGGAAAAGTTTAGGTATTTACGGTCTGAAGTTGTAGCGCAGACGGGAGACAGCAGAATGGTGGAGAAACAACCAGAAGTCTGGGAGAATGACAGCATGAGTTGCAAGCGGGTGAGCAGAAGGTAGTGGGTAAGCAGACTGCCAGTATGGTTGTGTGATCAAGAGCTTCAAGGAAAGAATTCCCATAGATCTGCATATAAAATGAGAACGTAAGTTTGAAAAACGGCAGAGTCAGGGGCTAGATATGGGTTAAAACACTCTGATGAGTGACCAGCTACCAGCTTTTATTCAAGGATAGGGTTACAGGTGTGTGAGGATGTGCCTGCCCCATGAGAAGAGTTTTCAGGTAAGCCTCTCCATGGTGCCTTGCAATGGTGACTAGCAAGGCTAATGAAGAGATTAAAGGGAACACAAACCCAGGACTCTGACCCAAACTCCTAACAGCAACACAACGACTCCTCCCACAGGCGGTTGTTCCACGGGAGTACACGCAGCTGCCCTAAGTTCAGCATCAGGCAACCTGTAGGCAATGTAATCATACGTGGCTTCTGAGCATGCAAGTTTACTCTAGCTGTACAGCGTACAATAATAATAAAGATTTATATTGTGTTGTGTTGCTCACCTTACAGGTTCTTTTAAAATCTTAACCTGTGCATGCTTACAGCAGGTCTTTTGAACTAGACACAGAGAGGTTCAGGCACAGGGACTTAGTCAGACTCCTGATATGATAGAGCATCCACCACCACAGACTATCAATAGGTCCATATGCTTGTCAACTGGAAACAATGGAAAAAGATTACCATTAGTACAGATATTTATCCATAACATCACTGTGGTTTTATTATACATCCTATGAAATACATGAGGTGGGATTGGTCTGCAGTAGGGATGTGCATTTTTGACTGAATTTATTGTAGGAGTATTCAATAAACAGTCAAAACTGATACTTAACATGTATAACATGAGTTATCTAAACCATAATAGCGGGATTTAAATTTCAATGGTAGAAACAAAACCCAATGCACACTGCTGCCAACTAGCGGTCGACATTTAAAGTGCACCAAAAACAAAGAAAATACACAAATGTTTGCATGTAAATTCTTCCAAAAATTAGATACACTGCTTTTGAAAATGAATGTAATATCACTGGAAAAATATATTGTGATATATTGTCATATTGATATTTTCTTACATCCCTTGTCTGCAGTGTACTTTGTGTACACTATGGTGTGTCTTAGCTCACCAGCTGCAGTTGATGCATGTGGCCGTGTAGCACTTCCATTGTAATGCAATGCAGTAGTTTTCAATCTAAAAAGAAAGAAAAAACAACAAAAGAAATAGCTTTTAGACAAAAATATAGATTTTATGTAAAAATTAAATAATTAAAAGCACTCACTTGGATAATTATTCAGTCAGAGTTACATCATATAATCCATTCGTTTCACTGAAAAAGGAGCAGGCAGAACTATGAACTTGTTTAGCCCGTCCAAGTAACATGGAATAAAAAATACATGTATCTGTATGTAAATGTAGTTTAAATGTCTTCCCACAATAGCTCATGTAGATTCTGTCTGAGTTATACCATAAAAATCCTGCAGTTCCACTAAAAGAGTATTTACCTGCAAAACAGCCTGTTAGCTCAGCTTTCTGCTGCTTCCTCTGTAGCAAGTTAGCAGTACACAGGTTAGCTCTAATAGCTGCAAAGTCTCTGATGTTCCACAGGTTCCTGAAAAATTAGAAAACTTATTAACATAAACTGCAATAATTAATTCCATGAAACCAGTAATGAATTTGTTAAGATGAGTTTTTAATACGTCTCTCTGGAACAATAGTCCATTGTCCTGAGGCTAGCACAATGGCTTGCTTAGCAGCTAGCTAGTGAGCTAACGTCTGGTTAAAACCAACTTAAAAAGTGGCTTAACTTACAGATTAACTAAGAAAAGATGAAATATATTATCAATACTCACTTTAGATCCTTAGTAGACACCACAGACAGCAGAAATAATGTGTTTGGGGCTCAAAATTCACGTTGTTGACCGAGGTGGAAAAAAAAAAGTCTTGGAGACTACATCACTTCTGGGTCACTGAACTGTCACTCAAGAGAAACCACTGTCCTATGGGAGAGGACTTCTCAGAAGTCCCACCCACCCGAAAGGGTTGTGTCAGAATTGCAACCAAAAACTCAGGGATTGCAAAGGAGAAAGCCAGAAAGTGTAAGTGCAAATCTGGTAGTGAGAGCAAAGCTGTGAGCAGTGAGAATGAAACTAAGGAAACTGATGACAAAAACACATAGAGGCAAACAGAAAAAGGAAACGTACTTTGTTACTCATTTTAAGAAGTTGATTCAGATAGCAAGTTTTACTTCTGAAACGTGTTTTTTCCTTTAGTCAATATTTTTGTTCTGTCAATTTTTAAATCTGATTCAGATCATAAGTTTTTCTTTTGAAACAATTTTTTTTTCTCTCAATGTCTTAAAATTTGTTTGATCTCCTGTTTTTTTCTTGATCCTATTGGCACAAATCTAATCCCATAGAAACCCTCATGACAGAAAAACCAACCAAAACAGAGATGAACTCTGTCCACAACGCTGCGGAGAACCTTTTACCGATTTATGGTACAGCTCTGTAAACATTTGGTCTGGGGCTTGAAAACACTTCAAACACAACTCACACCTGACACTAAGCAGATCTGTTAAAGTGTGTTAAAACTGGCTAGTGAGCACGAATCAGGAGTAAATGATCATCATAGTTTAGGATTTGTCCAGCATTTGATTCAGTAGTTATTTAGTTTCAGGCAAAAATGGGATGTGATACTGGTGTGGTCATAGAGAGAAGGAAAATAATCTACCTGCTGATCAAATAATCAGCTTCTCATTAACAAAGAAACTTTGTGTTCACAAGTTCAGGCCTCAGACTTGTTTTTAACTCCAGAACGTTTCTTATGTGAGGTATGCTGATCGTGTCAAAAGTGAAGGGTGTGTGTTAACAAATCAACTTGCTGTTAAAATGTTCAAAAAAGTAAAGTGTAGAGATCGTATCTGACCTATGACTCAGTGTTATACTTCCTCACCTCCAACAGCATGTTGGTTCCATCGATCTGACGGGAACCAAAGTGTCACAACGGGCTAATCGTTCAACGCAACAAATACAGCTGCACAACTCCATGCAGAGGAACCCGTCGTATTAGTGACACCAAAAATTCACATCCAAAGTCCTCTTATGATGAAACACTGTCACCGTTCTCAGGAACTAGACAAACACACACACACCTCACTGCACTGTCACTAACCTGCATCCCCCCCGTCTCCCTCAGTCCTGCTAGGACTTGGTCTTTCTTGACTTGTTCCATTGTTAGCTTTGTGCAGAAGGGAAGGTCAAATAATGGTGAGTGACTGAGATAAAAAACCCAAACAGGACGTACATCTGGCACAACACAAATACAGTGAAAAATGTATCCCTACGAGTAAATACACCAATAATGAGACTCACACCGTTACTACACCACAACAGCACTGATCAGATGAGTAATGATCACAGCACAACACAACTAAACAGGATCCTATCGAAATGTTTGCATCTGGCTCTGGAAACGACAAGCTCAGATTTACACTTCAGTAATGACGATACTTACTAGTTACACACATCAGCCTTCCCTTATCACTAAGCTATTATTAGTCCTGCTGATGGAAGCTGGGGGTCAGACCGACACACCCACTGATGACAGCAGAGGACTCCGCTTGCTCTTGGTGTTCACTTACATTTCATCTCTGAGCGTGTCTTTTCAGCTCTGTCTTCTTTGTTGGTAGTCTGGGTGATGGTGTGTCTGATTACAGGAATTGGCTGAAACATAAACGGATAACAAAAAACAATGGTTTATACTATTTTGTTCTACTAGCTTAATAAAAACAAAAAGTATACCAACTCTGAGCTCATTGTCTTTCAATCAGTAAAACATTTTTTCTAGAACTTGTGAGTCAAGCGCTGCTGGCAGCGGCTTTTCTTGTCCATCATCCCATTGTTATGCATCCCAGAGGCTGTTTGTTTGCTACAAGCTCTACTGCTTGCAGTCAATAGCCATTGGGTGTTTTTCCAGTCATCATGGCCAAGACAGTGCCACTGCTGTCAGGGTGAGAAAAGCACAAGAGTCCCCTAAAAGGCCCTGGTACCACCTCTTTGGCTGCCACACAGCTGTAACTCAGACCTCAGATGGAATAATAATGTCAGTGGAGAGAATCAATGAGTGCGGAGAAGGGAAGTTTTAGGGGAGCATCCTGACCGAACCGAAGATTTAGAGGACCTCGTGGATTATATTCTGTTGCAAACAGGAAAAATATCCTTCTGTTTTAGTTTTTACATTCAGTGCTGCTAAATCCGTCAGCGTTTACAGAGCTGTCACTCCAAAAAGTGTTTATTAGTTTTGTGTTGAGGGTCTGACCTCATGAGGAAATTACTATGCAGTGATTTTCTCCAAAATGACTGTGCTTAAATTGCTCTGAAAAGCAAATAATCACATCAGCGCCAAGAAACTTCATTTCCCATGATGCTTTGCACACGGAAGCATTGTGATGACGTCACCGCCTAATACCAGAAACACGATCTGCGGGAGGCGGGAGCTTGGACAGCTTTCCCGCGACTTCAAAGACTATAAATCATGAATGAGACAAAGAAACCTCGTTCTTTTGCCCAGGATACCTGGCGGTAAGGACACGCTTGTCGAACGCTCCGACAACTTGAGCACGCGGAAGCTCTAAGTGCCCAAGTTGAGCCACGCAACCGCTGGAAACCACTCCAACTCCATCAGGACCTGACTGGGAACGAGCGGAGCTCCATCCAGCTCTCAGAGACGCTGTAAGTTGTCAAACTCAGCCCAAAAGAAACTTCGTTCTCTTTGTGGAGAAACACTCGTGGAGGTAAACAACGGAGAAAGCATCAAACCGACGGATAACGCTGAAAACTGCGGAGAAACACGGAGAACCGTCAAATCAAAACAGTGAGGGACGCCTCGCTCTTCTGGTGATCAGAAAACTCATTTTTCTCTCTCCTTTTCTCCTCCCGTTTCCTCTATAGTCCAGAATAAGCAATAAAACCGCGCTATTGCTTAAAAAGTAGCTTTGTGTCTTCCTCTTTCGCTCCCAAAACACGTCCGCCGGGTCATTTTGAATAAATAAACTGCTTATTGATCATTGTTTGGTATCTTTAAATGTTTTCGGCCATGGCCAGGCTGATAAACTAAAAGATATTAACTTGTGATTAATCTTTTGTGTTGTTTCATGATCCTTTGAAATGTTTTGAGTGATTTAAGGTTAAGTTACTACTGATTCTAAGTGCTTTGGAAGTTAAAGTGCATGTTGCCACCCACACTTTAGCCAGACAAAGGGGTCAGCCATCTTGCATACAGACTCCATTTTAGAAACACACACACATACATACACACAAAACACCTTGAACATTATTTTGAATATACATCCTTTTATTATATCACATGGTTATTATTCATCTATGCCACTGTTTATTCATTTGACAAATTGTTAATTAAACGTTATAAAATTCAGATTTTCGTCTCCAGTAGCTTTGTTGTGTCGAAGAGAAGTCTCTGCTCCGAGGATTCTACGAACTTCAAGAAAGACTGATAAGAGTTTTGGATTCAATTTTTCCCCGGTTAAAGGGGAATGGTGCCCCGTATATCTAAGAATATCTTAATTAATTAATAAATCAGTAAATATTCCCATATTTACAGAATTTATTGAAGAATCCAAAAGTAAGTTAAAGCTTACGAATTGTTCGCTCCTAATAACCCCAACATTTGTTTTTCCTGTGTTCCAAACAACGCAGCCAAAAACATACTAAAGCACAGAAGTTATTCGCTCAAATATCTGTCAGTGAATGAAAAATGTTGATCACAGCTTTTTTGGTGATTCAAGCTTTGTTTCTGAACCAGAGGAGAATACGAGACGTTACCTCAAGGTCGTCATCATCTACTTCGCTGTAATGCTGGTGGTTTTCTGGGTTGTTCATTTTATCCAGAAGATCGACAGCAAGTCTCCTTGTTAACCCCGTCTGGGACACAAATGCATGCTGAAACAAAAGAAATAGCAATGAAGACTTCATTCCTCAGAAACTGAGGCTAATGCTAGCTTGTGTCCTCTGCTTTTTGGCTCTAAATAAGCTGTCGCAGGTTTACTTCTGGTTCTGGTTGATCATGTTCCAACAATGAAAAGTTGTTCTGACCAAGATCTACAATTTACAAACTGTTGCTCTAAACTTTTTTTTTTTTATCAATGAGACAAAACCTTCCACTCAGAATATAAATAAACTACTCTGTATAGTATGCAGTTATATAATTCAAGTCAAAGTCCTGTCTGCATGGTAAAAAGTTAAATGTTCTGCCAAAAAACAGAAACTCCTGCTGAGGTTCTGCATGCCATTCCAGCACTTGGCTAAACGAATGACTGATAATATTTTCTGTTTAGGAAAGCCTCAGCTCCCAGAATGCAACACACGTCTTTACTTGGAACATTTTAATCTCTCAAACACAAAAATACTTAAAAACTATGAAAAAAAAAAAAGATTTATTACCGACAGAAGTTTTTCTGCTGTTGGCCGCCTCTTTGGATTCTTGGTGAGAGACACTTTAACAAAGTTATGGAAAGCAGCAGACCTGCAGGACAACAAGGTCATCTCTGCTCTCATCCGAGACCACACTAAAACACAAATTACAGCATAATGATTACTCACCATTTGTTTTTGTCTTTAAGCTTAGGAGGCTGGAACCCACTTTTTGACATCAAAAACAAGGCCCTAGAAAGGAAAAATAGAGTCAAATGCATGAATAAAAAATAAATGATGAGGCCAACAAAATTTCCTATTCATATCCTAAACAAACTTCAAAAAAATAGGATTTAAGCTACTGTGGCGTGATGAAACATTTGAAGAAATATAAAAGCAGGAAGAAGCCTTCCTAAGAATCCTTCAGGACTCTTCTTGATGGCAGTAAAACAGTAAAACACACCTCATTGGATGCAGGTCAAACATTGGTGGCTGCAGTTCAGCCAGCTCAATGGATGTGATGCCAACAGCCCAAATATCACAAAGCTGGTTGTAGCCTCCGTTCTTCTCTACTGCTGCTACCTCCGGGGCCATCCTAAAGTATATTGCAAAACTAAAAATTAAGGTCAAATAAACACCAAATAAATACATAAACTCATTCTGCAACTATCTAAAATCTGTGTAACAGATCAGAGACCTGTATCAGCAGGATGCAGGTCTGAACCCTCGTCTTAAGAGTTCAACGTCTCATTCTAGGACACCACAACGGGAACTGAACTCGTCTAACTGCTAATGTCACAAGCACTCACCAATAAGGTGTTCCAATGAAGGACTTTCTTTTGGCAATGGTGGCCGTTATTTTGGCTGCAACTCCAAAGTCAGCTGTAACAAGAAGTGACAGGGCTTTTTAGCTTATGCACACACACACACACACACACACACACACACACACACACACACACACACACACACACACACACACACACACACACACACACACACACACACACACACACACACGGATGGCATTAAGCATCTTACCTAACTTCACATCTCCGTTGTCTGTTAGAAGTATGTTGGCGCCCTGTTAAATAAATCCCACAGACCTTTGTTAAGTCTTAAAAATCCTGAGCCGAGTCGATGTTTATTCTAAACAGCAGAAGTCTCTGGATGAGGCGGGAACTCTGTATTTGTTTATATCTGATTTGACTTTCAGTAAAATTCACCCTGCTTCAGAGTTTTTGAGTGTTTATGTTGGCGGTGACTGACAGTTTCTGTGGTAGCATCCTGTGGTGAGCAGAGGAAACAGGAAGTGCTCGCTGCGAAAAGCTGAGAGAAGATAATAGGCCCAGCCCTGACCTTTATGATAACACAATTGAGTGAGGCTCCAGGCTTTCATGCATTAATCAAGCACGATCAACTACAGCTGAACCTCGAAGTTGCTGCAAATGGCTCTGCTGGTCACTAGTGTCTGAGTGAGATCCTCCTCTGCTGTGCTCTTTTTGGCTCAAGTTAACATTTTTCCTGTTGTGCTGCATCTGAGAGAATCTGAACTTCTTAAACATCAACATACGTGTTTAATTTGTCTGTTTGCAGAAAAAGCAAAGAGATGATACCTTGATATCACGGTGCATCTTTCCCTTCATGTGCAGATAGCCCAAACCCTGTAAAGAAAAGGATTCTGGTAAAAGTCAACTGACAGTCTTTAATATTCATTAAGAGCTTATGTTCATATTACCTGTAGGGTTTCTCTGCTGACATATGCAATCTGAAGCTCAGACAGAGGTCCTGTCACTGTATCAAAATGACTTTATTCAGTGAGTGCAGTTTGAAAAGCAGGTGGAAATGATGGTTCTGGATTAGAAGAGCTCACCATGATAGATATCCTGCAGAGATCCTCCACCACAGTACTCCATGCAGATCCAAAGTTTCTCTCGACTGGAGGAGGAGAAGAGTAAAAATAAATAAATAAATAAATAAATAAAAAGGAGTTGTTTGGCTAGATGCATTTTGAGATTTAACAGTCTGAACATTTTGCGTAGCAGTTTTAGAATAGAATAGACTTTGTTGATCCCACAGTGGGGAAATCCACTTGTTACAGCAGCACCAGCATGTAAGAGAATACTTTGAAGAAAAATAATAACAAAGGTACATGTATACACTAGGGGTGCTCCGATTGATCGGCCACAGATAATTATCGGCCGATTTTCCTGCAAAAGTGTGTGATCTGTGATCGCCGATCACTGCCTTTCATTTCCGATCTGGCACTGGCGCTTACTCTTCCCGGCCGGTAGTTCACTCTTCCGCTTCTCCCCGCTTAGTGCGCGTGGCGGCAAACCCGCAAAGACAAACATGTCTGTCGTGTGGAACTTCTTTACAGTGTGCGAGAGTGATATTAAGTTTGCGTCTTGCAACACTTGCAACGAAAACATACCCCGCAGAGGAAGCACTTCAAAAAAATTCCAACCCAACGAATTTGATCTGACATTTAAAGACTAAACACTTGGCGGAGCATGGTGAGTTTTTGAAGCTCACCGCAGACAATGAAAAGAAGCCTGCTAATGCAGCCACAGTCAGACGGCAGCTAACGCAGCCGACGCTTGGAAACACTCGCCCATATGAGCGTGACAGTCAAAAGGCTAAGCAAATTACCCGTAAAATCATCGAGTTTATTGGACTAGACGACCAGCCTTTTTCAGTTGTGGAAGACGCCGGATTCCGCCGACTACTAACCCACTTGGAACCTCGCTACATGCTACAGGGACGTAAATATTTCGCCGACGTTGCCCTTCCAGAGCTCCACCAGACAGTGTATTCTTTCATCGAGGGACTCCTTAAAGAAAGCGTCTCATCCTCTGTGAGTTTCACAAGTGACGTTTGGAGCTCAGATGTCAGTCCTGTGTCAATGCTGAGCTTAACAGCTCACTCGATGTATCTGAATGTAGCCTTGGTTAATTTGATTTAGGCGGTGATGTGAGATATTGACTTTTTTTGCACTATTTGTAGCCTAAAGAGAGCCTTAATGTTTTCAATTTCTTATAAATTGTTACTGATATTACATAATTTGAAGTGAAGTAAAACCATGTTTTTTCTGAATTAATATGTAACACATGCATTAGAACTCACCATAGCTAAATGAACAATTTACAGCCAATCTATGTAATTGGTATCGGTAATCGGCCTCTTGGCTGATCGGTATCGGTGATTGGCAGATTAAAACCTGATCGGAGCATCCCTAGTATACACACATAAGCAGTAAGCTATTATTGTAACCTTCAACCACTAAAAACCACAAATAAAAATTAGAAACTTGGGTTCTAGAACTTTGTCCTCCTTTCACACATCTAAACTGATTCCAGTGGGCAGCCCAGAACCGAGCTAGCTTTGTTTTGTCCCTTACACAATAGCATCAGCTCCACTTCGCCTGGACCAGGTTGGGAGTTTTCTCATTAAAGCCGGGCGTACACTGTGCGACTTTTTCACTTTTTTGAGCCGATTTTCCACTCGTGCGAGAATCCACAAGATCGGGACGAGTTTTGCGCTGAGCGTCGTGTAGTGTACAGTGGGTTACGAGAGGCGATTAACACCACGTGACCAGTTACCGATAAGCAATTGTGAGCTCGCACGGACTTCTGGCGTGTTTGATATTTTGCTCGTCCCTCGTGAGGGTATCGCACTGTTGAAGCGGCGCTGTGAGCAGCTGTGACCCAAAAAACACAGATTTACTTTCTTCATTTCGTTTTCCTCATCCAACCCCCATAAATCCCTGTGTGTCCTCCTGCAGCACTCCCGAAGGACAACAGGCAAGACAAAAAAGTCTGACGTGTTGTGTAAAAACGGCTATTTTTAGCATATTTTTAGGTCCGACGTGTTGCTACCAGACGTACAGTGTGAGCAGTCAGGTCGCATCCGAGAACTGGGTCGTGCAGTGTGAGCACATGGCTCGTGAGATCTGCCCTGCGAGGAAGTCGTACAGTCTGAGCTGAAGCTGAGTGCTACGAGTGAAAAAGTCGCACAGTGTACGCCCGGCTTAAGGTAGCCCTGCATTTTCCCACGCCTGACCAGACAACTTTTCAGTCTTCTTCTTGAGGAGGTCTACCTGGACCCTAAACGCAGGATGCAATATCAGTCAAAGAGTCTCCAAAAGCAAGACTGCTCAGGCTGCTTTTGATTAATAATTGAGACACCGCAGACTTCTCCGTGCACTTTTGCCTCACCCACGTGCTCATGGGCTCATGACACCACAGACAACGAACTGCCTATGTGCTCAATCACGTCTGCATGCCTCAGGCAGTGTGGAACGAACGCGGCCAGGCTGGGCGGACCGGAGCCGATGCTAGTGTGTAAATGTGTGGCATTAACTTGCTTGTTGAGTCTTTTCCTGTCTCGGTCAGAGACACCCTTGCACCCCAACAGACCATCGTCACCTTTTGACCGCTGTGTTTTATTTGTGCACCATGCAGCGGCAGCTTACAGCGGCACTTTGTCGTTACGTAGTCCCAAGTCTAAATCGGTTCCTGGAAATCCTTCGTGTTACTTCATACTTTTCAGTTGCAGTCGACATGATTATTGAGCTCACCAGGAATAATTTGTATCCTTACTGAGTAATTGTAATCACTTTAGTACACAAAATGCTAGTTCCTGCTATTCACTTCCATTGCTTATGCTAAGCTAAAGCAGATAGACTGCTGCCAGACCAGAATAATTACTGTGCTGCTGCTTTTTTTTTTTGGTGCTTTTTTCTTTCCTCACTTATCTAACTTTGGGGAATACCAAAATGGACAAAATTTCTCTTAGGGTGTATTATCCTTTTAAAGATTTGTTTAAAAAGCTGAAATTACTGCAGAACAAGCAGAGGCATTAGGAATCTTGGTCTTTTAACAGTCTAAATGCAATATTGGATAACATTAACAGGGTGGTTCAGCATTTGCTGTAGAATACATGAACTAAATGCAACAGGCTGCTTAAAACAGCAGGTAGAAAACTTGCTGCAACAAGCCTCAAGTGTGTTTAAAATCGTTTTTGTTTTTTTTAAATTTAAGTGTGTTAGTTTTGCCCAGGGCTCTTGTGAAATGCCTTTGAAGAATTAAAAACTGCAGTTGGACTAGCTAAACCCACCAGCCTTATTAGCAGTTCCATCGTGCACATGCACAATCATACCCTCTAGGTACAAAAGCAAGCTCCAAGTAAAACTGATCAAACATTTGATTACCAGAACAACACACACAGGCTACAAAGTTAGCCAACTCTACATTAGCTGTAATGTAGCAAGAAAATGACTTATTGGAAACTTGCTTTCTGCTTTTATCTTTATGTTGTGCTGACGGGGACAATCTTAAAAAAATGTCTCTAAACACTTGCAGATCAGTAAAGCTAAGAGCACATGGAGTGGTGTTTCTGGGTAAGGAGTAGGGCTGCACGATATTAGGAAAGCCTACGATATTCTATAACAGTGCTTAATATTGCGATATCGATATTACTCACAATAAATGAACGAATACTAAAGTATGCAGAGTTGATGTCGTCTGGCGTGTGACGTCTGCTCTGGGTTCAAAGCAAACAAAAACTAATGCATGAATTCCATTACAACATAACATTTTTATTGCAAAACATATGCAGCTGCACCTGCTACTGTATTATCAGCAAAACAACAAACTGCATGCATGCAGTTTCTCAGTGACTAAAACATCACCTCCACCATAAAACTTTTTCTGATGCTCCAAATACAGAAAAACATCCCTTACCAGGGTTTTTTGAATAAATAAAAAAAAAAATCAGAAAATAAGTTTAAATGTTAAATAATAGTTAACATCACTTAAATGCAACAGCAAATTCTCTCACTGCTACTGAGCATTTTCTCCACTTATGTGGTTATGATATAAGGCTGTTGCTGTAATTGGGAAGTGATCTGTGCTGGGCCAAACTAGGAGAATACCGTAAATCCTCTAATACAGGCCGGTATTCAATTAAAGGCCGGGTCTCCAATTTTGGCCGGTGTCGGAGTCAGCAGAGGTGAATAATGGCCGGTCTCTTATTGTGGCCGGGTGGAATGTAGTAACAAACAAACATGAGCGTCTCAGCGGCAGGGTTATAGTCCCCAAATCAACCAGCAGGAGGCAGTAGAGGTTCACACAGACATTTATTAGGCTTTTTCTTCAACGCTTTGTAACGCTACAGACACGATCCTCTATCATGCTCCAACCACACAGAGTCACGGTGTCAGTTAACCATGCTATTTCAACCCACTCCACAGAACACACATCACCTTCCCTGTGGCTTACATAGCACTCACACAACACGCAAATCGACACATAGGAACTAGCAGAATGATAGGAAACACATATAACACAATACCCAGAATGCACCTGGCTTACAACCCCAGTCAGGTCATTACACTATCAAGTTCAAAGAGAACATGCTGATTATGCTGCAGAACACTCTGGGGAGCAGTAGCAGGGGTTGTATGAACTAGTCGACTTCACTATAGTGACTTTTTATGCCTGTCGTCGACTAGTCGCTGTCACGTGATAATGACCGGCAAGATGCAGCCCTCGGAAAAGACAGCAGCCTGCTGTCAGCAGGTGACAAGCTCCTGCGCTCAGGGGGGCAATGCGCTGTGTCAGAGCATAGGTACCGACACGCGATCGTTCATGTCGGTTCCTTTCCTTTAATGTTTTCTGTCTTTTATTTGCGCCTGATGTGTTTCGCTGCTGTGGAGCGGGGCACATCAACTTGTCCTCCGACGCACAGATCACTGATGCGGCCGCTAAGCAGGGAGAGCTCCGCTGTTTTCGCGGTCGGTAGATCTGCCTCCTGAGCACGGCCACAATCAGGTGTCGCCACCTCAAAAACTAATTTAACACACGATCGTTCATGTCAGTTAATTTCCTTTAATGTTTTCTGTCTTTTATTTGCGCCTGATGCGTTTTGCTGCATGCTGTGGAGCGGGGCGCTGCGCGCATCACCTTGTCCTCCAACGCAAATTCCACTACCTCCGCTCCGCACCGCCACAAACGCCAGAGCAAAATCGGTCCCGTTGTAGTCAATCAGAGCAATTCCACTACTGCGGCCGTGCTCCGGCAGTGCGGCGCCGTGCGCCGCCCTCTGTTCCGGTGTCCGGCAAAAATAGAATCGATCCTATTTTCGCCGGAGCACCTCCGCAGTCAATGGACAGAAATCTCAACCGCCCAACAGGAAAAGGAGCAAGCACAACTTCCTTTTTTCACAATAAATCGATAAACAAAAGGCGTTTTTTTGTTTCATATGCACAGGTTTAACAACTTTTAACAACTATCAATGGCGGCTGAACTTTAAATGCACAAAAATAAGCCATAAATACAGTTTCTACTGTCAAAGTAGTCGCTCTTTGTTGATCCAAACACTGCTGATCTCTCAACACAAATGATGGGCAGATTAAACAGTTCATTTCGATGCTTCTCCCACACAACGGGTGTTTGGATCTAACTTCCGCGTTTATTGCTCGGACTGTATGATACGGCCGCCAAGCAGGGAGCGCTCCACTGTTTTTGCGGTCGGTAGATCTTTTAGAACTGCAGTTCAAAGGTAACTCATAAGGTCAATGTATATGAACCCAGGTAGCAGTTTTTCTTTAGGATTGAGAGGAGATGCAGGAAGATAATAAACAGGCAGGACAGAAAAATAGTCAAATAAAAACAAGTTAGTTTTTGTACCTGCTGGTTGCAACAAACAGACACCATTGAAGGTAATCAGAAGTGAGGACCAGAAAATGAAATAATTATTTTAATGTTTAAAGCAGCAGGAACTCCGAGAGGCTGCAGGCGCATCAGTGAGTTTGCAGCCGCTGCGCAGGGGGAGGGGGGAGAGGGCTGAAGCAGAAACTACCGTTGTTAAAAGAAATGTGTTTAACTTTGAAAATGTGGGCGCAATTTTAATTGTCAATAACTCCAGCGAACCATTAGTTCATTTTGCTCAAATAGAAATATAGGCCTGCCTCTAATACTGGCCCTCCTTCCAATAAAGGCCTGGAGCTTGATGAGCTTGAGTCAAATACAGGCCCGGGCCTGTATTAGAGGATTTACTGTATTAAGATTTTCTGAGGAAAGAGAAAAACAATTGTCTACCTTTCAGAAGAGGAACTGGCAAAAAAAACTACATGGAAAATATGTGAAAACGTTTGTTTTTAACCCCAAATTGAACAAGTTTACCTAGATCTTAAAATGCAGCTCAGATGATGAAACTGCAGCTATGATTATGATAACAAGCTAACAAATTGAACTAGCTCCTCTAAGATAACCGGCTAGCAGAGCTTCTGACTGACAGTTTATGTGCAGCAGCAAATCAACTATCCTGATTAACAAGGTTATAAAAGCTCATAAATGAAAAATCACTTTGATGTGTGGGGGAACTTTTCCAGGGCCTCTTTAGCAGGGTGGGACTGGGAGGAGAGTGCTGTAGCCTTTTAGCTGGAAGCTAACCGGAGCCTGGGGCTAACATCACCACCCGGTGGAACACTAGCGACATGAAGGTGGGTTGATCGCCGACACATGTCGGAGTCAGCCTGGTTATTATCAGCTGCTTAACGACACCGAGCGGACTCACGTTCACGTTTGAAAGCAGCGCTGATTCCAGAAACCTCAGCACAAAGTGCGTTCGTTAATCTGAGCCAGCATGACGAACAAGGGAAGCGAGCGCCAGCGGAAAGCGGGGGCGAAGCAGAGCGGAGACAGTAGAATTTTGGGGTAAGGGTCTACGTAGGGGGCAGGCGTATTACATGAACGGACCCATCTGATTGGCCGCATATCAGAAGGGCTACATTTGATTGGTCAAGTAATAATTCTGCGTAAAAAACAGCTGGTTTACAAAAAGTTGATGTATGACACGGATGGAAATTAGGTCTGTCGCGGTTGAGGAATTCCCCCTGCGGTGATTCAGGGTGGCTTAATATTGCGGTGTGCGATATTATTGCAGCCCTTTTTTTTTATTGCAGTACTATCTAAACAAAATGTTTACACATTTAAAAAAGGTGAAAAATTGCCGTGCCTTCTTTTATAACACTTTACTGAATGCAGATCAAAGGGCAGTAACAACACAGATCGCAGTAACGTTTGTTTCTCCGACAGTCGGAGTCCGACTGAACTTAAAAACAACAAAATTCAGGAGAAGGTTAAACTTTTAAATGCAAATTTGTCTGCAGCATCTAACAAATAAGAAAAAAGTCCCCATTTTGTTTAGTTGTTTAAAATCAAGCATAAAAAAATACATGTACCGGGCGCGCGCCGGAGGGGGAGGCGGGCGCACTATCATTTCACTTTCACACACACGAATGACGGTGATTTATAGCTCGGTCACGTCCTTGTTACCTACAAGGAAAACCTGCATGTTAACCATATACGGTTTGAGAGAGGATCTGAGAGGGGTGGCAACATTTCCAGCAACACTGAAAACCCTCTCGGATGGTGCGCTCGTTGCACTAACGCACATGTACTTGCGTGCGACTCTGGCGAGCAAAGGGAATCTCTCCCGGTTGCTCCACCATGTCAGGGGGTTTCTTTAGGGTGGATGCATTCCTCCTGCAGGTAGCGAGTGAGCTCCAGCTCGGCTCAAACTCTCTTCAGGACGGTTGCAGAAGCAGTGCTTGTCCGGGACTTCAGCAGGTCTCCGAGCATTTATTTATTTATTTATTTTTGCCGCTGGTGGCAGCTCTGTCTCGGCCAAGGACTCTGGTTTTCAGTACATCAGCTGCTGCGCAGCCAAAGTGCTCCCAAAGGAGCGAAGTAACGTTTCGTTTTGATACCAGTGCAGCCATCCTTCTCAACATGCATCATTGAGTTGAACCAAGTTCAGTAATCGCGGTGGCCCATGATGCAGCGCGGTGGGCTTCTTCATATTGCGATATTTCATTTTTGCGGTTACCGCGACAGCCCTAATGGAAATGTTTGAACCAAACATTTATCGCCGTTTTTGACGTGCTTTGCGATGGGCCTATCGCACGTTCTGTTATCGCGATGACGATAATTTTTCGATATATTGTGCAGCCCTAGTAAGGAGGATGTCTGAACCTGTGGTTAAGCAGAAAATGACACGTCCAGAATAACACCTCAAGAATAAAATGTAACAATGACATGAAATTAAGTGATAAAATCACAAGATTGAAGCAGCAAACATTTAGCTGCTCTTAGATTTTTAAGAACTGTGTTGTGTAGCATCTTATTAAACTAAATATTAAAGGGCACGTATTATGCAAATCTGACTTTTTGCCTCCTTTTGTTCTGCCATGTGGCTCTCTACTGCCTCTATAAACACTAAAAATGTGAAAAAAAATTAAATAAAAAACATCCATCCATGTTGAGACAGTGTTTGGTTTTAGGAATTAGGACCCTTAAACAAGCCATTTTAAAAAGTCCCTTATTGTGATGTCACAATCTGAAAAATTAGCATAGAACTTTCCTTTACCCTTTGAGACCCCACCCACCAAAATTGTTGAGGGCTTGACATTTTTATTTACAGAGACAGGGAGCGAGGATATGCTGGAGGGACTATGTTTCTCGGCCTGGGAACGCCTTAGGATGCTTTGGAAAAGCTGGCTGGTTGAGGAGAGGGAAGTTTGGGCCTCTTAGCTTAGACTGCTGCCCTCCTGATCCGATGCTTGATTAAAGGACAGTAATGAATAAAGAATGGAAGGGGATGTGACACAGAGCTACCAGTAACCATCAGCAAAACTCTTTTGGTGTGTGAACCACTTTGAGGCATTGGTTCTGTTGAATTGGGTGGTTCTATTTGGTCAGGATGCTTTTTAGAACCTCAGACGTTTCACAGCAGGATTTGCCAGCAAACCTTTGATTGAAAGAGCTGTTGCTACTCTCTGTCAAATCAGCAGATGCAGGAGATTTAAGTACTTTTAATAAAAGCCCAAGTCTAAATTGTTCAAAGTTGATGCCAAAGTCTTCCAAACAAGCCCTGTTCCCGAGTCAACGCCATCTTTGTTTTGCTCAATCGCAGTTCTGGTGCAAAACTTGCCCAACAAACCTAGAGTGCTGTGATAGGCATGGCACAAAACTGTTCTAGCCAATGGTAGGCCTGCTGAGGGTACAATGGAGTGTGGTTGGACCAACCTGCAGAGCATGTTTGCAAAAAAAATTAAAAAAGCATGAACATGTTTTGTATCAACCATCGACCTGTTATGACGAAAAATTATAACATGTCCCCTTTAAATAGTTGCTCGAGTTATTCTGGTGCAACAAACAAAGCATTAGACTAATTAAAGCATCAGAGGCGGATCATTCCAGCAGTAAGCTGCTGTGCTCCATGTGGAGAGATGGAGAAGACATACCTGCTGTGCCAAGGCAGGCACTTCTCTGCATAAACAGCCACATAAAAGAGTTCAGAGACTCAAATTCCAGTTAAACCTGCTGGAACTCTAAAGCGCTTTGTGCAGACCGAATCTACTTCCTCTTGTATAAGTCACAAAAAACGCAGACCCCAGTAAAACACAAGGGGATAGTCGTGGTACAGAAGGAGGCGACTCATGAGTCATTGATTCACATGCTCGTGTGACAAGGTAACTAGGAACAACATGTGAGTTAGAACAGCAGGCTGTTAAATCACTTCAAGTTGCATTTGAATTCCACTAATGTTCAGCCATGGGCTGACTAAGAGAGGAGGAAAGTCTGAGTTTGAAATGACAAAGCAGGGTATATTTTCAGCTGTCTCGTACCAGAGGTAGCTCCCAAAGTAGGCCACAATATTCTGGTGCATGCATTCCTTCACCATGAAGATTTCTTGCTGAATGATGGAAAAGTCGTCCCCTAAAAAGAGAGGGAGAAAACAGAGACGTTAAGGTAATTCACTGTACAAATCTTTTTCTACTTGCATAAAACTGGAGTGAATGGAAATCAACTGATCTGGTTTAGAGTTCATTTATTAAACTTGAGCAATTAGTGGGATAGAGGTTCTGGATGCCTTAAAATTAAGGTTTTCAAATGACATTACCTTGCTGAAGGATGAAAATCAAACAAATATGTTTCATATTTAACTCTGACTATTGCACATTACAAAACAGCCATCAACCTTAGAGGGAGCTTGGTGCCTTTTTCGACTTTGTGGTCTTGGCCAATTTCCAGAGCTGCTTCCCAGTGTACTCTTAACACATCCCACCAATAGGAAGTGAGAAAGTAAAAACACGTAAGCCAAGCTCCCAGTTCAGACGCAGAGCTCTGGAATCCATTAACGGGAGTTTAAGATCTACCAGACTAGCAGCTTCAGCACTTTATCAACACACCATTATCAAAGGCACCGGTCCAGATGAAACTCCTGTTACGACACATCCTGCTAAAAAACATTAAATAGCCAGCTGTGCACTTTATTACATTTAAGTGAGTCAAATCTACAAAGTGATATATACACTGGTTATATTATTTATAAACTGTAATAAAATTATTCTTCAGTCTCAGTCCAAGTGTTGCACATGTCTGTGTGTAATCTCACACCACAACTGGATTCAAGACACCGTATCTTGTGGCTGAAGTTGTCAGATCTAATTGTTCAAACGGTCTCCTAACCAAGAATAAACTTTCCATTTCCAGTTAGAAAATTGCTGCATAACAGTCATGCTTTCAGTCCGTCGGGGAGGGCTTACTCTTTCACATGAGCGCCTGAATTTACGCCTATTCAGAATCCCCACGAGCCAAACCTTCCTGTAACATACAGGAAGGTTAAATCTTGTTTGGACTATAAATCTTGCCAGAAAAAAGCATCAGCAGCACGGAACGACAGCAAAACGTTGCAGCTTCAAACAGAATCAACTATAGTCTATGGAGTGTGTCAAACCAGTTGCGATGCGGCAATTTTCAGGCGCATCCCAGAAGCGGCACGCCACACCGCTAAAGATAGGATCGGGTTCTATTTTTGCCACAAGCTGCTTCTGGGACACATCAATTTCTGCAGTTAACATAAGGCTAGACAGGAAATCACACAAGGGTTTCAATGTACAATCCCTGGTAATTTTCAAAATAAAAGTACTACAGTGATGCTATTTCATATATTTGAAGCTTACATGTGACCCAGCTAGGGATGTCCCGTTCCGACATTGATATCGGATATATCGGCCCAAAAACACTACCGGATTACCTCGGACTAGGGTTGTCACGGCAACCGGTATAGCGGTAAACCTCGGTAAAAAAGTTGACAATAAAAATAACCGTCCAGTTTTTAAAAAACGAAATTATCTCGGTGGGTTTACCGTGGCCGCGGTTTCTGCGCGATGACCCTTACCAGCCACCGTCGCTTCAGCTGAAGTTCCCGCTGCGCGCACACGCACTTTTTAATTTGCAACGGCACCAAAACTTTGAAGCTGAAATAATGGCCGAGGGAGGAGACGGCAGCGCCCAGGACATCCATCAGCCCTCAAAGAAGACTAAATCGGAAGTATGGGCATATTTGGGATTTCTGAAAAAATGCTGAGGGACAGTTAATAGAAGACGGCTATCCCGTTTGCAGAACGTGCCGGAAACAAGTGTCTGCAGAAGGCAGCAACACTTCAAATCTCATGGCACATCTGCGTGACGATCACCCACGTCTCCACAGCCAGTGCAAGGTAAGATAACATTAGCATTTTAGCTGAAATGCATGACGTGAGGACTTTTGGTTGAGGGAGAATGCAACGAGTCACTATATACTGCAGCCGCAGCGTCCTCTGCCAGCATTTAAACCGTGTCACGGACACCCTGTTGCTGGATGAAGCATCTTATTTGTTGATGATGAAGAGAAATATACAATTAGTTCCTTGTCATTGATTTGTTTACTTATTCAATGCCATTTATACTTGAACATTTGGATTTGATTACATAGTGTAGTAGTTATTTTAGTAATTTGTTTAAAGTGGCTATTTATTTTAAATACATATTTTTTAAGGTTGACTTGTACAGTGCTCAAGTCAAGTGTGGACTGGAGTTTTAGATTTTCATTTTGATAATGAAGAAAACAAGTATATGAGAAAACAAGTGGTGTTTCTTTGATTTGTTTACATATTGTTTATGTTTTGAATGTTTGGATTTGTATAATTTAAACCTGCACTGACTACTGTAACACGTTCCAGAAAAATAAGCTATTTGTTCCTTTACTTGTGAAAAGTTGCACTTTTGCTAAGGCTTTGTGTTATTTTAGGTTTAATAAACACTGTTAAACCTTTTCAGAACTATTTCAGTTTGTGTAGAACAGGACTATCAATGCTTTCTGAACATATGCAACACCGTTTAAAAAATACCGCGATAATACCGAAAACCGTGATAATTTTGGTCACAATAACCGTGAGGTTAAATTTTCATACCGTGACAACCCTAGCTCGGACTGCATCAAAAACCTCCGATATTAGCAGTACGTTCCGCTTTAAATTCCACTCCAGCAATTCTATCCATCAGCGCCCATATCCAGCATGCAAAGTCCACGTGATCAGAACAGTGTGCGCTAGCAAAGTAGCAAGGAACAATGTCAGCCATGTGGCTGTATTTTTCGTTAAAAGTCCGAAAAAGACGGCTCAGCGCAACACTTGTTACGAACAAGTTTTCCATGGTGGAACAGAAAAACATTGCATGAGGATTTTCAGTGTGTGAAATTGAAACTTTAGACACTCAACTTGTAGCAGTTGGTCAGTGAACAATATTGTTTTTTCCCTTATGTCCCTAACCTCAGCTGTTCACATTTATGCAACCAAAGATTAATATAAAATTGGTCAGTTTTTTATACTTACTGTTGCTGGCTTTTGTTTTCTGTTTGAGTAACTTCACTTGATCAATCCTTTTATACATTCCACACTATGAAATAGGTAAAAATATGTATGATTTGTGCTGATATCATATCGAATTGATATCAGTCAATACTGAAGGCTGTAATATCGGTATCGTATCGGAAGTGAAAAAAGTTGTATCAGGACATCCCCGGACCCAATGGTTTATTTACTCCCATTATTGTTCCTGAAGTGCACCATTGTCTATTTCACGGCTTTAATCTTGGCAGTGGAGAAAAACTACATCATATACGACATCAAACAGTGATATAAACTGTGATTTCCTTCTTTTTGGTTTAATGGTGGATTGCAAACCATGACCTTTGGAGTCTCGAGGGATTTTGTGATCTTATGAGTCCTGCAACAAGCACAGTCAGGAAGCCGTTCCGCAGCCAAGACTCTCCCGGTGTGTAATGGACTGCATTGAAGCTTGCTAGTAAAGCGTTCCACTGACATTCCGTGCCGCCTGATGCTTTCAGTGTGAAACAGGTGTAAAGCCTTGCAATCTGATGAAACAATTAGATTTTAATGAAGCTCATAAAGCAATCACTGGATGTGTATAATACGGATTAACTTTTCATATTCAAGATGGCTGCCACAGCTCAACGTCATTAGCAAACACAAAATGACATATGGTCATGAGTTTTGATATTGATAGAAAGAACAAGATGGTCAAAGTGAGATTCCACTTCAGACATTTAAGAGGGACACGAAGAACAACTTCTCCTCCACAACGAGTAGAGTCAGCTGAGGTGGTTCAGGCATTTGGTCAGGATGCCTCCAAGGGGAGGTTTTTCAGACATGTCTTTCTGGGATGATATTCCGAAGGTAACCCATGATTTGCTTAAGGGATTATATCTCCAGACTGGTCTGGGAACGCTTTGAGATTCAAACAGAGGTGCTGGTGGAGAGGACAATCTGGGCTTCCCTGCTGCCCTCCTGACCCAGATCCAGACAAGCAGAAGAAGATGATACAAACTGGTAGCCTAGCAAACCATCCATTTATAAAGTATCTAGCCTGACCACAACCCATAGACATAACTCAAATCCGTGCTTATCTTTCAGTCTCTGAATGTAACTGGACAGCACAAGGACCAATAAACAAACATAACATATTCATCACAACAAATATCATTCAACATGGCAGTCTGACATACACTGCCCAAGAAGACACAAATGCACCTTTTTTCTAAATAAAAGACTTAAGTACCTCTTCTGCTCCTGTCTCAAAGAAAAGGGCATTTCTCAAAGGGCATTTCCAAGCATAGGCATGTTTAAAATGGCTGCCTCATGGAGCTTGCAGTGAATTGAAATGAAATGAGTGTGACACGTAAACAAGCTGCAATATGTGAGTAACCAGTAGGTGGAGTTGACAAAATGAGTGAGATACACTAGGTCTAGACGGTAGACCGATATATTGGTCGGCTGATACACCAGGCCGATATACCTCCTTAGTAAGGCCAATTTAAAATCAAGAATCTCCTCAGGCAGCCCGGTGCTGCTGCACAATTTTTACGTACATGAATAACATCTGCATAATAAATGCTCTACAAATTATTTAGCAAAAATGTCTTTTAATATACCAGTTTTAATCATTTAATACTTGGTCAGGGAATTGGTTTGTTTGATTAACTTCAGGTAGATGTCTGAAAACTGAGCAGTGCACAAAATAAAAATTTAACAGTTGGGTGAACTCAGTGTTCAAAAATGGATTGAGCTTCAGAAATGTTGTGCAACAACTGATGTTATTAATGACAGTTTAGCATCTAAATAAGGTGGTAAACATCTATATCAGCCATGAAAATCTGCCCAAAAAGAGATCAGCAGCACAAATTGGCCATCAGCTGTCCATGAACTTTGCATATCAGCATTGGTATCGGCAATAGGAAAACCAATATCGATCGACCTCTACGACACACGCCATGGTCACTCCATCTCAGGTTCAGAGGTCTTTTATACCATCAACAATGCCGCTGCTGTCTTTTCTGTTGTGAACTACAAGTTAACCAGTTAATGACCTCTTCTATTGACACCATGTTTGATTTGGTTGCACCCTACAAACCCGGGGTCTCCATCCAGTCTGAGATCTCTATTGTGCCCCCTAATGGAACATTCCAGTACTACATGCATGTGAACAAAGAAGCAGCCTGCTGCCTGTGTCAACGCAAGGTTAAAAAGCAAGTATATTCCTGGCTCAAAACTAAACCCAAACACAATCTGAGTACTAATGGATTAAACTACTTCTTTGATTAAAACTTTCCATTAACCACTGGCATCTAATGAAAAACTGCATGGACTGAAAAACCTTTGGAGTCCACCTCATTTAGGACGGTCACTAAAGCCAATCAACCAAAGAAAACTTTACAGACACAATTTGTTGTTTTATAGTCCTCCAGGCACTACAAAATCATGTTGATATAAATTTAAAACTCTAGCATCAAAGGTGGTAAAAGTGTTTCTTTGAAGAATGATAGTCTTAACTTGACTTAACATGTCAAGAAAATAAGAACTGAATGAATCTTAATCTTTTCAACAACTTCTTGAATTTTAAAGGAAATTAGCATTTCTGCAGCTGCATGAACACAAGAAGGAACCACTGCTGATTGCATCAACTTCAGATATCTCTAATGACAGACAGCTAAGAGCCACTAATGATTGAACATGAAGTTACTGTGGTCAGCACAAAAAAGTAACAAGTCACCCCACAGTCTTCTCGTCTTGGTGGGTTGAGGCCTGAGAATGTAGTCACTTCCTCTTGAGCTGAGTGCTTCCCTCTGCTCTGAATACACACATTCTTGCTCTTCGTGTCAGGTTTCTATTCATTACGTGAGAGTTATTCGACGCTAAGTCTTGATCAAGTTAAGATTATTTGAATTAACAGTGAAGTGGTTTTGCAAGCAAAGCTGGTTCTTAGTCAGTACACTGTGTTTGGATTAAACTAAAGGACAAACCAAAACGCTACCAGTCTTGTTACGACATCTTTTCAAGCTCAACTACTTGCATGGTTATAAATTCAGGCCAGCAGAAAATGCTCTTATGGGAACAACCAAGAACATTTAAAAGAAAAACTGTGCAACAACAAAAAAGGGCAAAACGCCATACACTAGACATATTTTGATGTGTCCTGTGAGCTGGAATGAAAATAATTTGACCAAACAGGTAAAAAAATAAACTGAATGTGTGAATTTGAGTTAAACAGTGTTGCATGAAGTTTTTAACTAATTTCTAAATTTAATTTACTTTCCCTCTCTTAACATTTTATCAGAGGTGAAATCTTGGAAAATGTCTCTAAATTATCTTTTTAAATGAAGCCTAGCTACTTCTGCAGATCTAAACTAACTTTGTTTTCACGGTCTCTTGTTCTTACCAGCGTCACACACCTCCCAGTCTGACCTGTTTGACTGCACAACCCGCCCAAAGACCTTTACCTCTGGGAGTGAAAGGAGTAACTAGAGAAAAAGCTGGATAGAAAAAGTCCAGAAGCAAGATTTATCTATAACAAAAATCATAAATATAGTAAATAGAAATAAACAGATTTCAGAAGGTATGATCTAGACGAAGGCAGATATTCAGAGCTTTATGACGTGAACGTTAAATTCCATTAAATTATATTAACCATGAACGCAGCTTTAACTCCCTATCCTTAAACTTGAACCCTTTTTGTTTGAGTATTCCTGACGTATTTATGGTAAATGTTTACCATAAAGGTTTAAAGTAACTATTTATACTCAAGGTTTTCAGGACAACTCCCTTCACCTTCATCATCTTGAGTTTACAGAACAAACATCAGGCTTGAAAGAAAGAAGTGGTTTCAGTTCGAAGCACCACCAACACTGACTGTCAAAAAAATAAATAAATAAAAGAGAAAAAAAAACAAGCAAATCTTTTATTTCACTTGTAATCAGCTGAGTTCAGTGTGCATGCTGGTGGTGGTACAAAGCCCTTTTCATAATCCCACTAATCTGGATCACCCTAACTCTGCCACTAGGTCACCATCAACATGGACCCTAAGCTAGATAGGCATCAAGTGTCTTTTAGGTCCACTTACACTTAAAATCAATCCATCCAGCTCAAAACATTAATATAATATTTCTGGGAAATAAAACCCTTTAACCAGATCACAGAAGATTACAAACCCATATAAAAGCATCTAAAACAAATATTTTTGTTATTTTATGTTACAAACAAAAAAAAACCTTACCTGGTTCCAACTTTATAATCTTGACAGCTGCTAGCGCTCCTGTTTGGATGTTTCGAGCCTGAAGAAGAAACAATCATCAGCAAGGAAACAATAATAGCTGATAAACACTGGGTTTATGGCACGGTGAGAGTATGACGGGCTTTTGTTGCATCATTACAGAGCAAACAGCAGCAGATGATCCACTGTGGTTGACCTGTAAACGGGATCAGTTCAGAGAAGATTACAAGCCAAATGTTTGCTTTGATGGGGAGATTAATCAATCCAGGAAAGTCACAGCTAAAGCTCTAAATGTGATATTTAAGAGTAGACAAAATACAAAACGAAACCAGCCAGAGGTGCATCAGGATGATATAATTAGTAATCTGAGAAGGATATTATTGAAAAACTTAAACTATTGACATTTGGTAAAAAAAAAAATAAAAAAAAAAGAAAGGTACATTTTAATACACTGGTACATATGTCAGTTTTACTCACAAAGTGTGTGTAAACAATGGTGTAACCTAAAGACAAACACTGATTCTGCAACTACTTTCAAACACTTGCCTTCTAAAATGTTTGAAAATGTTTAAAATGTAAGCGATGAGAGTGAGGAACGAGTGAAACTCCTCATTTACTGTTTGGAACCAACATATTTCGCCTTAATGCATCAAAAGATCTCAGCAGTTTTTATTTTTCTGTGATTATTTACCATCTAAAAGCTATTTAAGATCATCTAAAGAACATCGATCCAGAGTTGACTTCATCGCTCAGACGTGATCTACCTTTAAACATATGAAATCATTTCTGATATAATCTGTTTTGTTTTATTACTGCGTTGCTCTATTTGTAAACATGTGATTAACTTTGCAGAGAAATCCTTTAAGAAACATCCATCCTTATTGACATTTCTATGCCAAAGCAAGCTGCGCTGTCTCACAAATCCAGGTCAAGACGGGATGCTCCCTAATCCGTGAAGTGAAGGGACGAGCAGCTAAATCAGCCGTAAACCACAAAACCATCCCGACTACCAACTTTACACACGAGGAATGTGCTGGTCATTCAGACACAAACATAAACCCACACAAAGCTTAAAATTACCCTACAGTCAGTCCCACATTGACACAAAATATCTCTACAAAAACACGTACTTGGGCGTTTATGTTCTGCGCATCTCAGCCAGACAGGTTTTTGAATGCTTATTTTCTTCTGTGGAAGTTTGCAAGGTTCAGCTTGAACATGCACGTATTTGGTGACAGAGGGCTTGTTTACAACCAGTGGTTCACTTTACACTTCCTGAAGCTGCTGTACCCAACTTGAGCACTGAACCAGGAAAGGAGAAGTCCTGAATTTACTGCTAACAAAGATGATGCAACAGATGAGGTAGCGTCAACAAACTTTACCGCACTTTGATGGAATGAGGAGTTGGGAATTTAACGCCTGTCTGACAAGAAAAAACAGATAAGAGATCTTTCAACATACCAGACTAAAAAGATTCATCTGATGTCTGAAATGATCTTTAGAAACTAAACATATGAGTGACAAATCATGAAATTACGAAAGTTAGGTGAGTAGAGGAAGATGCAAGAGTCCTGGTTCCTTATTAGACATCCCACTTTGACACAGACCAATACCACATCTTCAATTCAGATTTTTTTTAGATTCATGGTTTTAAAAGCAAAAGACAAGGTCATTTAAGCAAGATCGATTAATAAGAAGGAAATCAGCTGGATGATGGGAAGCTGTCATCCAAATGTTTTTTTAAAGGAGACCCTATGTTACTGTAAGAAACAGCAAAAACTACATTCAGTAAATATTATAGGATGTCTCTATAATAACATGAGTCTGTCTTCAACCCAATTCTGTCACCCACTGAAAAGAATCAAGGCCTTGAGCTTTACTTTCCAATTAGCTCTCTCACACATTCAGTTTGTTGTTTTAAAAGAGAAGTGACCACCTCGTGGTCAACATGAGCCTGCTCAATTAGAAATGGTGAATGCATTCAAAGCAACACAGAACAAGTCCACATTTTTTATGCAGTTATCTTTGATCTCCAACACGTTGCAAAGCTTCCTCTCCGTTTCCATGAACCTGGTTCGTAGTACAGTTACAGATAAGGATTTAGATGTTGGGAATGCTGTGCAAGGCAGGAATAATGAGGACTTTTCCCTATTCGAGGCATTTCCGCTGTCATTTCAGCGCTGAACACTCCCTTAGTGTAACACATGTTTGGACAGAGGCTGGGTCGTATTTCAGCCCACTGAAGCCGCCAGCTCGTGAGTGCTGAGAGAATACCAGGCACAGCATTCCACCGGTGGCCCGTCTGGGGGTGGGGGCTGGCCAGAGAGCCTTTGTATGAAGACAGGCTACGACAAACCAGCAGATCCAGCCTGGATCAGATGGTAGTAAGCCTGTTGGTCTGTGACAGAACGATAAATAAAAAGATTCTCTAACAAAGTACACTTCAAAGCAGCCTAGGAAACAGTAGCAAAACCATCTGAGGGTTCCAAAGTTTCTTTATTATAAACCTCAAAAACTGCATTGGTGTCGTACCAATAACACCTTGCTTTTATTACCCAAAAGGACATTTGCAGAACAACAGAAGAGGAAATTATTTAGGCAGAGCTGACTGAGATCTGTGTGAAATGGCAAGCAAAACTTTTGAGGTAAAGGCGACGTTTTCATCTAGCCTTTGGTTTTAAATATCAGTCTGAAAGCTCAAAATAATCCCCGTCTTTTCACTGCGGTACTTAACCAGGCAGCAGATTATATTTTAGCACCTTTCAGCAAACAGCTAAATAATGTGGTAAAACAGCCAGGCACGTTATAGTACTTTTGTTCAATGTGTCCAAGCAGACTGCTCATTGTGATGCAATAATCAGGTATGGACATTAATTGATTCACATTAAAAGATCCCATGTTCAGATTACTGAAATTAAACAAAGAAAGTCAGCTCTGGTGGTGGTATATAACATACAAAAATCAAAACAAAGTCACATTCTTCAGTTTGTGGATTGATTCTCGGGCAAACAAGAGCTTCCAGTGCATAAACATAACTTAAAACCTTCACTGACCACGTTTGGTCCCCTTCTCTCTCTCACTCTCACACACACACACACACACACACACACACACACACACACACACACACACACACACACACACACGCACACGCACGCACGCACACACACACGCTGAATAAACTTTTATGTTATTTTCCACGTCGCCGAGATGCCCTCTTGCACCCCACCATCAGCAGCAAGTTTCTACAACAAACTTGACTTATTACCATGCCATGCCTTGGGTGTCTCTAGCTTGGAGCTATGCATTATAACATCACACCATGCCAACAGAACACAAACTTACTGAATATAGCCCTTTACGATGCCACCAGACTACCAAACTGACTTGTGCTTGAAAAAATGGATGTCCTGCTTTAGATGAGGCAACACCAGCGGCATGCACTTCAATCTCAAAATCACGGCTGATATTAAACGTAGTTTAGTCAGCAAACAACAAATTGGTCTAATGAATCAAAATTTGCTAAATATATTGCATTCTTGGATGCGCTTTAGGCAGCATGTGATTTATGGAAATGCACACTGATCAGATGTCATTGGTCTGAAAGGGAATTTCCTCACACCCATTGTTCTGTCTTTTGTAACAGAAACAATTAAACTCAATGAGCCAGTTATAAATAATCTAGTGAAAACTGGCAAGGCAGATAATATTTAAAATAAAAGTGCTATTTGTGTCATTTCAGCAATAATCCACATTAGGGATGTCACCCCGGTGTTGGCTTCTCGGCACTGAATCCCAGTTGCTTTTAGAGTTTGTTTTAAAATACTGGTGTTGGCGTACAAATCGTTGAATGGACTGGCACCTTCCTATCTAGCGGACATGTTCGTGCCGTATGAGGCAACTCGCCAGTTGAGGTTGGCTGACCAGCAGCAGTTGGTGGTTCCAAGAACAAGGCTGAAGCTGAGAGGAGATAGGTCCTCTTCCGCTGCTGCTCCTGGACTTTGGAACCAGCTTCCAAGCAATATTAGACAGGCATCTTCTCTGGTCGTTTTTAAGTCGTTCCTTTAGACTCACTATTATTCACTGGCTTTTAACACTGACGGTATGTTTTTATCTGTGTGTGAAGCACTTTGGTCGACAGTGTTGTGTATAAAGTGCTATAAAAAATAAATGTGGATTGAATTGAGAATTCTTTAGTGTGAAAACCTTTAACCACAACTGTTTCTAATTGATACAACAACTAAAACCCAGCTCCATGTACCCTTATTCCTCTTCTGTGCCTTCTGGACAAGGAGACCATGTATTATAAACTACAAATGAAACTAAAACTAACTGTATTTGAATATTGTGGTGTTTCACAAACTTAAACCCACATCCATGTACTCCTATTCCTCCCTTTTCATCTCTGGACTAACTGTGGGTGGGTCCTGAAGCAAACGTCTTTGCTGTGAATTAAATTTACTGTGCATCATCATCCTTTCTGCCCTCGTTTGTCAAACTGTTGATTTTTCCTACTCGAAAGTCAGAATTTTAGATATCCGAGGAAGCGAATGCATCATTAGCTAATAGCAATGGAAGTATCAAGCCAACGTTATCTTAAACAGTTTATTTACCTGCTGGAGCAGATTAGGGTGATGATAACTCACTTTGAACGTTGCTAATGTTGTCATCATCAGTCACCCATCCCATTTAGTGAAGTGGACCCAAACTTTAGAATGTGTTCTTTCTACCACTCTGCTTTCTCTATTTACAGCTGGCATGCAGCAATGGACAACATAATGCTCTTGCACGTGCGCTGCGATCTATCTTGGGAAACCAGGGACTGAACTCTATGGTACCAAAACAAGGCACCATCTCACTGTGGTCGGTACCACAGAATTCGGTCTGTGTCTTAAACAGTACCAAATACAATAACCATCCCTAGACACATTTCATGTTAAAAATGTATAACTTTGGTCAAAGAAATTAGAAAACAAATATATATTAACCATGCATTCCCAAGAGAAGTTATTGCCATTCTGACAGATTGAAATAATTCATCTGAGAGCTTCAAGTATAAAATGAAAATTACAATAAAAATATTCAGATGTAACGATTTGTAGGTTGTTACTTTAATTTTTTTTTAAAACACCTACAAATCGTTACACAGGTTACATGCCAGCTACATGATAGTCCCACATGTTAAATTAGGCTGTGAAAAAAATAGAAGAAACAAAAACATAAAGCATCTCAATAATAGAACACATCAAGTTTAGGCACGCTTGTGCTACTTTGAATAGGAGATATTTAAGAGAAACATCTTGCTTTGTTATGAAAAATTGTTCATCGTGCTTTTGTTTCCTTATGTTTGTATTTCTGCAACACTGCTGTGCAAAATGCTCCTGCCAGCTTCAAATCACCTAAATTTCCTCATGTCCTAATGCTCCTATTCCAAATCTACTGGCTCCCCATCTGCTCTATAGTACATTATGACGACATTACTTCTCACTTAAAGGGCACTGAATGGTAAAAATCTCAGAAATGTTGTGAATGTATTCCATATTTGGTTCTTTTTTAAAACACAGAAAAGGTTCTTTTACCTTGCTGACAGTTTCGTTTGCCGTCAGCAAGGTAAAAGAACCTTTTCTGTGTTTTAAAAAAGAACCAAAAATGGAATTAGGAACTAGACACAGCAAGAACATACCAAAGATGTTGTCTATGTATGTTCCTAACAGATTCTTGAGGTCATGTGACAAAGGCCAGCTGGTTGTGCCACATCCAAGGCAGAAAACTAAAAGGTTAAAGACTGGGGTGTAAGAAAATATCAAAATGTCAATATAGCATAATGTGCGTGTGTGTGTATATAAAGTTTTACTTACTCACTTAAAATATTTACATATCTGAGTCCCGTTCCATCCAATTATATCATTTAAAAACATCTGCAGCTAAAGTGTTTGTGCTACTCATAAACCTGCAAAACAAACCGAGTTTATGAGCTGATTAGTCATCTTATCTCCAGCTTCTGTGGCAGACTCTGGGAACCAATGACTCCATCATACCTTGTAAACGTCTCCATAGGTCCCACTTCCCACCCTTTGAATGAGCTCAAAGTCATGCTGGGGGTTCTTCCTCTGAATTTCACCACTCGGTCGGGGAAAGATATCCATGACAGCTTGAATCAAATGGGTCCTTTACATTTAGTTGGCTTGACTCGTGGTTGCCGAAATACTGGTCTTCAATATGAGCCGATTAATACAACTCAGAAAGTCTCTGTCGTTGCTCCATGTCCTGAGTCAGATTTTTGGAGAAAGCATAAAGAAAACATTTAAAATACTAGATTAATGGTTATCTTTAAAAGTAACAAACAAGAGTCCAGGTAAAAGCTTTTAAAGTGATATTTTTCACCAACTGTTTAATGTGTAACAATGTGAATTATAATGTTTAATCACAAAGTGTTTCCCTTATAGGCAGCAAATGCACCTTTATTTACAGAGGAGCACCGTGGCTATTCCAGCAAATAGCCAGAGCCAGTCGGAGGGTTAGTCGGCTAACATGCTAGCTAACAATTTAGCTCCACGTTTGGTTCAAACTAAGAACTGTACTTACCGTTTAAAGCACAAAACCAGCAGGCACACAAACGCTGCATTTTTATCGTCTAGAAACCTTTAACTGTGCGGTGGCGTCGAACAAAAGAACGAAACGGCCAGCAGTGCTCCTTTGTTATCGAGGAAACAGTAGTAAACTTCACTCCGCACCGACTACATAGTACACTTCAAACTCCGAAAATATCCTAGCATTAAGTTTTCATCTTCTTATGTCATTAGCCTCTATTGGCAGTTTTAGAGAAGCGATAGGCTCAAACGTAGGATTTTAACGGAAAACTGTCTGAATAAGATATTTTAACGGAATAAATAAAAAAAAAGACTCCCGTGAAAGCAACAGTGTGCTGCTAATCTTTGTAGACCAGAGTTGCTGGATTCTAATATGCTGCATTCAGGGTACCTCGAAATATCTTCCAGCCCGTCTTTCACAACACGAAAACAAAACACACTGGCAAAAATAATCAAGTTTTCACTAGTTTGTCACTTGTTGCACATTGCAAAAACCATGCCAGTTATATTTTTTACATTAACATTAAAATTAAATCAACATAATGTTACAGTGTTTGAGACAAAAGTAAAGGTCAGCCTTTGCGTATTTCCAAACAAATTCTTCAAAAAGTGCAAGATGTTTCCACGAGTGACACTAATAATAAAAGTTGATTGTGTCACAACATTTCAGTTCTAGAATTAGCTAAAATGTCTTCACAATAATTTATTTACTTTGTTTATGAAACGAGGTGGCTGGCATACAGAGTGATTTAGAATAGAATAGAATAGAATAGAATAGAATAGAATAGAATAGAATTTATTGATCCCACAGTAGAGAATTCACTCATTACTGCAACACATATACTTAGAGAAAATGAAGAAAAAAATAAGATTACAACTAAACACACAAAGACATGCTATTATTGCAACCTTCAACTTGCACAAAAAACAACAAATAAAAGGAAATTTGGGTTTCCAAGACTATGCAGGGACAGAAACATACTAATGTACATCCGGTATTGCACAAGTATTGAATACGTACTCAATTTTGTATTGCATTAATGTTATTGTGTACCAGGAAAATACAGTTCAACTGTGTAGTTATACACTATTACTGCAGTGGGAATGAATGACCTACGGTAGCGTTCTGTTTTACATCTTGGTCTCAATCTGCCACAAGACACTGAGCTGTCCATGGCCTCCACAGTGATATCAAGTTGACTCCAAATCCACCAGAAAACTACCATTTAACATATTTGAGCCAAATTAATTTGCATTTCTATCAGAATTTGTATCAGAGTTTGACATAGTACCACTGTACAAGTTATAACAAAGAGAAAAAACAGAAATAAAACATGTGCTGTCTTAAAACCATTTTTATAGCTCACAAATAACCATGTGATGTTTTAAGACATTATGGTACAATAGTTAGCTCTATTTATCATTGTTTGTACAACGTATTTGATTTATTTCCTACAAATAACAACCAAGATAGCCCTGCACATTTCTTGACAAGAAAATATCCTTTTTTTACATGAAGTTATGTTTGTTTTTGCCTTAAAAATTTAAAAATAAAACAAAAAGCACATAAGCATATGAGCCCCTAACTTTGAGAAACAAGTGAATATTGTACCTTTATACATTTTGGTAGCAGAAATGGTAACATTTTTTACAAACTCATAAAATTGCAAAGCCCTGGTATTTGAAAAGCATGTAAAACGAATAGTATTTTTCTTTGTAAATAAGTACTTTGTATTTTATAAGTTAATTGTATTTTGTTCTATTTGCCATCGAATTGTCCCACAAAACGTTTGAAGTATTTACGTAGTGCACCTGAAGGCAGCAATTGTTCCAACCTGTACAATCCTACCACCTAGCGACAGAAACTGAAACTGCATACAAAACATTTTTATTACCACGATTAACAAAACAAATCAAAACACTGCATGGTCCATTGGCACGAAATATACAATTGACCGTCGTAGTGGATTATAAAATGGTGAAATAGATAAATGTGTCCACCTTGAGTTAACAAGGCTCCACGGTTACAGAAACAATAGAAAGATACATCAGCGCCCCCTGGCGGCGCTCGTGATCGCCACATCACGCAGGAAATAGAAGAACCTCCATCACCCTCCTGTGAGAGGAGCCTCGTTGTGCCGGAGCATCCTCCCTGCTCCACATCGCTCATGACTACCGACTAGGATTACTCATTTACACACAAGCCGAGGGACAAAAGGACAGTAAAATGGCGAAACGCCGTCCAGACAGAGACAGCTGGGGTGAGTGTACGTCCAGCATCTCATTTTCACGCTCCTCCATCATTAAATGAAGACGACTGATGTCACGGTCAGGGTGGATGCAGTATGCAGTCAATTATATGTTTATATGAGCCTCGACATTTAAACGATTGTATTTATTCGACTATATTGTGACCAGTACCTGATGATGTTGATGCAGTAACTCATTGCGCCACTGATATGGAGGAAAACGCCGTTTTACAGTTTGTTCCTGCATTTAGATCCGACACCCAGGCATGAGGAAACACGGTTTCAATGTTTTATTCCTACAACAATTAGCCTACAGAATATGTTCGGCTAGTATTCAATCATCCCTTTCATTTGCATCATTTACTATTATGTGTTTAACTGAAAGCTTAGTTGTGCATTTGGCTTAAAATTATGTAATATTGCATCAGAAAACAATCTGACATCATCCTTATGACCACCACCTGCTCCCAAATCATTAATCTCATTCCCATCATCATGATCAGGGTGATAAACAGCATCCTCTTTAGCTCCAGCTTCCCTGCAGGAGGTGGGAGAGGCCTGGATGTCTGTTTAAGAGATGAAGAGAGGCAGAAAGAAAAAAAAATGCTGTTTGTTAACGGAGAGTTTATCTGCTCTGACCTACTTACAGCAGCTTCGGACGTCTTTAGCTGTTTTAAGGGCAGCAGCAGCATCATGATCAGGTTAACCAGGCGTGCTCATGCCAGGCCTCTGAAGAAGCCTCTGCAGGAAATTTAAAAAAAAAACGGACAGTCCTCTCCAGGCCTGAGAGGAAACCCTCCTTGATTTCTTGTTAAATTATTCACTGTGCATTTGTGGTGCCCTGCATTAATCTTTCATTGCAACCCAAAGTGTTGACTGCTACTTCTTGACCTGTTACATGAGCTTTGAGTTTGCGATTTTTAATTACACCTTCAGAAGTCAGGGTGAGTGGCAGAGTCAACACGTGCTTCCATGATCCATGAACATGAAGCAGCACAAACTGGATTCCCATTTCCTGGAACGCTTTAAATGCATGTGAGCTGACTGGATACCAGATCGGATGGATAGAGTCGGATTCACTAACAAGATTGCATGTAGAGTTATTGATATGAGGGAGAACTGAAAGCAAAAGAGGATGTGTCTTTCCCGCTTCCTCGCCTAATGGGCTTTCTCACCAGTGTTCTGTGTGCATGGTGGGTGATAGACAGCAATGTCAAAGACACTCTCCTCGAGTCCTTTCTGGAAGTTCCTTGAGACCGTCCGATTTGTCCTTCAGGGTCCCTCAGTGACAAAAACGTCTACGACTGGAGCTCAGAGGACGAGGAGCAGGACGGACGGGCCAGGCCCGTGCAGGTACTGTTGGTCAAAGACGACCACACCTTCGAGCTGGACGAGGCGGCGCTGAGTCGCATCCTGCTGTCTGAGAAGGTCAGGGATCGCGAAGTGGTGGCCATCTCTGTGGCGGGGGCTTTCCGCAAGGGCAAGTCCTTCCTCATGGACTTCATGCTGCGCTACATGTACAACCATGTAAGTTTCACCCATGTGCCGCCCTAATCCCTCCAAAATCTGGGGACGTTTCAGACTATAATCTAGATTGAATCAATCAATCAACCAATCAACCAATCAATCAAGTTTTATACAGCACTTTCCACCACCCTCAAAGGTGGCTCAATGCGCTGGACAAGAAAAGTAACAAAGATAAAAGTAGCAAGTCATAAAAACATTAAAAACAAAATAAGAACACAGACATTTGTGAGAACAATAAAATGCCAATGAGATCAAATTTAGATAAAAGAAAATTAAAATTAATTAGTTAAAAGAAAGCTAAGAACAAAAAATAAAAACAAGAAACCAAATGCTTTAGGAGAAAGCCATCCTATAATAATTAGTCTTCAACCTGCTCTTTAAGGCTGCCAGTGATGGGGATCAATGGCAGTTTGATTGTGAGTGGGAACTGGTTCCAGAGAGAAGGTGCAAGGACGTGAAAAGCCCGATCACCACGAGTCTTAAATCGGGTGCGAGGGACGTTAAGCAATTTCTGGTCAGCCGACAGTAATGACCTTGAGGGAAGAACATGCTTTATTAAGAGCTCCGCTAAGTAGGTGGGGGCACTGCCTTGGAAAAACTTAAACACTGGAGAAATGTGGTCCCTTTTCCAGTTTCCTAGTTCCTAGATCATATCTGGAATAACAAAATGTAATTCAAGTGTTATTTCTTTTTATAATAATTGAAGTAACCTGTAGCGTGTTACTGTTTGCCTTCAGTAACACAGGTGAGGCAAAGCTCTTTCACATGAATAAAACCATTAGAGTTAAAATGGAGTAAAGAGGGACCAAGAGCACAAACCAGAATTGGACACCTGATATCTGACTCTTCCAACAGCAGCAAACAAATGTCATTAATAAATAAAAGAAGCACACGGGACATGTTTAGAAAACTTGTTAAGCACTTAAACGAGTCCACCTGCCATCGCTCAGATTAAAACCCTCTTGGTTTCACGCTTTCCTGCTAGCCTCCATGTTGGCTTTGTGCTTGGTCCTTTGTTGTTTTGGGGTGACACTAAATGATGACATATGTTAAGTATTTCATGCATATTTTTTATGAATACTGCTCTTTAAAGTGCAGCAAAATAGGCAAAATCAACAAGATAAAAAATAAAATGACGATCCACTCTTTTCCAGTTTAAAAAGGGCTTCTGATTTGGAGGTGCTGATCCTCAATCCAGCTGCTTAAAATAAACAAAATGTTCACAAACATGATAACATTTTCTTTATTTTTTTGAATTAAGAAAATCTGATTAGAAAAATGTGCACAAAAAAGCCACTTTATGTTCTTAAAAATTGATTTTTGCAGTTGGTCATAACTGGATGGAGCTAAGAGGAGCACATCATCTACAAAAAGTAAAGACAAAACATTCCTGCCACCAAACTCGACACGCTCCACCCAGCTGCTGCATCTAGAAAAGATGTTCAAAAATATTTTAACCTGGAGAAATAAGCATGAAAAAGTTATATTATCCTACTGATGAGTCTCCACAGTCACCAATAAGGAACACGCAGCAACAGGCTCATAGGCTCACGTTGGGCACCAAACTACAGTTTATGAGCAGCAGACAAATGGTCTGAAATATCCCTGAAGGATTTCCATCTCTACCAGGTAACACAGTCAGCTGCTGAAGACTAACATATCTATTGAACTGTTTTGATGCTCAGGCGTCTGACGTCTGGCTTGGAGATGCAAACGAGCCTCTGACGGGCTTCTCCTGGAGGGGCGGCTCAGAGAGGGAGACCACAGGGATCCAGATCTGGAGCGAGGTCTTTCTTGTGGACAAACCCGACAAGACAAAGGTAAGACTGTGTTTTTAAACTCTGTAGCTGATTAGTCTTTGACACCAGGTGAGAGTAAAACTCATTTAAAGCAACACTGAGTAAGTTTCCCTCTTCTCCCTCCTAGTGGTTGAAAGCAGAATTACAACTGACACATACAGCCCTGCCCCAGCCCACTGTAGCTAGCACTAACAACGAGCTAACTGATACCAAATAAGCCACGAAACAAAAAGATCCACAGTGTTGGACACGATATATTAGTACTTCAAGTCCAGTAGCAACAAAGCCAGGTCACCATCAGTCTGTGATTTTGTAGTCTCTTCTCAGATGTTCACTCTGGTTTTAGCTCTTTGCTTTGTCTCCAGAGATATTAGTGTCTTAGTTTTACTTCCAGGCTCTGCTGCAACAAAAGCTAAATTCTTCTTCTTTTTCTTCTAGTGCTTTTTATTGATGGTTGGTGAACTGAAAAAGCTAACTGACAGCTTTTATATTAGCTAACTGCACAGTAAACATCTGTTGCTGTAAAGCAGGTAGATACCTCCCACTAGAGTATCTACCCGAACCACAAAACAGCAGAGGGCTGTCTAATGTGAAGTTGCTCAAGTTTCTGGCTTTAAGAATCATGGCAACCAGTTTGAATGCAATAACTTAAAATGATAACAGCCAAGGTTTCAGATTATTTTTCAGAATATTTGACATTCAAGTGTTACATCAACCCTCCACCCCCGTATTCCACACCTTCATCTCCACACGCTTAGACTTCTGCAACTCGCTTTGAACTTGTCTGAGCAAAACCTCCGTGAACCATCTACAGGTGGTTCAGAATGCCTGTGCTCGGCTTCTGACCAAATCGTCAAAGTACACCCACATCCCCCTGCTGCCGGTTACCTTCAGGGTTCATGTCAAGGTTCTGGTTTTCTCAGTCCCTACACCTCCAGCAGGTCCCTGAGGTCCAGTGACCAAAGCCTACTGGTTGTGCAGCACACAAGGCTAAAGGTGACAGATCATTTGCTGCTGTGGCCCCCAGACTCTGGAACTCTCTCCCCCTGAGCCTGAGATCAGTGGACTCAGTGGTCTCCTTTAAAAAGCAGCTAAAAACTCACCTGTTCAGGCTGGTTTTTGCGTGGTCTTCATCTCCACCCTCTCCTTATTCTGCTCTTTCTGTCTATTCCGCCTTTCCCGGGATCCACTGATTTCCCTCCTTCCCATTCATTTTGTTTCTCCCTTTCCACACATTTTTATTCACAATTTAGTTTCTCATTTCAACATATTTTAATCATGAAAAAAATAAAAAATTATATTTTTAATTTTTTATTCTTGTGAGGCGCCTCGTGACTTTTATCTTGAGAGGTGCTATATAAAAGATAATTTTCTTTCTTACTTTCTTTTCTATTTTTTATTAAGTAAGTCGGATCCATGGGCAGCATGCTGAAACACGTCAGTGTCTTCTCTTATCCCACAGGTGGCTGTGTTGCTAATGGATACGCAGGGCACGTTTGACAGCCAGTCCACGCTGAGGGATTCGGCCACCGTGTTTGCACTGAGCACCATGATAAGCTCTATGCAGGTATGAGGACCTCATCAGTTTGTAACCCTGGTGTACGTAACCCTATAAAAGCGCTACACAACGGGTCACTTTTCACCAACAGTACTTAGATTGTCCAGCAGAGGGCAGAAGGCACAAAGGATTTGTGATTTCTGAGGAAAGTACTAATCCTGTTAATGAGGTAGAGCTCTTAGAAACACCTGATTCATGAATCACTGCATGGTTTTAATAAAACTCTGAAGTTATTATTGGTTGTTGTTCCAATTCAACAGCTACTCAACAACAACCCCCCCCCCCCCCCCCCCCCCAAAATGATTTAATTCAGTAAATTCAACAACTATTCAGCTAAAATACACGCCTTCTCGCAGGCTGAGATCACTGGATCAAAACCTTTTAATGGTCCCACGTACTCAGTTCAGGACACGAGGAGATCGCTCATTCCAGGCCGTCGCTCCTAGGCTCTGGAATGAGCTACCTCTGTCATTACGCTCAATCGACTCAGTTGATGTTTTTAAGAGCAATCTTAAAACCCATTTGTTTCTCCAGGCATTTTAAACTTAGTCTCATTCGGATTGGTTGTATTTGACACTATGTATATTGTGGCTGTATTTTACTGTATTTATATGTTGTTGCCTTTTAACTTGTGAAGCACTTTGTGACCTTTTTTGTCTGTGAGAGGTGCTATACAAATAAAGTTACTTACTTACTTACTTACTTACTAAAATGTAATATGCTTGTAGCTGAGAACTGTTCACAACACATACTCTGAGTGGTAACAAATTGCATGAAATGTTGAGTTTAATTTTCTAGATTTAATTTTAAAAAAAGCTATAATTTTTCAATTCTGTGACTTAAGTTGATTTTTGCTTAAATCATGAAGGTTGGGGGAAGATTTTCATTCATTTGACAAATGCTAGTTTTCATTTTAAATGTTTTATTTTAACAGAGAAATACTTTAAATAAATTTTCTTTTTCAGGTTTACAACATCTCACAGAATATACAAGAGGATGATCTTCAGCACCTACAGGTACCCCCCACCCTTTAGAAGGGGGTTGTAGTAATTTGATGACGTACTAATATGCTAAAATATTGATGATTTTATTGTAATACATAGACACAAAATGTGTGGTGCAAAAACGAAACATTTTCTCTTACTCGCTGATGTTTTTCTCTTTATTTCAGCTTTTTACGGAGTATGGTAGACTAGCAATGGAGGAGACCTTTCTCAAGCCCTTCCAGGTACTTCACAGGATAATTCTCTCTAGATTTTAACAATATGCTGATTTAAGAGCAGATGATGGTGAGGCTTTGTTCCACTAGTCCATGATTTTCCTGGTTCGTGACTGGAGTTTTCCATACGAGTTCCCTTATGGACAGGAAGGAGGCATGAAGTTCCTTGAGAAAAGACTAAAGGTGAGTTGGTCAAGAAGTTACAGAGCATGTGTGATGTGCATGTTTGCACGAGGTTCCTTTGAAGAAACGGTTTTATCTGATCAGGTGTTTTTTGGTTGGACAGATCTCAGAAAATCAGCACGAAGAGCTGCAGAATGTACGGAAACACATCCACTCCTGCTTCACCAACATCTCCTGCTTCTTGATGCCCCACCCTGGCCTCAAGGTGGCCACCAACCCACACTTTGATGGAAGAATTAAAGGTATGTTTTCATCAGACATGTTTTACTTTGTGAGTTTGGATCGATTGTCCTACACTTTTTGGACTAAGAGTTATTTTTACCCTCATTTCTATATCACAAAATGTCTATGAAGCCACTTATAAAGCCCTTAGAATAACTTATTTTGATGGTAAAAATGTAACGTTCCACAAAAAAAGCCCCCCCAAAAACCCCAAAATTAAGTTGTTGGTTATTTATGGCTAAAATTTCCTAAAAGGATTTCCCCTAAAATGTTTAAAGACCAAGTTCACCAAGAAACCAGTTTTACTTGTTATTTTTAAGTTAAAACGGGCACTCTGAGTTTCACATGCAGGCTAAATGTGAAAATAGTCATCTACCCCTACTTCCTGCGTTAGCCACTGATAGAAAGCAGATGGGGTAATGCTCGGATTAGAAAAGCCACACAGACCTATGTCACAGGGTGTTTCTCAATGCCAAGGCCTTGCCTTGATGTCTTGGCCCCGCCCCGGTTGCCTAGGAGATACGTCATCAGGAGCCGCCAAGACGTGTTCCAATCTGTTCCAGTGTTCATGTTCTACCGAGGCGTGTGTTCTCTGTTTGTTAGCCGTTTAGCTAGCTGAGCAAGGATACACGGGAGGTGTCTTGTAACCTAGGCTTGGTCAAAAAATTACCCACAAAACGCCGCAGTATTTTCAAAAAGACGGCGGATTAGAAGCCGGCAACTACTTTGGAGACAATATTCAAGTTTAAAAGTAAGTCAGCTAATTTAAAATAGTTTTTGGATCCAAAGAAGTTTTCTATGGTTGGTTAGTTGCTAGTAGTTGCAGCTTCGGTGGCTAGCGGTTAGTAAGTCACTTGTATTTTTAATTTAATAAACATATACACAATTTAAAAAGTCTTGTTATACAGTATATTTATATTGAAACTAATACATATAAAATACAAAGTTATCTCCTGTGTCACGTGATGTTACGTGACCGCCGTGGAAGCCGCGGTCACATGATGCAAGTCTGTTCCATTTAACCGTTTTCTTTGACCAAGGAAGGACAGTGTCCTTGTAAGCAAGGCGCCTGGCCTCGCAAGACATCACCTCGCAAGGCCAGGCGCCTTGACATTGAGAAACACCCACACTGTAAGTAAAGTCATAGACTCACCCATCTTGGCTCGCAACAGGGAAGGCTGTCGTTGGTTTAGCGTCCAGGAAAGAGCAGAGCATACACTGGCTAGTAGAAGCTAATCGTTAGCATTAGCAATGCTGCCACACTCCTTTATCCTTGTGTTATTTGTGGAGATAAAACATCAACATTGCAAACCAAACTGAGTCAGTGGTAGAGTCACTTTTTTGTTAGAAAATCAGAGGCGAGATATCCAAATATCAGGAAACAAGACTGCAGATCATGCTGTCTAGTTCATGAAACAGCATCAGAGCTTTTTTCCCCCCACAGAAATAGACTCACAAGAGATTCATTACACAAGAGACCACTGCAAATGTGTTGGAAAAATCAGTGAATTTGATCTTTAATTCAACTTCATATTTAAATGTGATTCTAAATGGTGTCTGTTAGCCTAGCATTTAAGCTAAAATGGTAAGATGTAGCTGGTAATGTTTTTATAGATTTGCCTTATAATCAGTGCTCCATATATTATCCATGGAATCTCCACAGACGTTCATTTCTCAGTGAGGTTGAATTATTTTACCTTTAACTATGATGTTGATATGCCTCAGTGGCTCCTTTGGTTAGCGTGCTAGCATGCTGAACAACAACATGCTCATGATTGTTCCTGCTTTTCTGTCTAGAGATTGATGGTGAGTTTATAAACAACCTGAAACTTCTGGTGCCCTGGCTCCTTAGTCCAGGTAACATCGACGTGAAGGAGATCAACGGCAGCAAAATCACCTGCCGAGGCCTGGTGGAGTACTTCAAGGTCGGAACAAAGCACCAGGAGCTTCATGCCATCTCAGGGCTATTTTCTGATTATCTGATAATTAATAAATTCTGCACCACTTTTCCTTCAGGCATACATCAAAATTTACCAAGGTGAGGAGCTGCCACATCCAAAGTCAATGCTGCAGGTGCGTTTTGTCTCCATTTTTAACAGATTCTTAAAAAAAACATTAAATTTTCTTATTGTTTGTTGTGTTTAAACATGAAAACAATGTGCTTCCACTCAGGCCACTGCAGAGGCAAATAATTTAGCAGCCGTTGCAGCTGCAAAGGATTTATACAACAAAAAAATGGAGGAGGTTGGTGCAAACGGGCTTTGTGTGTAAAATGTGTCCAAGTTCTGTCTGATTTTCCCACAATGACCTAATCCTGTCTGCTGCTCAGGTCTGTGGAGGTGATCGGCCCTTCTTGGCCCCCAGCGAGCTGCAGGCCCGACACGGTGTCATCAGAGAGGAGGCCCTGCAGCTCTTCCGGGGCGTGAAGAAGATGGGAGGCGAGGAGTTCAGCCGCCGCTACCTGCAGCAGCTTGAAGGAGAAATTGACGAGGTGTTCGTTCAGTACATCAAGCACAATGACTCCAAGAACATTTTCCATGCGGCCCGCACGCCGGCCACCCTGTTTGTGGTCATCTTTGTCATGTACGTGGCGGCGGGGATCACGGGCTTCGTGGGTGTGGACATCATCGCCAGCTTGTGTAACATGATCCTCGGCCTGGCGCTGATCACCCTCTGCACCTGGGCCTACATCCGTTACTCCGGGGAGTACAGGGAACTGGGCGCCGTCATCGACCAGGTGGCTGGGGCGCTGTGGGACCAGGTAAATCCCAGATAAACATTTGAAGATGGGCAGCAAAATTTTATTTTTAATTCAAGTATGCTAATGTAGTAAGAAAAAAATAATTTAAAGGTGAAAGAGCAAACTACAAATGGCATAAAAGAGACATTAAAAACATAAATGTAGTTTTAAATGATTTTTTAAACAGTTCATTCACTTAATAATATAAATACTAGTCAATATTGATGATAATCATTGTCTATCAGCCAGTAAAAGAACAGCAGGTATAAACATAAGAGCCAAAGACACACTCTTGCTGTAGATTCACGCTTTTGACACAGCGCCCCCAAAAGGATAAGTGTTTAACTGCAACTATAGATTCAAAACATGCCAATAGCCTTGTTCGAGATGAGCAGCGCCTCGCCTGGAAAACAGGCGAGAGCAGACGGACGCAGCAGGGGGAGTGGCTGAAAGCCGGCGTTTAAGTCGGACAGATTTCCCCACATGTAGCTCGCGGGTGACGATGGCTGAAGATATCACGTCAGCGTTCATACATGTTTAATTTTAAATTTTAATTCTGGTGCCTGTTAGCAACTGAAACACATCCTCACATGCTTGTGGATATCATATATTGTACACATGTGTATATAGAGACATGACTGTAATAATAAGTAAAGATTATCAGCTGTAGTTTTTTTAGTGTGCTTACAGAAAACGTGACAAAAGAACACAAAACACATTTCTCTTTACGGCCTGTATAGTTATCATCAACGTAACATGATTTACAGAATACATGTGACCAACTAACATTTTGCATTCTACCACCGGATGTTTGGATCAAAATTGGAACCAATCAGATCTTAGATCAGGTGAGAGCCAGGCGTTTCCCGTCATGCCCTAGGCTTTGCAGCCGGTGGAGAGAAACTGCAGCACCTTGCTCCAAAATCTGCAGCCGCCTTGATCTCACGAGGTTATCGTTGCCTACGTAGGCATGACGTCAGAGCAAGTTGGCGGACACAGATCTAACTGGCATGCACTGCTCGCCAATCACTGGTGATCGAATCTGCGTAGAACTGGCTCCTCTCGGACACGGCCAATTCTTTCACGTGAAAAGTTAGAAATGCAGCCTACAGTTTTATTAGAAGTTAGAAATTTTAAATTCAAAATTTTTATTACAACATTAAAATTCTTTAATTTCTGGTCAAGCTTATTACATCAAACTATTAAAAAATTGATCAAATTCTCATTCCATCTAACTGAAATAAGTTGTGTGTTCCTTCACATACGTTCACTAGTAATGCTACTTTTATAAAGCACATCCATAGATCAACCACCTTATGGGACCAGAAGCCCACCGATGGCTTCCCAAGGTCTCCGGGTCTGCAGTCTAACTTGGGTGGAATAACATACTTCAACCACTAGGTGGCAGCAACTCACCCCTTAATATAAACAAGCACTTAATCTCAGGCCCATTACAGTTTTTTTTCCAAGTAACCTACTGTGTTTTATTCCTGTCTTCATTTGCAAATCAGCTCATAGTTTTGTTCTTTTTTTCTTTAATGCCTCTGCAGGGGAGCACCAATGAGGTAAGTGTGAGTATCCTTTTTTATTTCCTAAAAACAATTTCACTTTAGAACACGGTTGTACTCTTGGTGAAAAATGGAGCCTAACAGTTTTGTAAACCCGTTGGTATTTACCCGAGTCTGGAGAGCTCTGCTCAGCCTCAGGCCTGCTGGGACACTTTACCCATTAAAAGAGACACTTCACATTATTTAAGTGTGTTTCTGGGGAAAATGTAAAGAATAATTCATACAGTTCCTGTTATACTGACCAGATTGATGCATTAACTGTTAGCCACATTGAGGAAAGTTGCAAAGGAGTTTTTTTTAACTCTTGGTAAATTTTCAGTAGACATATTAGGAAATTCTGACAGGAAGTGCTGCAGGATGCTAGCTCCATGGCTAAGTTCTACTACAAATGACTTTAGATTATGTGTCAAAAGACATTAAATGTTACATGTATGACTGACATATGTGACAAGTTTACAAAACAAAATACATTTTTTGAGATTAGAATTATTTAGAAACATAAGTGATGAACTGACTAGCTGCTAGCTTATCAATCTGATCAAAACTAATCTGTTTCTCCAAACTGAGGTCTTTGAAAAAGCCAAATACAACAGGAAATATATTAATGAATTATGAAATACAGTAACTTATCAGAAGTAAATCTATTTTTTTTTTTACTATTCTCATTGAAATATTTGGTTTAAGTGATTTGCATTCAGCTTTTAAATTAATTGGATAAAAGCATTTTTTGAATTGAACAGTTTGATAGATTAAATCAAACAATCCAAACTTTTTTTTTAAATCCAGATGAGCTTTTTTTTTTTACACAACACAGACCTGTTTTTTAAGGAGATTGGAAGGTATTAGTTTTGTATTTTCACTGAGAGTTCACCAGTAAACATTATGTTTTTGTGTCTGGGGTTGTGCAGGACTGAAAGAGCATCAAAGCTAGAATGGTGGCATTTTGTCTTTCCAGTAGGCTGATGCAGAAAGACACTGACATTTTTATGTTTACTGTCTATTTTAGGCATTCTTGAGAAGTAAAAATAAAAAAGCAACACTTTTCATTTTTTAAATAAAAAAGGATAATTTAGTGGTCTTTGTCAGGACTTTTAAAGCTATACTATGTAACTTTTTCATATTTTTATAATCATTTTCTTGAGCTAGTTTGTGCAAAAATTACCCTTTACAGGGTTAATGAAATGCCACTCAGACCTCCACTCCCCTCTGTGGCCAGAATACTACACTTACAACTTCAGAGTGCCAGTCCAGTTCCTGTTGGACTTAGTGAAGTGGAGCTGACATGCTTGGTGCTGCAGGTTCCAGCACTGTTCCTGCATGCGAGCACAGCTGATCGGCTTGATTTAGTGATGACCCAGGACAGCAGTAGCTCAGGAGGTGTCACGGTGTAGGAGGTGGAGACGGCGGACCATGTGTGGATGAGCTGAGCAGGAGGTAAAAATGCAGGCTTCAGTAAAAGTAAAAAATGGTTTAATGGCAGGATGGGATGAACAGGAACACCAACAAACAACAACAATGAACTGACAAAGGACAGGGGCAAAACAGGTGGTATATATACAGAGGGCTAATTAGGGAAACATGGGCAAGTTAACGAGGAACAGGTGAGAACAATAAGGGAAATCATGGCAGGAGAGGAACACAGTCAGGCGGGCAGGGGCAGATCGTGACAGGAGGTAGACTGGAAGGTTGCAGGTTTGATCCTAGTTCTGTTGTAAAGATGAAAGCACAGCGCGGAGATAAGTTTCACTTTTACTAACAAAGAGGTGTTAAAGCAAGCAAAAGCGCTATGCATCCCTTTAACATGATGATTTTGGCCCTCGTCTTGAAAAATGTACACACCCCTGCGTTAAAGGGTTAATTTATGTAGCAGTCATGTGCTGTTGGGTCCTCTAACTCCACCTGTTCTCCACAGGCCCTGTACAAGCTGTATAACGTAGCGGCCAACCACCGGCACCTGTACCACCACGCCTTCCCGGGACGTCGGGTGGACGAGGCGGCCGAGGAGCAGGACAAGAAAAGGGACTGACGAGCTGAAGACGGAACTCAGCAGAGACCTTTTCAGGATGGAAACTCCTTTAACTTTAATCTGTGTAACAAACTGTATAATACTCACACACCTGTAACGTCAGCGCTCCTCGGACACGTGTACAGATACTGTAGGCTGGAGGAGACGGCCGCCAGTCAGCTGTTTGTTTCATATCACACATTTTCAATCCTTTTCTTTTTGTTTGCACTCAGATCTGTAAAATCCTCATATGTTCTGTTTGAAGTTTCGTGATTTATAACGAACATTATCTATGAAAGCCAAAATCTGTACTGTGTTGAATAACGAAGCAGCATCATGTGCATGGTTAATGTCTCATCTTTAAGCTCTGAAATCAGGTATAGTTTATCTTTTTTATTTAAAAAAAAGCCTATTGGTTGTAACAATGTGGTATTGTGCCATAAACTGTAAAAGTATTTCTCACCTACGCTCTCATGAAGTCACTCAGTAGCACATTTATTTGTCACAGAGGTTTGATTATGTCCAGGCACAACAATGGAGTCAAAGTTTACACATTATCCTCTCTGTAGTCTGCTTTGTAATTCCGCAGCCTCCGGGTGAGCCGCTGTTTGGTTTCCGTTCTCACCAGAAGGGTTTGTTTCATCTTTCTGAAACGTTCGAGAGAAAATCAGAGGAACGCAGCTGCTCCCGTGGCCAACGAGGAATCAAAGCCTAGCTGGGCGTGGCCGGCTTTGGGAAAAAGGATCCTCATTCCAGATCGGTCTCAACAACCCGGCACGTGTAACCTGAATCGTCCGTGCTGGAACTGTTGACAGGGAAACAGCAGCTTGCATTTTGGTGTGTTGATCTGCCGTTTTTAGCTTTATCAGCATCCCACATGAAGCTTAAAAGTGTTTTATTGCATCCCCATAAAGGAACGCTGTCCCTTCCTATATAACAAGTTCACGGTGAGGTTTGACCTCAATGGTTGAAGACCTAAACGCGGCTCCTTGGGTCTTCCACAGTGTATAATCAGCATTACAGAGGCATCCAAAAAAAACAACATTTTAGTCCGGTTTACGGCTCGTGATCCTTTTTATGGTGAATGTTTTGGGTGTTGTATCCATTCATGAGTCAGAAACGTATTTGTTCACATTGTGTAGCAAAGTTTGCTTTGAAAAGGGAATATTTTACTGAATTTATCTTACAGTTGCCCTTAATGACCCTGAAGCCCTTTGAGGCCTCGGCATGCTGAACGGTGAAGTGAACCAGCTCTGCTTAGCTTCAACACACCGACTTCAGTTACAGAAAACAAATAAAGTTGGACCAAATTAATCAAATGAAGACTTTCAGCGTTTTTCTTTGACATCTAAAATAATCTCTGCTCTTGCAGATTTCCTCTGGTTTTCCTTTTGTCCCTCCAAAAGGTTCCAGACTGTCAAAAAAAAAACGTCTGACATACAGAACCAGAGTACATGCAAAACGTAGTTTTCACATCACTCTTCCTTACAGAATGGCTTGGATTCATCCACATTGGGGGATTTTTCATCATTAGCGACCTGTTTAAGGTCAAAGGTCAGACATCATCTGGCAGGATGTTCTACTAAAGAACAGCATTTATGATTCCATCAGTTACAGCGGGTGGTCCAGTTGCTGAAGCAGCAACGTATGCTGTCAAAACTGTCAGTGTGGTGATATTGTTTTATTTGAGATCCACTGGCTACTATTAGCCACCTGCATCATTATTAAGTCGCTGATATTAAAGTCCTGAACTGAAGCACTCCCATCTACTTGAATCAAGACCCACCTTTTTAGTTTAGCTTTTAACTGATTACTAGTTGTTGCATTGCTTGTTTTACTTATTTATTTATTTTTAATTACTGTTGTGTTACACATTTATGTTTCATTTCTATCACATTTTATTGGAAATTTTACATCATACATTTTACATATTTTCTATATCAGCTCTTGTTATTTTACATGTTACGTATTTTAATCCTTCCAGTGCTTCCTCTGTGGAGCCCTCTGCCTCGGGACCGGTGGTTGATGGCGGCGGCTGGGGCGCTCCTGGGGTAGTGCCCAGGTAATGGTGGGGGTTGCCACCCTCCCTCCCAGGGCGCCCTGGATTGGTGTCTTGGCTGCTGCCATCGATCCGCTGCTGTCGAGGCAGATCGCTCCCTTGATGGCGTGTCTTTCATTACCTGTCCAGTCTGAGCTCAGCCTAGTGTTTACGGTGGTCTTTTAATGTGTTATGTGTACGAGTGTGTGTGTGTGTGTGTGCCTGGGAATGGTTTGTGGATTGGGGGTGAAACTGTCACATTTGTCTTAAGTGTGGGAAAGGGAGGGAATGTGGGTTATATGGGTCATTTTAATCTGTTGCACTTTGTGTTGCTTCCTGAGCATGAAAAGTGCTACATAAATAAAATTTGATTTGATTTGAATCCTCTTGCAAAGGCTTATGTCACACGGTGTGTGTGTGTGTGTGTGTGTGTGTGTGTGTGTGTGTGTGTGTGTGTGAACAAATCCCATGTGAGTCGTGGCGAATGGCTGCTTATACTTAGCCAGGTTTTGAAGGTTTCTTCCTGTTAAAAGGGAGTTTTCCTCTCCACTGTTTCTACATGCTTGCTATGAGGATTACTCTAAAAGCACTGACAAGTCAGTGACTCAATGAAGTCATGCTAGGTTTGCTTAGGTAGAAAACTTAACTAATTGGCATAATGAATTGAACTCAATCAGCATGTTTACTTTGTGAAGTGCCTTGAGATGACTCTTGTTGTGATATGGAGTTATAAAAATAAACCAAACTGAAGGGATACCATGCAACTTTTTCATATTTTGAAATCATTTTCCTGAACCAGTATGTGCTAAAATGACCCTTTACGGGGTTAATGAAAAGCCACTCAGACCCCCACCGCCCTCTGTGGCTAGAATACCGCACTTGCAACGTCAGACTGGCTGCCCACCACCTGTGCACTAGAGCTGACACACCTGGCGCTGCAGTCTGCTTCCAGCATGTTTTAGATCATGAACACAGCGATTTGTTTAATTTTGTGATAAACCACTCTAATGAGGGCCGAGGAGACATTCCAGCAGGTAGATTGAGATGTTAAAAAGACAAATGCACAGCAAGGAGATAAGTTTTGCTTTTAGTTCTACTAAACAGACACTAGGAGGTGCTAAAAGCAAGACAAACCTGCCAAGTGTGCCTTTAAGGACTGTGGGAAAGCAGAGCCTACACCACAATCAAGACCATCCAGACTATTTTCCTGAGTTGTTCCTGGTGGTGGAATGACCTAAGCGGTACCAGGACTGGACATTCATGTCTGTCAGGAACTACTGAAGGCCTGGCTCTTTAGAGAGAATCTTCTAGACTAGCTCCTTCCTACTATCCCAAGGGAGGCCCGCAGGGCTTTAGATGTTGTTCTTGGTTAACTTCAATTTCTTGGGTTACGTTTTGAGATCCGTTAGCCTTCATGTTGTCACGACAGCATCTACTAAAGTTATTTCTTAATTATCCAGGTTTTTGTCTGACAACGCTTTTTGTTTACTGATCTGAAACATTTAAGTGACAAAAAAGAAAAAAAAAAGACGTGTGCAGGTTTAAATATAATTTACAGCTTTTTCCTTAACAACTTTCGTTTCGCAACCGAAATGATTTGATTCTGAAAAGTTGAAACTTTTTTGCACAGAAAGCTCAAAACTCAAGAGGATTTACTGGTTCAACACAAACTCGTTCAGCAACCAAACGTCCTCTGAAGATGTTTAAAGCTGCACAGATCCCAGTAAACTGCTTTACTTTAGCCTGATTTGGTTTTCTGAGCTGAAGCGGGCTGATCACTAAATGTGTTTATGAACATGTAAACTAAGAAAGACCCATAGAAAATGAAATGCACTAAATATTCTGAAGCATAGATGTGCTGCAGTAAGTGTGATGCTCATCTAACTTTAAGTATCATTTAGACTGGAGGATTGTTAAATAACGATAAGGAATATCACAAGAGAACAATGCAAATGTTTATTTTTATGTAAAAGAGTATGGTTTCAGTTTATGAGGGTTACAAAGCAAAAATATTGTATTTAAATAATAAGCTGCCTGTCGATTCGTCCCGAAGGAGAAAAAGACGGAGTAGCTGGTGGTGTACGCGCGACACGAGCAGACTTTGTACGATTAATTTAAGGCACAATCTCGGGATGTTTTTCAACAAATATCCTGAGCAGGATTTCCAGACTTGGTGCTTCCCAGTCTTAATAACAGGAAATGAAAAGTTCATTTGTCAGTTTGGTGGGTTTAGATCCCACCCAAGCAGCGTCCACAGACGTAGCACGTTGTGTCTTCATCCTAGTGCTGTCTCGGTTGTCCATAACATGAGCGTGGCACCGGGGGACAGCCCTCCCTTTAGTCAATGAGTCGTTCTGACTTCTTGGCTGATATATTTGGATCAAGCAAAGGCACAGATGTGTTTGGTAAGGAAGCAATTAGGAGTCAGTTTTGATTTTAAAAGAAGCTCTGACCGCTCCCAAACTGTAGAAACCTCAGTGAGGTGTGGCAGGGGGACGACCTGCTAAAGATGTAGCTTCACATGTTCCCTTGGAAGTTCTTGTTAGGCTGCTGGAGGTACCACTGCTTTCGCTGTGTGCGAGCCTCCACCTCAGACAGCAGCGCCTGTCGGTAGACCTCGTAGGACTTGACGATGTGCTCGAGCTCCTTCATGAAGAGCAGCTTCAGCATCCCTTGGTACGTGTCCAAGTCTGCCAGCTGGAACAGCTCCCACTTCAAGATGTGGTCGTACCTGGACAACAAAAAACAGGAACTGATGTACATCACAACACAAAACACCCCTAACCTGGTAATCAGGGGTTGCTGCAGCAGGCAGCAACGAAGATGACCCTTGAGGTGTGGGACACACGGTACTCACTTGAGTGGCGCGCGTGCGTAAACTTGCAGCCAGTCGGGGATTTCGGCCGTGTGGTACGGGTTAGCGGGCACGAGCACCGGCTGGATTCTCTCTGCTGGGCGTGGCTGATAGGTCACAGGAAGTGGAGGTGGTGGGGGCTGATCATAGCGAGGCACGCTAAAATACAAAGATGTTGTATTTGTAGATCTTTGTTTCTCCAAAGATGTTCATAATTAAGCCAAACTTTCACTTTGGTTCTGTACCTGGGGGCACACGGATGCCGATACTGAGCCCTTTTGTTGATATGATCCACATAGTAAACCCCAAACTCAGCAGATTCCACCTTCTCCCAGCCTAGAGGGAGCCCTTCCCTCTCCAGAGGGTGGCTCCAGTGTGTGGTGTTGGTGTTGTGGTCGATGTAGTACTTCCTGCCACGAATGGTCCAGTCTACAGTCCAGCCGGCCGGAAGGGGGACATCCTCTCCCGTTAAAATGGAGAGATTCCCCAGAGACTTGGCCTGAATCCGACCTATGCCTGGGGAAAACAAACACTTCTTTTAAGGAACCCAGAGGGAGAATATCTGACCAAACATACGGAGGAGCAGCTGTGGGCTAACAGCACCTCTGAGGAAAACAGGAATATTTTGAGACATTCTTGGAAACCAGCATGTGTGGGAAAGGAGAGGAATATGGACATAGGACCGGATAAGACAGGGATGCAGAGAAGCAGTCCTTAAAAGACGACTGATGTCATGCTGTGAATCTGGACAGGCTCGCCTAATCACTCCGACTGTTGAGATGGAGCGTCTCTCTGACTGACAAGTCCGATGAATGGAAGGAAATGGGAGTGCTGGAACGTTTGAACAGGAAGCCAGAGAGCTCTCCATTTCCAGGCGCTTCCAACTCTTTAGAGCAGCCGACAGCAAAGCATGCGCATTCAATGCGCCCCGTACTTTTACTGATGAATAACGTCAGACAGGAATGTTGAGCCGACAGCTGTGTGGACGAGCAAAGAGTATTGAGGCTTGAAACAAAACAAGCCTGCAGGGATTCAGGGAGGATTGAAAATGCGCAGGAATTTAAAGGAATCAAGTATCTCGGAAAATGGCAGCTGGAATCTGATCAATTCTGTCTGAGAGTGACAGAGGCAGAGCTGGAGCTGTTTCCCAGCTGCTGAATGAAGGGTGGAATGTGTTTGCTCCACACTCCTCCTCGTTCACTTCATCACCATCATCATCCACGTCTCACTGCAGATCTAAAAGTCCAGCTGGAAGTAACACCTGGTATTAAATGAGCCAGCCAGTCCTCCAGACAAGTATGTTATCATGTGATTTGGTGTTGCTCTACAGTAACCGCAGCACATTTTACCCGTGTGACACAGCACAAAGCTCAGAGACTGAACATGACACACTTCCTAATCACACACCTTTCAGATTCCTGCATGGGCATGCCTGATCCAGACAGGCTGCAACCATGACGACATCGCCCATTTACAGGATGATGGTCACACTAACAGATGATGACGATGATGTACTATTATTACTCTGATAAACGCAGAGATTTCTGATAGCACAAACATCTATTAAAACAAAAAATGTCCCACAGGACAGACTCCTCATGACACGACTGCGTAAAACAAAAAATAAATAAAAATGATTTTACATGTTTTGGCAAATTTGGATAGTTTATAGGTGTGGTTCGCTCATTTAATCAGTACATCTGCAGCTGTCTCTAGTAGGAATGAATGCATTGGAAGTTTTACTCTGGGGGGAAAAAAGCTCTGGTGCGCCTGATTGGCAAACGGCAACGAGACTCTACCGCTGACTCGGTTTGCTTTGTAACAATGCAAATGCTAGCGGTTAGCTTCTGCGAGCCAAGAAATTTGTCAAGCTTTTCAAATCCTAGAGTTTCACTATCTATTTTTTATCAGAAGCTAATGCACAGATAGGTGTAGGAGACTATCTTATGTTAAGCCTGCATGAAAAACTCAGAGTGACCCATTATAATCAGCAATGATCATTAAAGAATGGGTTTTCAGTGAACCGAACTTTTAATGAACAGCTTCTGCTTGAGAAAATAAAATGTTTGCCATTAAAACCAATGAGATAACAGCTAGCCCGAGCTAGGTTTAGGCGGCAGGGGGCGGTGGGAGCTGAGCCCAATTCTTCAGCTGGCAGAGCTGCAAAATCAGTTCATTTCCAATTTTCTTATTTGTCATGGCGCTGCTACAGCTGATATAATTAATGACTTCTGCCCATCTGTCTCTGCTCAGGATTTATCGTAATAACTCTAAGTGGACTTGAAAGCAAAACTTCTCATTTTTAAAAAAACGTCAGAATTTTTCTGACTGCACAAACCGTCGTGGAGTTACGGTTATTCAAACAAACGCGTCTAATGTGTCAGAGTTCAGTGTTAGGGTGATGTTTAACATTAAAGGGGTCCAGAAAATCATCGCAATTCCACCTTTTCCTAAGTTCAACAACTTTTCCTTGTTCAGTAGTAACAACTGTAACAAGTGGTGAGAATTTTCTACCTGAAGTCATTTTAAAAAGGCAGCAACCCACTTCGGTTTGTGCTCATGTTAGCCGTTAGCCAATCAGCCCTAAAGGAAGTACATTACTTCTCCAAACAGAGGATGTTTAACACACATACCCATTTAAGAGTCGAGTCAAAGACTCTGGACAAATTATTAGTCTGCCAATAGAAAGGTATTAAAAAGCTCAGCATCTCTCCAACATGGCTCCATGACTCGAGCGAGGTGGATCTGTCATCATAACACGAATACAAGTTGTCAACAAGACAACCGCAAAATAAAACATTCTCTTCTGTTTGATGAAATACAGAAAATTCCTGCGACCTCAGAACACTTTTAATCTCATGAAAATGACACGCATAGAACAGATTATATAGTATAATGTTGGGCAATGGGATGGAAATATTTTAACTCTTAGAAAAACTAAACTAAAACTGCTTATTTCAGCTTGAAAGCACGCGGCTTGTATTTGTGGTTTAAAACTTTCCATAACATTCAACCATACACCAAAGCTGCCTTTTTATGCAAGCTGCACATTTCCATAGGACCCTAACGTTTAAAATCTTAAAATTGACCTCTAAAACATATCTATTTAAACTTTGTGGTGCCGACTGCCTGGTATGATTTTAATTATCCTGCTCTTGTTTAAGCTTCTTATTTAAACCACAAATGTTGCTGCTGACAAGTCATAAATGACCCGCTTCAAGAATGTGTGTGCCATGTATAAAATACACCTGCTTCTAGACATATTGCAAACTATTCCTTTCAAAAGAACACAGCAAATGCATGCCAAGCTTACCTGAGGGGGGTCGGCTGGGAGCTGGGGAAGCGTGTTGGTGAGAAAGTCTTTGAAAGTTGTGTTCATTGTGTTCATAATATCTATAGTCATCAGGAAAGCATTCCTGGACTCTCCTAGGCTGGTGCTGCTGCTGGTTTTCATAATAAGGGTCAGATGGGTAGTAGTACAGAGCACCGTCCCCGTTCTCAGACATGGGACTCACTTCTGTGGGGAAGGATTGCGACGAGCCCCTGTACTCGTGGGACAAGTCTCCCACACTCCGAGGCAGGTATGGAGGTGCCGACAGGCGGTGGCTCTCTCTGCGTGCCACCTCATGTGGAGGCCTCTGTACAGGTGTGCGGAGGACACTTTTGTTACGGGACACCACAGCCTCTCTGTTGGGTGCCACAGAGTAGGAAGTAGACCCAATCTCGGATGGGGGCCCCTCTGTTCGTCTGGGAATAGTAGGTCCATGACGGATGAATGAGGGCATGAGATCTGCAAACAGGTAAGTGGGAACATCATGAATGGTGAACACAGCATCTCCAGCAAAGGGGCGATGTGGTAAACCCAGGATGCAATGGTTGGCAATGTTACATTTTACTTGAAAATTGTAAAATTATCTGTAAAATAAATAAACTATTTAGGTTAATTTAACATGTCATGAGACTTGTGATGAGAATAATTGCAGATTTAATTATCTTTCGTGTGTGTATAGGAGGAAGGCTCAGATTTACTACACATGGATATGATTTGTTATCTAATCACAAACTTTTGATCCAATTTAATAGCTATAGATAAGTAACACTGCCTTAAAACAGATGATATTCTGCAGCAGAAACATTTCTGAAGAGTCTCAGCACATCAAGACATCCCAACATTGTTGGCTAGCATCAAATTATTTTACTATTGACAAGTTGTACTTTGTTCTGGAAATAGGCTGCACTGTCCAAGTATAGCTCCATAAAACACTTGATAACATTTTATTTTGTGTCATTTCAAATACATACCTGCATATCTGAAAGAGCAGAGAAGCTGCTGCACTTTAGACACCGACAGAGTCCGTTTTCTTATAGTTCTTGAGGACAAGTCCTCATATTTGAAGGAAAACCTTCAAACTGCAGGATTCTAATGCATTTAGCAGAGTAGCAAGTTTTAAATGTTTTTAAACTTCATTGGTGACAGTTTTGCGTCATTACCAGAAACTGAGTACTCTGGTCTTTAAAGTATCCTTTAAAGAGCAGACTCCATAAGTTCTGATGACTATTTACACAGCCCAGCAATTTATTTAACATTTAATTTGCTTTATTGGTGCAACTAATCGACTTAAAACTTCAAATGCAGATCAAGTCCATAGCCTTCAGCTAACAGCAAACTACAATGTAGCATCCCGTTAGGGTCGTGCGTAAAGTAAGACAAATTAAAAACGTAAAAAACACAAGATAAGAAGTGTCCATAAACTTTATTCTGTTTTTTTAAATGAGCAGTTTACTAGCGGACAGTGGCAAACTTCAGTTAGCAGGCTAATGCTAACCCTAGCTAACTAGTCGACTACTTGTTGCGCTTACTTCTGAGGAGCGGCGACGTTTCCTTCTTCACATATTTCCCGTGTACCTCGGCTGGTTTCGACGCTTCGTTTTTACTTTTCTTTCGTGAGAGCATAACTCAAAGATCAGAAACGTCAAAAACTCGGCTGTGATGTCATGGCACAATCCTCCGCAGCCCTGGCAGTAAACAACGGGCGGAATGTGAACATTTTCTACAGTTAGCGCTTAGCCGGCTAGCTGCTGCTACAGCGAGCGATTGCAGCGATTCAGTCCCACAGCTGGCCCTCCTCACCCGGGCTGGGTGTTTACGATCCTCCCAGCTACTAAAGCGCCCTCTACCGGACAGCAGGCGTACAAAAACGGACAAAGTGTGTTGACAAAACACGAAAAAAATAAAACAATGGACACTTTAACTAGTGCTTTTATACTCTTTATTTCCAAGTTCTCACCTTATTGTAAACACGCTTTGTGAATAATTGCCTCTAACTAAACATTTTTAGAGAGAAAAGTTCAACTATAAGGAAAATAAAACCATGAAAACAAAACTATAAAACTTTGAATATGGCTAAATAATGCTAATATATTCACCATTATTTGATTTTTATTAACCACCAACCACAGCTCATACACTTTATTTTCACATCACCCTGATTTCACTTTAGTGTTCATCACTGCAGAGAAAGTCAAGCATTCATAATGGCACCGTCTTTAACAGTAACTTTACATATTGCAGTATAGTTTCACAAGCATATTTCTATTTTTCTTAATATTACTATTTGACATACATTAAAAGTGTGCAGAGTTTCAAGTAGTGTTAAATAGGAGCAAAAAACCTCCATTACGATTCATGATTTTATCACAAACCGATTCTGGTCCTTCATCGTATGGCTGCTTACAAATAAACAATGAGATAAAAACACCTGTATCAAAATACATAACAGTGCTACATTTCTCATATTATATATATATATATATATATATATATATATATATATATATATATATATATATATATATATATATATATATATATATATGATACAACAGTTTCTACTTTAAGATATTTGTAAAATAATAAATTACAGAGAAATAAAATGTCTAAAATATGACTTGATATTTGCAAGTTCAGCAACTTAGAATAACAAAAATACTGCAAAAATCCAAGTAAAAAATTGCAATAGAACCTTCAGATTCTTGTCCATTTGGTAGGATTTGCTACAGAGGTGTCCCTGAAGGTAAAAGTCCATTTTACATAGAGAACATTAAAAGAAAATGAGATGCTGAGATGTCATCATGCGTATTTACAGTTATAAGAAAGCCCTGGAAGATAAGACGGGTTTAGATCCCGTACAATCTTATTCAGGGTGGAGATCTTCTCCTCCAGCAGGTAGTTCTTTTTCTCTGCAATTTCATGTCGCTGCTCAGTTCTCTCCAGAGCCTTTACCAGATGGGAGTTCTCCACATACAGGTCTTTGATCAGAACATCAGCTTTGCCATTCTTGTTCAGCTAAGAGAAAAAAAATACATAGAAAGTTACAGATAGTTTGAGTCTTGATTGGAAACATATTGGTCCAAAATATACAGATCAGATGGATTAGAAGATTAGTAACTGGAAAAAATTGTTTTACTAAATCCAAGAATGCAGTCTTTCCTAAATTTGAAGTTTAATTCAGCGTTTTACTGCCCCCTTTTGGTGTCACGAACAATTACATCAACATATATTGATGCAATTATTTTACCATTAAACCAGCCAGACTCCTAGAAGCTGAGACCCTCTGACCTTTTGCTTGCTTGCTTACGTAGCTTGTTTATATAGTGACAAATTTATTGGTTTTCAGGCAAAATATAAAAGCTTTCTCAGGAGCTGATAACAAAATGCACAAACAAAACAACCCACTGTATCAGATCATTTGGAAAAACAATGGAAAATATAAAGTAAAATGTGAAATTCACCAGTTTGGATCCTGAAAGGTTACTCTAAAGGAATAAATGTTTTTTTTAGGATGAAATGTCTGTACTTAAAAATAAAAAAACCTGGGAATTTGGATCTGAAATTCCTGCAATCTGACATCAGGTAAAATTGGACAAAAAAGTTATTCTGATTATTTGTGAAATTGGTCTCTTCTTTTTGATCATTCTAACAGTTTAGTTTTGGTTTTTCTGGCTCATCCCTTTAATTATGCTGCTATAAACCTGAACTGCTGGAAGCCATACTGACCACACTCAGTTGGATTTACGCTCTTTAATGCCAGGTTTGTATTTACTGTTATTGCTGTGACTAACTTTGTTCATCATCATTAGAAACAACAATTGGCCCCATCCCTCAGAGTTATCCAGTCTCTCAGATCCCAGCTGGCCGAGGCAGAAGGCTGCTCCATTCTGAACCTGGTTCGGTTTCTGCTGCAGTTTCTTCCTATTAAAAGAGGAGTTTTACTTCCCACTGTGGCCCATCACACAGCGCTGGCTCAGAATGAGGGATTGTGTTGAAGTCAACATATAATACAATTTGCTGGTTCCTATGGTGACCCAGAAGGCTCAACACAATACCAAAACCTACAACAGAAGTCATGATAAATGGGGAATAAATATTTAAATAAATAAATGAAATAGCATGAAGGAGAAGTTGTGGTAGAATGGAACTTGTGCTAAAACGAAAGTTAAGCTAATACCTTTTTTATGCAAATTAGGAAAAACAGCCTTGCAGCATTGAGACCAGTGACCACAGGATTCAGGATGGATTCCAATACAACCCAGAAAGTAATAGTACATCTACAACTCCATAGCTACTGAAGTAAATTGCCATTCAAGATGGCCGCCATAGTAAACCGCAGAAGAGAAGATGGACTGACCTGGTCATTCAGCTGAGCGACCTTCTCCTTCAGCAGCAGCTTTACGTTAAACAGCGACAGTTCGATTTCCTTCATGCGCTCCTCCATGTTCTTCATCTTTCGCTCCCGCTCTTCCTGGGAAAAACGATCAGGAATGTCACCAGATCACAACATTAGGGAGTGTTTTACATTATAACAGCATCAAAGCTGGTAAACATGGAAGTCAAAAACTTATGGGCCATTATTTTTGTTGACTAGTTTTATTTTTGTCCGATCTGTATGCAGTTTTAGGTACATTTCTGAAGAAAATATAAAAAAAAAAATATAATTTCATTTATTAAAAATAAACCTACTAAAATAATAATGCATAAATAAAATAAATACTATCAGAAGTAAAAAAATAAACCTTAAATAACAACAAAAGAGTTTAAAATCGAAACATGGTGGAAAACATCTCATAAAGTGGCTCAAAACCCAAAATACACAAGTGACAAAAACAATTAACAGTGTATTCATGGCACAGCACTTAATAAATATTAAATAATCAGTGAAATAAAATTAACAGTTTAGTGAAAAAACAAAACAAAATCAGGAAGTTGTGATTCGCTTTGGTTGTGCAGCAGCAACAAAACAGGTCCAACACATTTAATTAGACAGAAAACATCAGCCTTAAAAAACAAAAATACATAATAAAATGCATTTATAGGTCATCAAATGGGACAATGTACAGTCAGACAAGTAACAGGTGTGTGTGTGTGTGTGGGGGGGGGGTCTGATAAAAACAAACAAACAAAACAACAGTGATCTTCCATTATCATTAGGCAACAAAAAGGTGTGGCCTCTGAGGATCTATACCCTGTCACAGTTATTAAAACAAACAAGTGCATCACTGAAAATCTACAGAAACACAAATCCAGCATTAAAAAGGTTCCCTGTAATGAAGACAAACGTGGAAAGAAAACTCAAATTTGTCAAAATGTAACAGTAGTCTGTAGTTTTTAAAATTTCCCATCATCCCTTTGGGAGAAACCACAGGTTCACCCTGTGTGTGTTCCTGCCAGCTGGCAGCAGAGAAATCCAATCACAACCTGAGAATCGGGACCCACCCAATCTCCTACAAGGATGCAGTTCAGATGTTTCTGCTCCAAACGTCGCCGAAGAGCCAAAGCTAAACTTAAGCGAAGAGGAAAGAGGCGGGCGTCACAATCCGCCGATCCGCCTGTAGCTGTCAGCGTGAGCGGCCCGTTGATCTGGCATCAGATCCTGAAGAGACAAGGCAGGAACACTTCACCAGAGTTCTACCCCTCCGCTAACCCTCTACACCCACAGAGAGAATCATCATCAACACGGAAACGCTAAAATCCTGAAGACGGCTTTCATTCGGCTCCGTTTCTGGATGATTTTGATGAAAAAACAACAGAAATGATAGATTGAGATGATGATTGTACACAAATGTATGCAGTCAAGTTTTTTTTTGTTTAAGTTTTTAAAAAGAAAAATAATAATATCTACCCAGCAGGGGTGTAACGGATCGCGAGGGGGTGTTGAACTGTTTTGGTTCGGGCCACTTGCGTACGGTTTTGATTTTTTTTTTCCCATTAAATAAATTTTTATTTGTGTGATTTAAGTGCAGCGGATAAAAGTTCCTAGGCGAGTTTCCACACGGACGATGTATTGAGTGACGCATGATGGCTGCACGCGCCCGATCTCCGTTCAAAAAATGTGATCTGCAAATTCTGATCAACACCTTTCAGAGCGGATCAAACCCGCTGGCTGTCGCTGCTACTGGAGCCCGTAGAGACGCGTCGAGTCGCCCCTCCCTCCCTTCTCTCACACACTATGAAGGCACGCGGCGGCAAAAATGTAAACAAACACGTCTGCTGAACTTTTCGCACCGTGACAATTGATGTCAAGTTTTCACCCTACAACGAAAACTACGGCGCGAAAGAAGCTCGCTATTTAACACGAGTTTTAAAGAAGAAACTGGGCGGTGTGAGGCAAGTTTTTAAGGCTCCCGCAGAAATAAAAACACGGAGCATCAACAGTCAAACACAACACTTGTCTGTATGAGCGTGACACTCATAGCTGCGCAAATAACCAGTGAAATAATTTAAGACATCGTGCTAGATCAGCAGCCTGTGATGACACCTGGTTCTGCTTTAGATATTAAATAAATAAATAAAATAATATACTGAAAATTAATCGGACCAACCTCTTCTGAACTGAACCGAATACGATTTTAGCGTACCGTTACACCCCAATTACCCAGAGATGAAGCATTCACACAGACCAGGTCTAGGGGACAATATTACATCTCATACAACAATAAGAACCCCATCCTCTTCTAAACCGTGACTAAAGTTGTGAATCTCTCAAAGTTAAAGGAAAGTTGGCGAAACTGCAGCTAGAGCCACACCCCAGAGGATCTGCAGGTTTAAGGGAGCCAAATTTAAGACTTTTTAAGACCTTTTTTAAGGCCACTTTGATGAAATTTAAGCAATTTTTTAAAATTTCATTTAAGCTATAATTTCCAGCTATTGCCTGGAACCAGTGCTAAACATGTTGCAAACGTGGGATTAGCCACCCAGTTACCATTAAACTTGCACTTCCCCATGATGCAAGCTCCCACCAGCTTAACCAGCTAATGTGCTCATCTAAAAACAGCCCCCTTTCACAACCAACTGAATGTGTACGGTTCCGCTTACGCCAACATCATACACAAAAAATGCTGAACACTAACTAGATATTCACAAAATTTTAGAAATAAAAATATCTTTATTGGGTCTTTGGTAATTTAAGACCTTTGGAAACCGTATTTAAGGATTATTTGTCATTTTTAAGGATTTTTAAGGCCTTAAATTTGGAAAAGCAAATTTAAGACTTTAAGGACCCGCGGATACCCTGCACACCCCAGAGGATCACACTACCCCCGCTGCTGCAGTCCTGAGACAGAAACTTAAATAAAGACGAGTCCCATGACAACAAAGACACACACAACCTGGACAGAGTGAAAACCAAACCCAAAAAGTAAACGTGACATGTGAGACATAAAGAGATTAGAACAGACAGGAGCTGAGGTGGATCGGTGACAGCGCTCCAGAACTCAAAGGAAAAACCAGCTTCCAAAACAAAAAAAAAAAGGCATGGGAAACAAAACACTCAGCTCAGATGTTTACACGTGTAGTATCGCTTTTACAGGTTTAGCACATAACATGTTGGTGACACATTGCTTTTCTTAAAATGACTGAAGCCGTTTGCAGCACCTGAACTGAGTGATGAGAGGATGAACAAACAGATGCCCCTTTAATAACCATAGTGGGACATGAACAAAGGAATGACAGTCAGAAAATAAAATGAAGGATGCTTTCCCACCCTGTAATAAAGCACCAAATCATCAGGATTTTAGCAAAGCAGACTCATGCAGAAGCGCTGAAACATTTTTATGTTACCGGTGAGAACGTCTCTACTAGAGGAAGCTGTACCTGCATGTTGTCTGGATCCTCTCCGTGATGCTGTCCCCTCTGCATCCTGCGAGGCGACGGAGGCAAAAACCCACCAAACTGAGCCTGAAAGGACTAAAGGAAGGCCATAAGGTTCAGTAAGTGTCTCATAACAAAACTTTCTTTACGTTTATAAAAGAAACTGACATTTTTTTCCCCAGAGCAGAAACTTTAAAGGAATGTTTGAGTGGTGGTGTACCTCCAGCAGCTGGGAGGACAGTCGAGTTATCTGTGCATTCAGAGCTTCGTTTTGTTGCCGGAGAGCCTCCAGCTCCGCGTGCCGTCCAGCTTCACAGCTCTAGAACCAGGTCAGAGTTTAGAGCGCTCAGTCCATATCTTTCATGCGATTCTGCTTAGGAGTGCCTTTTATACCGTCGTTAACTTTCTGTGTGCTTCGAGTTCCTGCTTCAGAGCGGCAGTCTCCTGTTCCAGGGCTTTCACTTTGGAGGAATGACTCTGCTGCTTCTGCTTGCTCAGCGCCAGCGTTGCGGCTTCCAGCTGACGGACCTGCAGACCCAAAATCAAACAAGAACATAACATGATGACACTAAATCACACTGTAATATTTGAGTTTGTTGAAGGTTGACCTTTTCTTTGGACTGAATGAGGTCACTTTTGATCTTGTGAACTTCAGCTTGAAGCCTCTCCTTCTCCTGCCTCAGCTGCTGCTGCTCCTGCTCCAGGATCCGAGACATCCCGTCTCTGTAAAGCTTCTTGGTGTGGTTCTGCAGACCGCTCGAGTGTAAAGCCCGCTCCAAAATATGGTTCTGAGGTTAAATGCAAAGGGTGGTCATCATTTTCCATCACTGTCCTGACATTACAAATGTTTAAGTGTTACCAAACAGAACGGGATCTGACTTTGTCGTTGGCGTTCTGCAGCTGCTTGTGCAACACTGACACCTCGAGTTTCAGGGAATCCCTCTCCTGCTGCAAAACCCTGAGCTCTGACTTCAGGTGAGCCATCTGCCGGTTGAGAGCCGGAACTCTTTCATCTGCAGTCTTCACCTGAAGCGGACAAATGAAATAATTATTGAGCAATACGTAAAAGCTAATGCTAACACAGCTTAGAAAACTGCCTCTCACTTTGTCTCTAGCTTTGGCCGGCTGGTGAAGCCCTGCGGCGTCCTCATCCACATGACACTCCTCTAGAAAATGTCCGAGCGGACGCTCTGTTGAATCCACCTGGATTACGTGACAGAAAACAGGAGAACAGCAGTTCTTAAATAAAAGTAAAGCCAAAATCATTCAGGCTCATCTGAAGGGAGACGTCTAAACGTACTGGATGGTAGCAGAAAACTACTCAGCCCACAACACGATGCTCACCTTCTCTCGGGGATCAGAAAGCTGCTGGGACAGCTGGACATTTCTTTCCTCCAGCTGTGCGGTGTCCTTCAAAGCTTTGTTTAACTCCGCCTCCAGGCCAGACACACTCACTGCCATCTAACACAAAACAACCACCAATCAACTACCCACTAGGACTACCACGGCACCACCGCTCTGCTGGTCACCAACACACACCTTCTTCTTCTCTTCAGTATGGATCATCGCCATCTTCTCCATTTCCTTCATCAGCTTTGCCAGCTGCTGCCGTAGACCCTCGATGTCAGCACTGTTTTGGGCATTTTTCTCCATCAGCGTCTCGTTCTCCCCTTCCAGCTGCTGGCTCTGCAAATTCAACTCTGAAAGCTGGAGAGAAAATCTAAATCTCAACAGCGGCTTCCGAGAAAGAAACCCTGAAGTGGGGAGGAACTGTTTATCGTTACCTGCTGTTTAAAACGATCTGCTGCTTGTTGAGCTGCAAACTTCTCATTCTTCAGGTCCTCTAATGATTGTCTGCAAAGCAAAAGATACAATCAATCAAGCATTAAAAATTTCTAAATGAGGCGATGAACTGCTAATCCCATCAGGAGCTGCTTACGTTAACTCATCCCGGGTCTGCTGCAGGTCCCCGTCCTTCAGCGCAGCGATGTTCTGAGAGAGGAGGAGGTTTTCCTCAGCGAGGCGACTGGCTGTGGATCTAAACGTGTTGAAAGTGTCAGAAATGACAGATTAGATTCATGTTGAAACATGTTGATTAGATGCAAACTAACTTCAACAGTGAGGATGGTGACAGAGGGATAAGAGCAGCTACGCTGGAGCAGATGTTGCAGAAGGTTTTTGGAGGATAACCACAGGGAGAGGCAACAATGAAAGCATCACATTGTGACTGGGAACACTGGGAGGAGCGTTCCTAACACCAAACCACTACAGGTACGGAGAAGCAGTCAGGATCCTAGTTTTCTCCACATTACCTACAAGCCTGTGTTGTTTCGGTTAAAGCCCGAGACTCGTCTTGTAGCTCTGCGAGGGCTCTTCGAAGCTCGGCGTTCTGCTCTTCGAACTCCTCGCAGCAGTCCTGGGTAAAGGTCTCAGCCTGCAGATGTCCATCCGGGTGCAGAAAAGCCTCCTCTGTGGGGCTTTCTGGTTGTTCCGTGTCTGAACTTCCTTCCTGCCCTCCCAGTTGTCCCAACAGCGCTAACAGCTGAGCATTTTCCTCTCTCATCCTGCTGATGTCGTCCATCAGCGACACTTGTCGACTTTGAAAGCTGTGGAGAACATCAGCCCTGCCTTCAAGGCTCCACACTTTCTGTTCCAGCTCACAGTTCTGCTCCTTCAGTTTGGCATTTTCACACATGCAATCCTCGTATCTAATCTGAAGATCAGAGGTTTGTATGGTCTTCATCTCCAGCTGCCTGATGTGCTCCATCAGCAACAGCATCTGAACTTTGAGTTTGTAGTTTTCCTCTAAAGCCTGACGACCAGTTCTGACTTTTTCACTGTTGTGCGCCAAAAGATTCTCTAGGATTTCAGCTTTCTGCTGAAGTAGAGAAACCTTCTCATGTAGGAGAAGGTTCTCATCTATGGAAGTGTTACATAAAGCCTGTAGTTTTAGAACCTCCTGGTTCTCATGGTTCAGAGCTTCTACACAGTCACGTGGACCTCCACTGTGGTTTTCACGATCAGAGTCTAAATCTACCACTAGTTCCTGTCCGTCGTGAGAGTTATCAGGTAAACTTTTAATCTCAGCATCCTCTACAGAACATTCATCAGGGTCACCCGTCTCCTCCGGCCCAGAGGCACCAACCACGGTCTCATCACGTGGCTCGTCTTCATGAGAACAGCCTCCAGAGTCCTCTTGAGGTTTGGTTTCCACGCTGTGGAATTCAACAGCTCCTCGAGTTTCACCATCAACAAATGCCTGAAGCGGTGAGACGCTCTCACGTAGCATCTCCTGGGAAGCGTCTCCGTTTCTGTTTTCAGCAGATAAATAAGTGCCAGGGGCATCTGGGATGCGGTGATCACAACCTCTGCAGAAGAGTTCACCTCGCTCAGGGCTCCGATCTTCAAGCACGGGATCAGGAACAACATTGTCACCGCGGTAACCCTCACAAAAACCATCCACGTTTCCACCAGTTAAGGTCACCTCTGTTTGGTATTGGCTTACAGCATGGTCCATGAGACGTGGATGCTTCACCTCTTCATCCTGGCCTTTCTCTGGAGAAGCAGACAGCAGTTTGAGCTCCATCTCCGACACATCTGTCTCTTCTCGTAACCGTTTCTCTAGAATGGAGAGGTTCTCCTGCAGCTCCTGCCGGTCCAGCTCAAAGTCCATTGCAGCCTGTTTCAGAAGCATCTCCAGCTCTTCCACTTTCACCTTTAAGTCTTCGCGCTCTGTCAAAAGCTGAACGCTCTCAACGACCTGCCCTTCTGACGTGGAAAGCACCTCACTGTACTTTGTCTCCAGATGCGAGTAGGTACTGAGAAGTTGCTCCCGTTCCTGTTTAAACTCCTCCACCAGGAGCTGGACGCGACCAGCTCTGCTCTCAGACTGAGCGAGGAGCTCATGTTTCTCCTGGAGTCGGCTGTGAAGATCGTTCAGCTGCATGCGGAGTTCTAGTTCCTTCCCCTGCGCCCTGCTCATCATCTCGTCCAGGTCACTCTGTAGCTGCTTGTTCTCCATCTTTAAAGCTTCCATTTCTTCACTGTGAACATTCTCTAGCTCCCGTCGCTCTGCTTCCATATTCTCCAAGGTTCTTCGCTGTTCCTCGGCGCTCTCGAGAGCCTCGAGAATCTCAGCTTCCCAGTGGAGCTTCTGCATGGCGTGATTTTCAGAAAAAGCCTGCAGCTCACTTTGGAAGCGCTCTTCCAGATTTAAGATATTGGTCTGAAAACGCTTGGTGACAGACTCCTGACTGTCAGAGAAACCATCTTCCACTTGGCTGATTCTCTGGGTGAAGCTGGTCTCGACTTCCTTCCTGTACACGGTCAGTCAGCGTTTGTGAACCCTTAGGGTTTTATTACATCTACAATCTAGTTAAAGCAACTTCTGCAGCTATTAAATATTTAAAAAGTGGTATTTTTGGACACTTTGACTGAAAACATTACATTTTGTAGAACGTAACGAAGACAACTCCTTACCTCTCCTGAGTGATGTCATCTCGTAGCTTGTCCAACATGGTGCTGAGAGCGTTCCTCTCCTCGGCGTGCCTATCCATCAGCTTCCTCACAGCCTCTTGATGGCTTTCCTCCAGATGCGCCCTCTCCTCTGCGATAAGCATCTCTATCCTCTCCTCATCCTCGGTCTCGAACTTCTCCTTCTCCTCGTTCAGCCTATCCTGAATCATCCCTTCATAGTCCTCCTCCAGCTGCAGCCTCTCCCTCTCCCACTCCTCCCTTAGTCTCCTCTCCCTCTGCTCAAACTGCTCCTGCAACTGTAGTCGTTCCTGAACTATTCTGTCGAGCGTGACCTTCTCGTGATGCTGCTGAAGCTGAGCTCGTTCACTCTCCCACTGCTCCTTCAGCTGGTTCTCCTTCTCCTCTTGCTCCTTGACTAGTTTCAACATCTCCTCCTCCAGCAGCACCTGCAGAGACTCGTTCTGCTCGTCCAGCTGGGCCCTCTCCTCCTGCCATTGATTAGTCAGTTTTTTCACAACTTCCTCTCGCTCCTCCTCAAACATGCGCTTCGCCTCCTCTACCTGGGCTTTCAGATCACTTTGATGGAATTCTTCCAAGACTTTCTTCTCCCTTTCCCAGTCATCCAGTAATCTTCTCTCCAGCTCAGCTTTTTGATCCTGAAGCTCCTCTCTCTCCTCTGCTACTCTGGCCTGTAGCTCAGCCTGCTCCTCCTTTAGTCTGGTAATCTCCACGGCATGTTGGGTTCTCAGCTCCTCCATCACAGTCAGACGGTCTTCCTCTGTTTGGGCCTGCTGTCCTTCCACTGTGATCAGCTGGTCCTCCAGGTCTGTGATGTGCCTGTGGGCTTCCAGCAGCTGCTGTCTGAGGTTCTCCACCTCCTCCTGCTGGGTCTCCAGCTCTTTCCTTTTCCCAGCCTGGTTCTGCTCCAGACGGGTCTGCTCCAGCGCCACCTGCTCGAGCTGGCTCTGAACACTAGCCACCTCCTCCTTCAAAGTCTGGACCTCCTGCTGGTGCTGGATAATCAAGGTGGCTTTCTGGTCTTCGTGGGCGACCTTCTGGTTTTCCACGATCTTATCAAATTCACTGATCTGAAGGGGAGGAAATGGAGATTTCATTTTTAAGGATGGGTTGACGTAGTTTACAAAAGCAGAATAACAATTTAAGGACGTTAAAAAGAAAAGGTCCAACCTGGAGACACGCTCAAAGTAACTTTTCAAACAACATATCTCTTTTAATCCTATTTCATCTCTTGCTACAGCTGGTGGACAGAAGGAACATATTAATAATCCCAAACCTACCTTGGTTTCAAGCTGGTTTCTCAGTTCCTCCATTTCCTGGAAGTGCTGCCCCTTCAGCTGCTCCAGCATCATCTCAGCTTCCAGGCTCATGCTGAACGGCTGCACCTCGTCTGAACCGAGACCTACAAACGGTCCACAAATCAGAGTTGGTGAAAAGCTTCTTTGCTTTAATGCAAAATCTACCGATTACTGTAATGAACATAAATCAGTCTAAGCGCTGGTTTGTAGGCGGAGCCTGACTCAGAACCAGCTCTGTTGGGCTTATTGACACGAGAGAGGAAGCTATAAAAACATAATTAACTGAAGGATTTTTCTCCGACGTCTTTGATCCAAACCACCAAAGCAAGGCTCTTGTTAGGGGTGTTGGAAGCTACAGAGGAACCTTTTTAAACAACTTTCTGGAAAGTTCTTGTCATTGTTGTAGATTGTTGCAATAACAAACATTCATTTGCATAAAGGAAGTATATTGGTCTCCTCCTGCAGCTTAGAAAAGCACCAGAAACAGGAAAATGTCCTGTTCCAGTACATTTATAACCTAATTAATTTACAACGACAAATGAACTATGAGCTAATGTGATTAATCACGATTAAAGGCTAACCCAACCCTGGAAGACCTTGGAGAAAAACCAGGGGTCGGCATTCATCTACCTGGGTCCGACTCTGTTCCAGGGCTTTTACTCTCCAGCTCCTCGGATAAAGGTTTGCTGCAGGGTTCGTGAGCTCGTCCAAGAGTCCGACACTCCCGCAGCTCCGACTGCAGCTCGTCAATACGATCCTGCAGCTCCTACCAAAATAAGAGCCCGGTTAGCTAAACACAGTACATTCCTGGAATGACATGAAGTAAAACCAGTTAAAGAACTGGAAGCATGTTCAGCACTATGGGAAGTTACCCTGCACTGTGCTTCATAACTGCTGTGCAGCTGTTTCAGGCGCTCTTCTTGAAGAAGGAAGTCTGCACTGCCAGGGTCCAGGCCTCCAAACTAAAAGGGACCATATTTAATGATTATAAACGAACATAATAAAACCAAAGAAGCTAGTGTGAAACAACACTGCAGAATATGAATTTAAATTAGGTTTTTGCACCTTGTCTTTCATGATGATCTCTAAATTGGTCTGGAGTTTGGTGACTTGACTTTGTGCCTCCACTAGCTTCTCAGTGCTGTCCAGCAGCTCCATCTCAAGACGCCTGTTCTCCTGGAAACACACATAAAACGTAATGTTTACATTTATTCTTCCTGGAATAAAACAAGATTATTTTTTTATTAAAGGAGGCAGTCACTAACTAACGTGTACGCAGGATTTAAAAGCAAGAAGATAAGTAAGTAAGTGAGGTTTAAGTGTTTTACCACCTTCACCGAGATGGAGAGATGGTCTCTGAGAAAAGATTCCTCCTCCCGGATCTTCTCCATCTCTGCCTCCAGCTCTTCTCGCTGCAGGCCGGCCTGCTGCTGGATGTGGTCCATCTCCTTCATCAGCTCTGATCGCACTGCTGTGAGCTTCTCCTTGTAGTCCTGCTCAAGCTTCCTGTTGACGTGATCCCAACAGACAAGCACGACGTCAGACTCAAGTTTGAAGAGGGAACCGAATCACAAAACAGGAAATCTACTCGATGTTTTTATAAGTGGTCACATTCTAAGAGAAATGGCTTTTCTAGGCATGCTTGCAGTAACCGAACCTACACGAGAAAGGAAAACTCTTCCTGTATTACAGTTTTTCTCAAATGCTAAGACACAAACGCCAATCCTCTAAACCAAATGACCAGTTGTCTAAACACACTAAATCTAGCAATCATTTTCCAACATCATAAACACATTTCACATGAAGACACAATTCACAAAACACAATCCTCCGTTCTCATGAATCTTAACACATTTTTCCTTGATAAAACACAAGTTGAAAAAGAACTCTGCTCATATTCTCAAATGAAAGCTCATGTGATGCCAAATGCTTGCCACAGTCAGCACTGATTGAACACAGTGAACACACCTGTCGTCATTCATTACACACAATGACTCAAAATTGAAGACAGTTGCTGACCACATCTCCTCACCTTCCTAGAGGAGCCAAAAGACATCCTCCTGGACCGCCAACACCACCATCCTGGGCCCGCACATCACATTTATGTGATCATTAGGGACAATGTCCGCTTCCACAGAACAAACCAAATCAGAGAGTGGTTCACCACCAACAGTAACCACTTTTTAAACGTCTGTCTGCCACCCTACTCCCCTTTCCTGAACCCTATAGAGGAGTTCTTCTCATCGTGGAGATGGAAGGTTTATGACAGACAACCATACACTAGAGAGGACCTCCTAAGGGCAATGGAGCTGGCCTGTGGTGACATCCCAGTGGAGGCCTTACAAGGATGGATTCGCTATTCCAGAGCGTTTTTCCCGCGGTGCCTGGCAAGAGACAATATAGCCTGCGATGTGGATGAGGTGATGTGGCCCGATGCAGCTCATCGACATGACGCCGCACAGTGATTGTGGTGTGTGTGTGTGTGTGTGTGTGTGTCTGTGTTGTGAATAAAGTAAATAAAAAAATTTCACACCCTGCTCATGTTTTCAAGAGTACTGTTGTGTGCAATAGATTCCGTTTTTGCATGGAGTTGTGTTACAGTAGTGTGCATGCAGAAGTTTCTATAGATTTATACTCTTCATATGAAACTCACAAATCTAAATGCCTAATCCTCTGCAGAGATCTAAGAAGATCCGTAACTGTAAAGTTTCTAAAAAATGGGCAAACTGGCAGTTATGAAACAAAGAACCTTCTCACAAATTGAGCATTGTGTTTTCAGTTGTTTTGCTGTAGCATGTAATGATGTGTATAGTGTTTACATTTTTGAAAGCTTCGAGCTGCTCTTTTGGTGTGAAAGTTTGAGTTTTGAAGTGAGAAGGTGTGGTTGTGTTTATGTGGTTTTAGAAAAGGGTGTTGTGTTTAGACAATGGGGAACATGGAGGAAACATTTGTGAAATGTGTTTTAGCATTTGAGAAAAACTGTAAAAGGGAGAGCAGACAACACTAATAGGATCAACTGGAATGGATGAGATTAACAGAAACGACAGCTGTAATCCCTCTGAAGACCCAAAGTAGGAGTGACTGAGGAACAATAACAAAAAGAGGCTGAAACATTCTCCGCAGTCACATTTTTTATATTTTCTAAAGCCAACAGAAGAAATGGGCTGGTGTTGGACCTGAGGTTGAGGTTGTTCTTGTGCTCGATAGCAGAGTGATGCTCATCCACCTCAGCTGCGAGTTGAGTTTTCTGCTTCTCAGCTCTTTCCAGATCCAGCTGGATTTTTTCCTTTTCCCGGATTTCTCGGTCAACTCGTTCCCTGAGAAGAGACACGACCTTATCAATAATAATCCTGCAGTTTGGATGGCAAGTTGAGAATGAAAGACTTTAAGCTGCTTTATACTCACACAAGACATCGGATCTCAGATTTAAAGCTTGCCAGCGCTGCTTGGTGGACCCCGTTCTTGGTAACCAGGAGCTCGTTTTCCAGCGCCGCTGTGAGATCGCCAAGACTCAGTTTTCCATCCAGATCAAAATTCAAGGCCTGAGAAAAAAATAATTATGCATTTGTTAGTTTTCTTGTCCCCTAGAAATCCTGCTTCTGTGCACCATGAACAGCTTCCTTATTTGTTTATTTTTTAGTTTTTCTATACCTGTAGGATCTCAGCGCTGTTTTCTATTCCCTCATCGATCCAGGCATCCAGGATGTATTCGACTGGAGTGAAACCGGTCCCATCATCAAGAGTAGAGAAGAGGCGCATGCCAATGGAGCTGGGTAACGCAGAGATCCTGCGGCCTACCTCATCAAAAGGCTGCAAGTTCAACAATTCCTCACATTTATAACAAATATCACAGATTTACGCTTAAGGATTAAAAATGTATGAAAAGAAGCAGGAGGAATCTAAATAAATACCTGAGTGGAGTGGTGGCGTTTGAGCTGCCTGTAAGGAGTGGAGGCGGATGGCGTCGGGGGCTTGTTGTGATTTAAAACCCTGGAAACAAACTCCTGAACATTCATCACGCCATCGCCAGTCAGATTTAGGAGAACCTCCCCGTTTAGCTGAAAAATAAACAACGGTTTTACTTAAACTGTGTTGAGATTGAAGTGTTTAAACATATTTGATAAAGAATCAAAGAAGAATGACCTGAGAACCTTTCACAAAGACAAATTCTTATTAAATCGTATAAAGAAACTCTATAAGAGTAAAAAATGTCAGCAAAGAAGAGAATTTCTCAGAGGCACAGTACGAGATGGTTTTCTGGAACATTTTGCTTGAAATGCTCTTTACATACTGATGGAAACCAATAAATTAAGTATTTTTAAAACAATGAATTATTTTAATCACCTCTAAAGATTTAATTCTAGAAAAATTCTAATCAATCATGATCAGTCAAACTGTCCTCTAAAGGTCTCTCCATCACGAGTCACAAACTAAGACGAAAACTCAAATGAAACATTGAGAATCCTTGCAAACATGTGGAGACATATTCTGAAACAACTTAAATAATGCTGAAATACATCCCGACCCACAGAAGCTCAGTGACTTAAGTTTGTTTTCAGAGCTTTAACACACCTCCAGGCCCAGATGTTCACACAGAGTCAGAAGTTCAGCGTGATCGGCACTTCCATCCCACGCTATTTCCAACTCATCACATGCTTCGCGCAGCTGCCCCTCTAAGCGCGCCGTCAGAGAAGCGGCGGACCCCCGAGGTGTGCTCGGCTCGTCGGGGTTCCACAGGTGCATCTGACCTGCACAGGTCAGGAACACCAACAGCTGACACACGTCTTCAAAACCAAGAAAACAAGTGAAAACGGGCTGAATGTGACGCACCTTCTGCCTCGTACTCCTCTGTGCTTGTTTTGTGGGCATTCCAGCGCTGAGGGAGACAAACAGAGAGAAACGAGCTGAAAATGATATTAAACACACCGCCGTTCTGGTAGCATCAGTAGTAAAATCATTTTATTTCTTTGTTTGGGAAAATGCGCAGAATAAAAACTAGTAACTGATCTTCTTATCGATTTCATCTGGCTTCACACAAAGTGTTAGAGCAGGGTTTAGCTAGGTGCGACCCACTGGGCTGCGACGGAGCCCCAGAGAGGCCGTCTATTGTTATAGCGAGGCAGCAGAGAGCAGATGGGATTCAGAAAGTGGCATTTTGATACATGAAGTGTCGGCATCCAGGAGAGTGGGGGGTAGTGATGCTCATTGTTCTCACACCCCCCGTCTTCCCACACAACACCGGGTCTGCAGTGTCTGTGGGCACAGCCCTCTGACCCAGACCCATCTGCTGATCTGCATTGTTGAATCCACGATCAGTTCATAACAAGACACACTTCCATTCTCATGATATTGTCTAGAGCCCAGCAGGGTTGGGTCTGGTGTTGGTGGTTAGGGGAAGGGGGGGGGGGGCGGACTATACAGAATAATAACACACGAGGGTCAACCACCGATTAAATGTTTTGTTGGAATCTCATTATATTCCTTCTCAAATATTTAATCACATTCAAAATAAAAAAAGCCCAAGTTTCTTTAAGGTCTAATCAATAAACCACTTACCATTTTGAAGATGTCATGAGAGAAAATGCTAGTTTAATAAACAGAATTATCCTTTAAAATAAAAAGCAGCAAACCAACAGACCAACCCACCCAGAAACGTTTAACGTCACACATCTACATGCTGATAATCTGGTTCAACAGTAATTGTGTTCACAATGTTATTTACAGCCAGGATGATTAGTTATGCAATGAGCAGCGTCCTGTGCTGGAGCATCTAATTTACATTTAAGGACTCACCATACTTCAACGCTAAGCTGATTGGCTAAGAATAGTGCCCAACGCCTGGCTGTGGCTGCAGAGGCACTCAAGGACGGGATGCGATAAGACTGGCATCCCGGTTTGTCTGGAGGTTCAGCGTGACACATCTCTCATGCGCTTACCTCACGCTTCCTAGGGACGGCTGAGTCATAGGTGTCCTCCAAATCCTCCTCATCAGCCGGGTTTAGGTTCAGCACCCCAGACTCTTCAGGCTCGCTGAACTCTGGCGTGGAGCGGCGGCCATAACGCTTACCCCCCTTCACAAACTTCGGTTGGATTTCTGGAGACTCTGAAGAGAAAATAATGAAAAAGAGCAGTATTTAATTTCAGATTAGCCTACAATCTGTTGTTATTATGCAACTTTAACAATAAATAAATAAATAACCAAGGTTTATTGGTGGGAAATCAGCCTGGACTTCAGCATCTCTAATCCCATTTCTTAATCTCACAACCGTGGTTCCCTTTTCTTTTTAGCAAAGCAATACAGGAGGTTGTGAGAATTTGAAGAACAAACCGAAGAAATTCACTGGAACTGCAAACATTATCCTCACTTAACATCCACACGAATATTGACTTTACTGTATTTACTGTAATAACGAGCACAGGATCTAATAACATGGTGATCGTCAGAACGTAGCACAACCTTAAACCACAGAGGAAGCAAATTAACACAGTGTTGGATTGTTGTCATAAAATAATTGGTTGGATGGATCCTCTGCCAAAACACACCACACCAGCTATGATGGTGGAAAGACAACTGCCAGGTGTGTGTGTGTGTGTAGCTGAATCAGCACACCTCAGCTCACACAGTCAGCTTCCACACCTGAGTGACTCAGAGAACAGCTCCTCTCCAGGTTTAATGTTAAACGTGGTTTGTTCGATCTTGATCAGTCAGATCCCAGCTGAGATCACGAGTGTTCGGGTTATCGCCACAAAATGAGAAAGAAAACAAACCCAGAGTGGCAGCGAACTTTGTCACCACCAAAACCAGCTCGGTGTGTGTAACTCTTAGCTAATGTCACAAGAAATTTCAGCTCAGCATTGATGAAAGTGAATTTTTGGAGTAATTTACATTGTTTTATGTGGTAGCCATATTGAATCAGGGTGACTAAAAGTTAACCAGCTGTACACCCAATGATCACTTTGTGAGTTCAAGCAGTATTTTGAGATATTTCAGTAGTTTATTATGGGAAATAATGAGATATTAATTTAATTCATGTGATACGTCAGTAGTTTGAAATAGTTCAGTAATTTATTAGATATTTCAGTTGTTTGTGAAATTTCAGTAGTTTATGGGATATTTCAGTTGTTTATGAGATCTTTTGCTGACAAGCAAAGAAAACACTCCCCAGCTGACAGCAGGGGATAATCGCAAATAAAGTTTTTGTGTTTCTTCTGCATCACTGGCCTCATTTTCAAAACCCTTTTCCTTTCTCTGCTAGAGATTCCTGTTGACTTTACCTGGGCTTAGTGAGGCTTCCTGTTCTGCCTGATGAGACTCAAGGGTTGAAGACAAAACCAGAATAAGTGCATTCTTGAACTGGTCAAAGTCAACCTGCAAAAAAAAATAATAATACTTAGAATAAAGAAGCTTGATGTTCCCCTGTTCTAACTTGTAAAAAAGAAAAAGACAGGGTGTAGCTGCCTCTGTGCTGATGGGAGACAGGTGTCCCTGGCTGTCTGGGTGGAGGAGGGTTGGCGCAGGAGCAAGGGAGGTCACACTCCAACAATCAGCAGCTGCTAACCCTGAATATGGTGATTTTCTTTGTGCCTCTGAGGCCGACGGCTGGCGCCTATAGGAGGTTTTTTAAAATTCTTTTGGTGTTCATCAGTTCACTGGCCTCTGTGCTAACATTTATCCCGCCCACACACACACACGCACACATCACAATAGCCACCTGTCTGCAACACGCTTACAAGCAACAAAACTTCACGCTGAAGTGGATCAACTTCTTCTGTTACTTTAAACGTCAAACTGAATACAAGATATTCACTAAAAACAGGACTCACGTAATTCTGTTTTAACAGGCTAGGAAAATGCACCTGTGAATGATTGAACAGCGTGGTTGTCATGGTGACAGACGCCTAAATTGTGCACTGATGGGGGAAACGTTCTCCTCAACAAGAGAGCAAACAAAGCAGTAAAATGCTTGAAGACAAGGACCTGAAAAGTGAATCAGTGTTGAAATTCAAAAGATTTGCATAAAAAAAACACAAAAGCCAAACAACATCCCAAATTCATCTAAAACGGAGATAAACAAACTTCTTCTAGAGGGAGGTGTTTGAATCTCACCCTGGCAGTGAGGTGGTCCTGGTTCTGCAGCAGCGTGTGGAGGAGGACAGGTGTAGCATCCTCCAGGTGCAGCGACTGGCAGAGGTCAGAGAGCTCCTCTGGGCTCAGAGAGCCACAGCCGCTGGTGTCAAAACTGTTAAAAACTTCCTTTAGACGCTCCTCATATTGATCCGGTTCTTGGCCGTCATCCATCCCACGGGACAGCACCCTGACCTGGGAGAAAACATCCAAACTGAGTCTACAGAACAAAAAAATTCAGGTTCTTCTCCGAGTTATACTCACAAACAAGGCATAAGCGTCTAACTCAGCTTCACTCAGTACCTCCATCTGAGAGCAACACTCAGCAAGTGAGCTTTCGACACACGGCTGCAGCGTCATGTGTGGCGGAGGCTTTAGTTAATCCAATTACAACGATGAGACAATCAGGTGAGCGCTGCTCAGGAAGTCAGCATTCAACGTGCTACTGAGGTGGTTTTCACACACCTGATTCAACAGATGGACATGACTACTAACCAGCTCTCTGAAATCTACTCTCATTACATGTAATTTAACAGCTCTGTCTTGTTATACAGAACAAGACTACTATTAATAAAACAACTGACATTTACCAACAGGTAGCAGCAAAAGCAGACACACGGATCAGATTTTGTTCTCCTTTTCACCTGCGACACTTCATTTGTGTCAATCTGTTGAGATCAGCACAATAATAAAGTCACGTTTCTCATAAGCAATGATAAAATAGGCAAATAGTGATTTTCTGGGGACGCTCCAAGAAACTAAATTCATTTTAGAACTCAAAAGAAAGATGGAGACTCGCCCACATGAGAAATGACAAATACAAACAACAGATGATGGAAACTAGCATGACATATAATAGCAAATCAGCTGATCAGGGTGCAGGTCTACAGACTCGTGCCTTCTACTTTTGTGCACGAACAATAAAAGCGTGCGTGCAGCTTTGCTCTCTGCTCTTCCAGCTGCTCTCAGAGAAATCATTAAGCACTCAGACAGGTGCCCCCCCCCCCCCCCCCCCCCCCCCCAGTATCAGGGTCCCCATTCAACAGACAAAAGCAAGCTCTCCACAGAAATCAGTGCATCTGGAGCTTTACAAGATGCAGGGAATGGCTCTGCTGTGTTCCTGCTCATTTGAACACCATTGTTTGGTAATTCTTCAAATAAGCTAATAAAAAAAAGGATCTCAACATGTCTGTGCTGATACAATTTATGTTTTATGAACAGATTAAGGAGCCAGTAGCCTTTCTGGTTGGCTACGTCGCAGCAGCTGCCGTGGTCAAAGAATCACACCGCTCCAGGTTTTAAGTAAGAGGGTAATCCTCTCAATACCCCCAGCATTCACTAGTAAAGACATTCATTATCATCAACAGATGTCAGCCAGCAAATAAAACATTTCTAAAGTTTTCCCATTCAGCATGAGACCCACAGGCTGCATTTCTACAGGGAAAAGGAGACTAATGAAAATAACTATTTAAATATTTGTTTTTTTTTCTCCTTGTCTTCTATTAATATTACACCCAAAAGTGAAGTATGGAGAAATGTAGCAAAAAAATAAAAAAATAAAATAAATAAAATTCAAATCACAAAGCAATTCTCAAATAAAGATCGTTAAAAAGTTATTTATGAAAGAGTAAAAATGCACACCTACTGGGTTTGTTTTGTAACTGCCAAATTCATTTAGTTTAAGGTTAGTTTAAATAATAAATCTCCTGTCTGTACTTTTTCTATGTAGTATTTTCTAAAGCACTTTGTGGTGCAAATGTTTGCAGAAAAATAAGACAAATTAACACTAAATAACACAAAAAAAAAACACCAATATCAGAAAATAAACCATCATGGATGCTCATTCTAATTATTTTCTGGCAATTCCTACAAATTCACTAGGATGAAATAAGAGAATTATCAAACTATTACGTCCTCAGCAGGTGGTTTTCAAATCAATGAATGTTTGTAGCATTTGGAAAATATCAGCAGGGTCACATGTTCAATCACTGATCTAACTTAGAGCCTTACAGGGTGACAGGGAGTCAAAACTAAACAGAAAATCATTCTGTATCACATCCATCATAGTGAGCTTTAGCATATACTTTATATAACACCACTCACGAAGATATGTTATGTTCCTGACGAAGTTTAGTTTTATTAACCATCTTTTTACCAGAGTGAAAACTTCCAGGCACTGAGGTGTGTGCATGATGATGACTAGCTGTAAATTAGCTTAACCAGTCAGCACATCCAGGGAAGTGACGCGCTATGCTAAACAAGCTAATTTACAACAGTTTGCTCATTTCAATGTAAACATTTCGAGTAATACTATACTAATATTTGCATTAACATGAACCACTTTTACTTAAAAGAAACAAGATACTCACCAAAGTTTTTAAAACTTTGCCGACAGTTGTCGCCTCCAACGAGTGAAATTGGGAACGCCTCTAAAATGAAATTTACAACATCACCTTCGCTGCTCCGAGTTTAACCACCGAGGTGTTTTCTTCCCTTTTGGGTGGAAATAGTCTGCTGCTCACAGCCTTCCGTGAATCCTCGGCTGCTTCATCCTCCTGTGGTTTGAAGCGGATTTTGAAAAGCGGTTGATAGAGGAAGAGGCGGTGACTGGGAGCCAGGGGCGGACCTGGCGCTCCCGTGGACCAAACCACAACTGCTGAGTTCTAAAGGAACTCAGTATTTTCAGTAATCGGTTCGGATTTTAAGCTTCCTTTAAACATATATGGGTAACCTCTCGCTGAAGAAAGTAGTTGGTTTAGGTTCTGTGGGGTACCCACCCTGTTTGATGCTAAACGAGTCTCATGCTGCTAGTGAAGAATGTGTACACTGTACACAGTGTGCAAAACCAACCACGAAGAGCCATATTTGCAGTATCAATACTGGTGTCAAAGCAAGAATGTCTACTATATTAATGAAAGTGGATTGTCTGTGTTCATTAAACTTATAGAACTTTTAGACACATTGTAATGATTGACTTTATTTAAATGCATGAAGTTCTTTGCACAAAATCCCTCTCACATAAAGTAATTTCAGCAGTTTATTCTCCACAGTTTCAGTACCTTCCAAAATGAGTCATGTCCCTTTAAAAAAACAAGTTGGAGCTAGCCATGCCCACTCACCCCTCACTCAGGCTGCTACAAGCTGCGAAGCTCCAATATCTGTGAGAGGCTCACGTAACCCCAAAATTCCACAACCTCCGCTCCGCTCCGGCACGAACTCCGCAGCAAAATCGGTCCCGTTGTAGTCAATCAGATCTGTTCCACTACTGCGGCCGTGCGGCGCAGTGTGCCGCCCACCGTTCCGCCATCCGGCAAAAATAGGATTGATTCTATTTTTGCCGGACGCCAGAGCACCTCCGCAGTCAATGGACAGAAATCACAACCGCCCAACAGGAAAGGGAGCAAGCACAACTTCTGTTATTTCACAATAAATCGATAAACCAAAAGCGTTTTTTGTTTCATATGCACAGGTTTAACAACTTTTAACAACTATCAATGGCGGCTGAACTTTAAATGCACAAAAATAAGCCATAAATACAGTTTCCACTATCAAAGTAGTCAGCCTTTTCCAAACCTGATCCAAACAACTGCTGATCTCTCAACACAAATGATGGGCAGATTAAACAGTTCATTTCGATGCTTCTCCCACACAACGGGTGTTTGCATCTAACTTTGCTCGGACTGTATCGCAAGATTTCGAAAATCCTGCGCATGCCTGTTTGCGCACCTCAGGTCTCCGCACCGGTGCGGAGCCGTTGCAGAGCGGATACAAGTAAAAATTGAGTTCGGAAGCGAGCGGCTGTGGAAGGCGGGGGTGGAGTGGAGCCAGAGCCGTGTCCAGGACTTTTAAAATGGGGTGGCCCATGTGGGGCACTTGTTTATGCATGGGTGGCACCAATGGTTATTTTTATTTATTTATTTACACAAATCGTTTATTTATTTATTTACTTTCTAGTGAATTTTGGAGTTTCACATTGCACAATCACCATTTTTTTCTATTCATCTTCTAGTTTTGTGGTGGTTAGCAAGTCACTTCTTGTTGCATTACTGCCACCAACTGGAGATGAGTGGGACTCTAAATACTATTTATGTGAATATGAAAAAATAATAAATAATATTAATACTACAGAAATGTTCTGTAGGCCTGGGCTAGAAGACGATGTTAAAGGTGCATGCTACCACACACTATTTTTGGAGTTTACAACCCAAGCCTTTTGTCGACAATGTAAAGTCAGTTTAAACTGGAACTTAGTAGGGTGGCACCTGGGGGTGGCCAATCAGATTCTAAGGGGGGCATGTGCCACCCCAGGCCACTCCCTGGACACGCCCCTGAGTGGAGCGGAGCGAAGGTAGTGGAATTTTGGGGTAACAGTACTGCTTCCCCAGCAGATGTTCTCACTCAGTTTTTCTCCTTCCAAAAAGGCCAAAGAGGTACATAGTCTTTGTTTACAATATGTGCGCTTGTGGGGTTGCAGAGTGCCAGCTAACGCTGCTGTGTTGGCATTTGTAATTTGACATTGGCCAGCAAAAAGTTCCAGAGTTGGAACATATCAGTACAGGCGTTTACACATTAGAAGAAAGAAGAAGAAGAAAATATCATTTCTATAGCGCCTCTCAAGTAGGGGTGGGCAATATAAACGATATAAGGTACAAACAATGTAAAATTGGGTAATGATAGAGTTTTTGGCTATATCGCAATACCGCGATATTGCGATAACACATGACGTCACTAAGATGTGCATTTGGACAACAGAATGGCAGTGATTGCAAGCATGGAGTGGGCGGAGGAGGAGGCCTATGTGCCTCAAGTGGCATATATTTGCCACATGAGGATATTTAGAAGCATGTCATTTTGACATATATAAACAGAGGACAAAATATATCACATTTTATATAGTTACCGCACATGCTTCAGATTATATCGCAATATAGATTTGAGGCCATATCGCCCAGCCCTACACTCAAGATAAAAATCATGAGGTGTTTCACAAAAACAAAAAAATGTAAAAATAGAAAAAATAATTTAGAAAATGGTTACAAATATGTTTAAGATGAGCAAAAAATAGACAATTGTGATTAAAAAATGTAAAGAAAGAGAGAGGGTGATTAGATAAGAGGGAAATCAGTGGATCCTGAGGAAGGTAGAATAGGTGGGGAGGGCAGAATGAAGAGACAGTGGTGAAGAAGGTCATACAAAAGCCAGCTTGAACAAGTGAGTCTTCAGCTGCTTTTTAAAGGAGACCACTGAGTCCACTGATCTCAGGCTCAGGGGGAGAGAGTTCCAGAGTCTGGGGGCCACAGCATCAAATGATCTGTCACCTTTGGTCTTTAGCCTGGTGCTGCACAACCAGTAGGCTTTGATCACTGGACCTCAGGGACCTGCTGGGGGTGTAGGGACTAAGAAGATCACCAATGTAAGATGGCCCTATAGGCCAGAACCAGGATCATCACAACAAATAGTCAGCTCTAAAAATATCTCAAGCAATTTTAAAAATTGACAACAACTCGATATTACAGTGAAATTCATTTATCTCTTTATCAACTTGCTGTGTATGACTCGCCTTCACTTGTCATCTAGAATCCTCTGGTGCTGAGCCGTAATAATAACTGGCAACAGCCATGACACTCACAAAATGGGAGTGAGAGTCACTTGTTTGTTTTGAAAATGGGCAGCAGTAGCCACATTTGACCACAGGATGTAATTCTTGCATTTTCTATTTTAGCTGTAATTAGTTATTCCATTCTTAAAGAAACATAATGATTGGTTCTGAAGAGTAGAGGACAGGCGCAGTGCCAGGCTTTCATTTTTGGGCGGGCCATGGTAATTCAGGCCGTAATAAGCAGTGATGTAGGCTAAGTGAAGCAGGCAGGTAGCGCTAGAAATTTTCATTTAAAAAGACATCATAAATGTTTTCCCCCATCATTTTTATTTCTAAAATATAAAGTAAAGATTCACAATTTAATATTCATTCATTTTTCTTCAATGTTTAGTCTACACCCGTGCCATAATAAATCTATATAAATCTATAATAAATAAAGTAATATTTAGGTCACCCTTAACAGGTGACCAGGACCCTGTAATCAATTTTTGGCAAGGGAAATTATCTTTTTTTTTTTTCTCCCATTTTTGGGGTGTTTATGATGATACAATACACAGTATGAGTACAAGAACATCAACAGATAATACATAAAACCCTTGTTTGGTCAATTTTAGCCTCCATGAAAAACTGAGCGATTTAATCACTTTTTGGCAAGTAAAATGCCATTTTTGTTGTCTACAATTAAATCATCAATAAAGAATTTAAAGATATTTTGAGGCGTTTCTAGGTAAACAGGAGGGTATAGTCTCTATTTGGCAAGTGACAATCTTAATTTTATGTGCTCAAGTGCTTTTATCTTGTTACTTTTAAATAGAGCAACGTAATGTATAGATAGTAACCTAGACAGTTTCATTGTAAAGCCAACGCTTGATCAGTTTAAATGCTATTGTTCAAGTAAAAATGTGCCCCAAACTAGTTAACTGTGGCTCCATGTCAAGTGGATTAAAGAAAGGAAGGGGGAAACAATCAAATCACTGGAGAATTGTTTATTTCCATTTATACAACGTTTGACACAAACAGGGCGCCATTTTACATTGTTTATTTATTTTTTAGAATCAAGGCTGTAACATAAAGATAGCCAGTTCTTACCACAAACCATCTTTCAATCGAAAATATTGCAAAAAGGATTAATATATGCTCATTGTGAACGTTTGAGACAAATAGCAACAACTTCCGAACTGGAAAAACTAATATCCGCGATAAACATCTGTTTAAGTACCAGACGAGGTTATCTCTGCTTTCTCAATGTCCATACTGCTAGATATGTCGAGTTTTACGGCAAAATCCTGGGGAATTTCGTCAAGAAATGCAATTACCCTAACCGTGCGCGATCCCGCGGTGGCTAATCATTTTTTGGCAGCCAGTCGCTTTTTGGCACAACACCAGCACCAGAACGCATTACCTGCACTTCTAATATTTACCTCTCAACATAGGACTCTTTCATATAAGGGTAAATGCAAACCGATAGTTTTTTATGGTTATTCATGGGGCAAAATCTCCAACATTTTTGAAAAAAAAAAAAAAATCAAATCCATCTTCCAGTAATAGCAAAGCATCCAGCCCACCTCTCCAAATGTGTAAAATATGCATCCCAGCCACTAAGCGCGCTGCGCGCACCGTCAGCTACGTCAGCCCAGACAAGAGCAGAGAAAATACAGAAATAATAGAGGATAATTCTGTCTGGATGTGGATGGAGAGTACATTTTACAACAGTCATGATCCTGCCATGCCTTGACCTGCACCATCATCAGCCTTCATGCTTCACACTTCGTCCCCTCATCTAGCCCCAACCAAACCCTGTTTCCACAGCAATCCCAGCCTGCTTCATCCACTTCACCTGCTCCTGACTCCTCAGCTCATCACACACACCTGCTTCCCCTGCTACTTAAAAACCAGCCATCCAACCATTGAGTGCCAGATTACTGAACACTTTGCCAGTAAATAAAGCCTTTCCTGCCTGATCACAGTCCCTTGACCTCGTTTGCACGACTGACCATCACCAAGAACTCTGGCTGCCACCACAATCCTAGCCTGTTTACGACCACGTCTCCTGCCTGCTCCTTACCTGCTTAGTTTCGATCTGGTTTCGACCCACGCCTGCCTTCCACTCTGCCCTTACCTGAGTTTCTCCGATAACGCCTCCCATTAGCTTCTGGCTAAGACTGTTAAAAACGTCTTAATGCGTTTGGTGTCATTACGGGTCATCAAGTTCTTTCTGTTCATGACACCTAATCATCTAAATACATAAACCATCACCTGTCTTCTAGTCCACGCTATCAGCATTATTTTAATTGGTGTGTGAGAGTTTGAGTGTGTTTTCCACTTCAAACACATGCTCTAACCAACCAGACCAGTGTGTACGTTATTAATGTTACAATTAAACAATTTCACCTCATGTAGGCTAGGAACATTTCACCTGCCGAGGCCCGACCGCTTCTGCCCCGCATAAACTTTGTGCGTAATCAAATGTCTCTACAGGTTCTTTCTAAGCTGAGAAGGCTATTCTGCCTCAGACAGACTGGATGGTTATGCGTCTCCATATTGGAGAAGGGAACAAGTGCTATTCAGCCAAAGTTTCATAATCAGAGAACATTTTTCCAAGTGACATCCCTCAGAGAGACTGGGACTCCAGACCGCCAGTGGGAGGAAGTCCTGCGCTGTGGTGCTGCACTGTGCTCCGAACCCCTCTACAGATCTTCAGCTCACTGTCCACCGTGTGCGCTGCGCTGAGCACATGTCCAGTATAAAGCTCTGATGTTCTGATGGGAATCTTTTCTTGATTGATTTAGTTACCTTCGCGATGTGCATAACGATTAAAATGTCAGCTCATCTGTGTGTGCATCATTGTGCGTCGGGGTAATTCTTTCAAAACAACCAACATCCTTGAGTTTATCCGTCAAAATAAACAGTCAAATGGAAATATCTGTAACCTGCCATTTAACTGTTTTGCCTTCTTGTGAAGATTGTTGCAAAGAGAAACAACTAAACTTGATTAACCCCAGAGCCACGCGCACTGCGCTGTACTCTGTGACTGTAAACGAAGGGGAAATGATTTAATCGGATCCTTTTCTTTTCAACATGGTTTAATGTAAAGTTTCTTTCAGTTTAAACTTTAGTTACACCAATCTAACGAGACAGAGCCTGGATTTGTATTCTGAACAGTTTAAACATGTTTAAAACGGAGACATGCGTGACACGTCTAAAATTCGCACCTGCTCCGCTATTATGGAAATTAAACTAACAAGATGAATAACATGAAATTATTTTAGGCACAGACAGACTAACTTTTGGGTAATTTTATACAAAGTGTTTTATTAATTACTGTATAACTTTGACATACACAAAAAAATGGGTTTTGTTTGCTGGTCCTAGCCGCTCACGGCTCTTATGGGGTGGGCCCGAGTGCAGGTGGGTGGGGCCCAGGCCCGGTAGGCCCGCCCACCCGTAACGCCGTGGCTGGTGGACGGGACTTTCAGCCACATGTCTCTTGTGCACAGACTCTGTTAAAATGTGTCATCCTTTAAGCAGATTACCATCAACAGAACTAGGCAGAGGTTATGTTCCTCTTGCATTTTAACATGCGATTTACCACATATAGGGCAGTCACAGTTTCTTGGACAGCCAACAATGCTTTTAGAGGTGGGCAATAAGAAATGTAAAGAACTTCAATCCCCACAATGCTTTGTGGTGCAGCGTCAGCTGTGTTGGTTCCGCTTTGTTGATTGCTGCAGTATGCAAGCAGCAAGGGCAATGCTTTAACAAAATCTAGGTTCCCATGTTGTCCTGTTTGAGCTCTTGTTTCAGACAGCCACTCCGCTGCGTGTCTGCCTTTCTGTGATAAACGTGAACTAGCTGAAGCAGCAGAAGGACTTCAGCTGAACATTGACCTCCTTTCTCTGTATTTCACAATCGAGGTCTTGTCAGAGCCAGAGCTCTGCTGGATTTATCTCAGTCTGTAGAAGAGAGGAACCCACCGGTTTGGACACCGCTCTGGAAACTTTGGCCCAAATGAAGAAAGCTTTGTTGTATCTGTTAACTGTTTACATTTCAGTCCCCGTTTTCCTTTACTTGTTCCCTTGGATCATGAGCTATGCCATATTTTCCCACTTATGTAAGTAAAGTCTGTTTTACATCACCTACATATTTGAAAGTTTGTTAGAAAAGGACATTTAAGCTTGATTGTATTTTAGTAGAAACACGTGATCAAGTTGAAAACTTATGAGTTTATTGTCGTTTCCATTCATTTTAGTAAATGATAAATATGTAAATGAAAAATTTGAAGTGTTAATTCACAGAAAGGTTTGTTTGTATTTTGTAAACAACAAAATATTTTTTTCCTCAACGTGGCCCAAAACTACAACTTCCTACAAACTAGTTAGCTAAACTAGTTCTGCTGCATTTTTAGGATTTTTAAAAGTTGTTGTAGATTTTCTAGAAAAAAGAACATTTTTGAACAACCTAAAATATAATTTCAGATGTATAAAAATAATTATGCACATACAGGGTGCAGCAGACACTTGGACTTGGAGCTAGTGTCCCATGGTGGAACCCAAACATGGCTGGCTAGAGTTAAATTAAACATTTTATCATGATGATTGAAGGAGGTCTTTTTTGACATGTTGCTTTGATAACGTACAAGGATGTTCTTGACTGATAAGAGGGCATGACCCAGAGCAGTTTGGTCTAATGCAACAACACGCTGTAGGAAAATGCCATAACTGACCTTGTGTGTTCTCTGCTCCAGTGAGGTTTCCATACTCCGCGGATCTCAGCAGACCACAAGATGTGCTGAATCACACATGCAACTTCTACCTCAACACAGAGGAGGACGTCTCAGTGGGAGTGTGGTACGCCATTTGTGGCCATTGCAGTGCACCGGTGTTTGCAAATGCAGCATGCCTGTTTGACACAGGTGGCTGTCGTGTGAAGGGAGCCGCAGTCATCCATCTGCACAGGACCTACTCCAAAAGCAGCTGGAGATCTTCGAACACAAGCTGATTTGTTTACCTCTTTCACTCTCCCTCTTCTTTCCCCTCATCTTTTTTTCTATTTGTCTCAAAGGCATACCCTCCCTGTCAGCCAATGGGAAGCCTCCGCTGGGAGAACCCTTGACTGGTACCATGAGACTCTAGGAGACGGAAGTCCTGTTATTATCTATCTCCATGGCAACGTAGGGACCAGGTGGGATTCGAGCAGTAGAGTAGATCCTTGAACTGATCCTAATGGAGCCTGGTGGGAATTACATGACCGCCCAGGCTTTTTGTTTTGCCCACAGTGCATAGACACAATGTTGGCTGAAAATAAATACAGAGGCTAACAGCCACATGTTTGTTTATTATTGATCTGATTTGAATTTTGCAGGGCGATGAGTCACAGAGTAGGACTGGTAAAGGTAAGGGTTTGGAGACACAATCAGTGATGTTTTCCTTTAGGTTTTAAAAACTCTGCTTTTCTGATGTTGCAGGTTCTGAGTGCTGCAGGTTACCATGTCTTATCTCTAGACTACAGAGGTAAGAGGATTATGGTGCTCTTCCAGTAGTCTGACTTTCTTCTGCTACATTTAAAACCTAATATTCTGTATATCTATAATAGCAGCTAAGAGCCATGCCTTTGATTGGCTTATCAGCAAAACCAGATGTGATTTCAGCATCATTTTACTGAATAGACCATGATTTGTTCTACCTTGTTAATCATGATGTAACACCAGCCGCTGAAGGGTGATTGGTGGATCTCAGAACTTTAGATAATACTGTTTTAGTGTTTCTGTGTATAGTGTGTGTCTGCCTGTAGCGTTAACAGAATATTTCTTGACAGATTTTAATGAAACTCAAAAAGAAGTAATCAGATTACAGCTAATTAACACAGTTCTAGATGAATATGAGCAAATACAAAAAAGACTTAAACTTGGTTAGCTTCACAGATTTTTGGCTAAAATTTGGGTCACTTAGGCTTTTTACACACATTGTTTTTCCGTCCGTCTGTCCGTTCGTTCGTTCATTTTTTCATTATCTTCCGCTTATTCAAGCTGTGGGTGCAGCAGCCAGATTTCCATCTCCTCAGCCACATGGGCCAACCCCTCTGGGGGGTGAGGAGCATAGGCCCAATCCGAATACTCAGTTGCACGATTCCATTCAGGGGAACAAATGTGTGAGAACAATTCTCAAGTGCAGAAGTTGACCACGCCTTTTTTGCACCCTTGATCTGCACTTCAAACTGTATTACCCACAATCCATTTTGGGAATTTTGAGAAGAAGGCGAAGAAATGGTTCAAGTACCTCTTCTGAAAATATGTATTTTCAAATGAAAGAAGTAAATTTTAGGGCAATTAATGATATTTATTCATGCTTTGAATATTTTAGATGAAGATGTAATGTTGACAACAATGAATGTAAAATTCCTCAAATACTTGTTCATTTGAAAGTTGTTAATAAAGATTTTTTTTAAAGTAGTACAAACAGCGATCAGCATGCCAGCATGCGTCGCAGTCGATGACGTAGTGCTCCTTGTCCCAATTTGGCAATTATTTGCACACTTGCGTACTATGCACTCAAACCCTTATTGCACACTTCCTCCAAGTTCACGTCACAGAAGACTGCAGGGCACAGTGCGAGGATTGAGATTGGGCTTTAGTCTCTCCAACGTGGCCTGAGTCTTCCTTTAGGTCTCCTCCCGGTTGGACATGCCCAGAAAACCTCACCAGGGAGGCGACCAGGAGGCATCCTAACTAGATGCCCAAGCCACGTCAACTGGCTCCTCTCTGTGAGGAGGAGCAGCAGCAGATCTACTCCGAGCCCCTCTCTGATGATGGGGATGTTGTGCAGTTGTCTGTTTTTGTTGTTTTGATTAATCATATTTATAAAGCACATTCTTGCCACTGTTTAAGGAAACCACAGTTGTACACAATATAATAAACACAAGCCAGGAATTACAGTAATGATAAAAAGTCATACCAATAAAGTAACACCATTGAAATATGTTTTTGCATGGCTCAAACATCCATCCGGGGTCAGGTCGCAGTGGCAGCAGCCTAGGCAGAGAGGCCCAAACAGGATAATATAAAATGTTTCATATATTTCAGTAACAATACTGCTGATTTAAAAAGGATGAAGCTGAATATTCCTCCAAAATGAAGAGTTATATCGTGTTTTGTTTGAACTTGTCTGAATGAGGATTTGGAGATTCAACAGGAGAACCCAGTGAAGCTGGACTGACCAGCGACGCCCTCTACTTGTACCAGTGGGTAAAGACACGCAGCAGGAGTTTAGTCTGCTTCTGGGGGCACTCACTGGGCTCCGGGTCAGTTCAGAGTCATCTACACTCCTCATGATGCACACATAAAAAATAAAAAATGCACTTATTCAAAATGTTTTGGGTTTTTTATAGAGTGGCAACCAATGCTGCAGTAAAACTCCAACAACAAGGTATGTTTAAGCTGAGATTTTGATTAAAATCAGTTTGTTAAAGCTTCTTCTCTGCAATATGAAACTGAAATCTGCATGTTGAGGCATTTTTAAATGCATTCAGGTGAAAGCAATTAACCTTATTTGAAATAAAGTCCTTTAGTTTAACTTGCTTTCCTCTTTTTGGATAAGGATCTGCTGTGGATGCTTTAATCCTGGAAGCTCCATACACAAAAATCGGAGAAGCTGTAGCCCTTCATCCCATCGCTAAGGTGAGAAAAGTCATTTCTCTTTTCTTTGGCAGCTTTTGCATTAGTGGTTGTAAAAACTGCCTCTGGTAGAATCTGTATTTCAAATGAAGTTGTATTTAATGAAATGAGATGTTCTTGTTTGCTTCACATTTAAGCATTTCTGCATCTTTTTCTCCAGATGTACGCGTTCCTGCCAGGATTTGAGAGCTTGCTTTGGCACTTACTGGAGAGGATCAGTATCCAGTTTGCTAATGATGAAAAGTAAGTCTGGTAGAATAAAATCTCATCTGGAACACAAACGGCTGCAAGCAGATGTTAGGTATAATTATGACCCTGTCTTGAAAAGAGGAACTATTAGCATCCACTTAATTGAAGTTGTAAAAAATCCGAGACAAAGATCCGTTTGAATCCATCAAAAACCTTTTAAATCTTTATTCCTTAAGCTTGAAGAAGCTGACGAGTCCACTTCTCATTCTGCATTCAGAAGATGACCGTGTGGTTCCCCTTCACATGGGTCAGAAGGTTTGGCGTCTCTTCTTCTGCTCCAGATTTCCTGCAGCGAACGTCTTCATCTTCTTTGCTGACTTTTTGTTTATTGCATCCAGCTGCACCAGATTTCCCTGCAAGCCCACAGGGAATCGGACGCTCAGGTTGAAATGGTCTCCTACAGCGCACATCTCGGATTCTCCCACAGCAGCATTTACCTGGACCCACATCTGTCAGACGTGGTTCAGTGAGTAAAAAAAAAAAAAAAAAACTCAAATTTTTGACAACTAATGTGCCTAAATCTGATTCATCCTCTGTTCTGGTTGCAGGAAATTCTTTAAAAACGTGAGACGGTAGAGCAGATCCTTCTCCCTGGGGCAGTTTGTGGAGAATAAATGAAAAGGTTCTTTACTGATTTATTTTTCTTCAAAGTGCATGAAATAAATATGGAAATAAAGCCTCCTGATATCATTTTATAGTTGATTTATTCGATTTCTTCAGTCAGAACAACTGCATTGGATTTACATCCATCCTAAACTAGGAACACAATAAACGAGTATCCCGAGTGTGGTTAAGATCCTATTGAATTCACAATTCTTCTCCCTAGGAATATTAGATAACCTGAGTGTTATTCTACAGAGACTCCTAAATGTGTTGGTGCTAAAAAAACAAAGAGTACAGTAACAGTGCTTTTAGTCAAATATCGAAAGTCTCAAGCATGAGTGAGCAGCTGATGGGTTGTAAACAAATGCAGCTCCTTTTTAAAGCAGTTTTACATTTTCTTCAGAGCCTTGACCGTCTCTTCGATGGCCTCTCTGGGCTCGTTTGGCGGCGGGATCTTCAGGTCGGTCGGCTTGACGCCCCACACCTCCGTCGCATATTCTGCGATGGTTCTGTCGCTGGAGAACTTCCCAGTTGCAGCAATGTTCTTGATCACCATCTTGGTCCACTCCACTGGATTCTTAAAAATAATAAATAATGCATTGTTAAAATATTGTTAATTCCTGCAGAAGACAATGGTGGCAGTAAAAGAAAACGGCTTTCAAACCAACAGAACCTCTTACCTGGAAGAGATTGTTGACTTTTTCTTGACTTTTTAAGTAGTCTTCAAAGTCTGCAAACACTTTGAATCTAAAGAGACATAAATGGTGTTTTATTAAAGAGCCCAAAAGCAAAAAGAAATGAGTACTTTTTCAAATTTCCTCACCGGTCATGTTTGAAGAGCATGTTGGTGAGATCTTTGAAAAGTTCTGGATTTTTAGGGCTGAAAAACCCGCTTGCAATCTGATCCATCACTTCCTTCAGCTCAGGAATCTTCTTGTAATACAACATGGCATCATATCTAACAACAATAATAATAAAAGCTGATTTAGTCAGTTTGGCACTAAAAAGGACATTTGTCTAATTCTCCTTAAATGGAAACACATTTTTAAAGAAACTGAAGTAAACGACTTGAAAAATCTTCAGTCAACCAGCTAACCCACTCGTTTGGCGTTTACTGAATAATATGACCGAAGTCAGGAAACTTCAAATAGAGGTAACTTAAATACTTGGGCTCCATTTAAGGGCAACAGTATTGCTTAGAAGCAAGATTACATAAAAAAATAACCCCCAAAATTTACAACGGATGTGTGAAAAAAATTCTGTTGAGACACTTTTACCCCTTTTTGTCCATTTCAGCTACATCCTCCACCCTCATGCCAAAGATGAAGAGATTCTCCTCTCCCGCCTCCTCAGCCATCTCCACGTTGGCTCCATCCATGGTGCCGATGGTCAGCGCTCCGTTCAACATGAACTTCATGTTGCCCGTTCCCGAGGCCTCTGTTCCAGCAGTGGAGATCTGCTGGGACAAATCTGTGGCCGGTATCACTGAGGAAGAAAGAAGCCCGCAAAATAAAATTTGAGGGTTTTATTTTTTTTTTCTGCACAGGATTTAAAAAGGTAGCTACCTTTCTCAGCCAGAGAAACTCTGTAGTTCTCCAGGAAAATGACCTTCAGCTTGTTTCCCACCACGGGATCGGTGTTCACCACATCAGCCACTGAGGTGATGAGCTTGATGATCATTTTGGCCATGTGATATCCTGGTGCAGCCTGTAGAGAGGCACAATGTCAGGAACACCGACCTTTCTCTCTTGAACTAATCTGGATTAAGCACCGTACATTACCTTTCCACCAATTATCACAGTGCGCGGCACAAAAGGTGCAGAGGGGTTCTTCCTGATGCCTTGAAAAAAAATAAAACACTAATATTATCAAAGACATGGATTTTAATAGTGCAAAAGTCTGAATGCTCATTTATGTTGTTTAATAAACTCCTTAAATTGCACCATAATTGCCGCGTCACGAGTCATTTTTAGGGAAATAGTTTCTCCAAAAAAAAGGGAAAAGTGATGAAAGAGCTGCATGGAAACTTCCCCACAGCTAATCTGGACGGCAGCATTCCTCATGTTCATTATAACATGAAACACGGGTGGGTGTGGAATAACCCAACCCACTCATTCTCACCCATAAAGACTACAATAACACTTTATTTTTTCAGTTTGTTGATTAAACTCCAGCTCCACCTACGGTTGTACATGGCGATGATGTGCAGGCAGTTGAGGAGCTGCCTCTTGTACTCATGGATTCTCTTAACATGGACGTCAAACATAGAGGAAGGGTTGATTTTCACTCTGTACTCCTTCTCCAGGTACTGGGCAAATTTCAGCTTGTTGTCCTGCAACCAGACGTGAATTACGTGACTTGGCATGAAAGGGAGTGACTGAGGTGAAACAGCTGGGAGACGTGTCTTTACATGCATGTTTAGTGGCTCAGTGCAAAAAAACTGAAAGCAGAAGTACTTTTCTGATTTCCATCTGACAAATCTGTTTATTTTGCTTTTATACGACAACCTGAAAGCACCACATTTACATGCAGGACTACTTATAGTTCAGTGTGGAATCTTCTTTAAAGAGCAAGTCACCCCCTACAAGAGTCTAACTCCACTCCCACTTCATGTTTGAAAAATGCAACACATGCTGTTGCCTGGCAGACCGAGAGGGCGGAGCCGCTAACAAATACACACACACTCAGGCTCACGACAGCATTGTGACATCATAATGTACCAGTTTACATCATAGCATACTTCTTAGCCAATAGCGGTGGCAGATTTAAATTAAAAAACAGTGCAGAGTTTTTACCTGACAGCGGCACAACACTGCCAGTTTTAGGCAGAATATTTAAATTTTAACTAAGATGCACTGAAGTGCCAAATTATTGACGACACGTGTCTGGAGCATGATTAGACACTCGTTTATTTAGTTTATCAGCAAAAAAAAGTTAATTTGGGGGTGACTTGCTCTTTAACTTTTGCAAATTTGAATTAAAACTAATAGAAAAAGTGCAACTATGTTCCAAAATAGACGGCACTGTGCAAAATGTACATGTATGCAGCACATAATGATCTATGAAATTACAAATAGTATTCAGTTTATATTAGTACCAAGACCCCATCAGTACTTTTGGTAATGAAAACAGAGGAAGTATCTGAACATTGTTTTTTAAATTAAATGATCTTGGTGTGGTTTTGAACAACACTACCTGTTTGACTTTAGAGACGTCCCGGATGAAGGCTACATCATCCACAAAGTCATTCAGCTTCTTCAGTTGGCTCAGGTCCTTCACATAATCTTCTCCTATCACCTATAGTTAAAAAGGTCAAAGGTTACGTTAACAATCTACCAAAGCATACTCCGTCGTGTCTCATAAATATGAAACATTCCGACCTCGGCGATGAGCTCGGCCAGTCCAGGGTTGCAGAGCAGCAGCCAGCGTCTGGGAGTGATGCCGTTGGTTTTGTTCTGAAACTTCCCCGGCTCAAGATCACTAAAATCTTTGAATCTGACAAAAAGGGGAGGGGAAGGTTTAAGACAAAATGGTAAACCAGTGGGTTTGGGGTCACTCTCCCAAAAAGATCCTTGAGCATCTCAAGCAGGTTTCTTTTGTCTGAAAAGTCAGGCACTTTCAGATTTAATTGTCAAAGAAGGTCAGATTTTTAGAAATGGAGCTCTTTGTAACATTTCTTGTCTTTGCAGGTCCTGCATTTGAGAAAATGTGTTTAAATCTGACAGGATTGACAAGCTAACAGCTAGTCCGATTAGAGTCCAAAACAACTCAGATCTCTAAATTTTTATGTCACTTTACAAGAATGTTATTTCATAAATGCTTACATTTACAGAATTGTATTGCATGGTTGTTCCAAAGCTCCAGGTTACACCAGAAATGCTACAGCTAGCTCTTAGCAATTATCCATAAAATGCTATATAAGTAACTAAAAAAAAGCTACATTAGTGTTATAGAATTATGCAACTGCAATTAATTTTTAGTTGCTTGAAACGGCAGCAATTACTCCATTTGTACTAGCTGTTAGCTGGCTAATCTAGTCAGAATTAAACCATTTCATCAGATTAGAGCCAGTTAAGATGCTAATTGCTCACAACTTTTACACAGAAAATGACAGATTTATGTTGAATTTAGATGGAAGATACTTTAAAATCAGATTTTATGTTCCATCAGCAGAAGGCTTACATTTTAGTCTTGATGATGTTGGAATGTATCTCAGCAACTCCATTGACAGCATGAGAGCCCACGATGCACAGGTGTGCCATGTTCACCCTCTTGCAGCCATCTTCCTCGATCAGAGACATCCTCCTCAGTTTGTCCATGTCTTTTGGAAAGAGAGCAGCAATTTTCTGCAGAAAAAAAATTAAGTGAAAATTTCGCTCTTAAACCACAGAACAAAATTAAAAAAAAAATACGATTTTTTTCCTTACACGTTTTTAAGTCATTTTGTGAAAGTGCGTTGGTAGTTTTTGGTGTAGCACACTTACATCAAGATGAGCCTGGTTGATCTGGTAGATGATCTGCAGGTGTCTGGGCAGCAGCTTCTCAAGCAGCTCCACGGGCCAGCGCTCCAGAGCTTCGGGGAGAATGGTGTGGTTGGTGTAGGCAAATGTACGCCTGGTGAGGTCCCAGGCCTGCAGAGGAGGGACGAACCTCTCAGCAAATGTGATACCAAAAGTCATTATTCTGTGTTTAATAGATTTCCTTTCCTTACAGACAAATGTTACACAGCTGTAAAGTGTTTGTTTCTGTTGTCTCATTTCCTGTTAATCATCGTCAGCCATCAAGCAAAACTCACAGTTTCCCATTTGAGTTTTTCAATGTCCACAAAGATTCGCATCAGCTCTGGGATGGCCATGGCAGGATGAGTGTCATTCAGCTGGATGGCCACCTGGAAAACACAAAGCTGCTGTTTAGAGTCGGCTTTCTGACCCAAAATTGTGTTTCAGTCTATTGTTAGTCTGTATTTTTTGGTAGAAGTGACCTAAACATTGGTGCACTATTCAAACACTCGGCTGGTTTAATCACAGCTGCACAACTTTGTGTAGAAAAGGCCAAAAAGGGAACAAAAAACATAATCTTGCAGACTATCACTTTGTCTCTGAGGCTTACTTTGTCCGGGAAGCTCTCAAAGCAAGTGCGGCCTGGGACGCCCTTTTTAGTTGTTTTATACCGGCGGATGATGTCTTGGAGCGTAGCTGCTACAACAAAATATTCCTGCTTCAGCCGAAGCTCCTTCCCTTCAAAGAACTACAACACAGGCTCAATTAGAGAGCTGCAATCTGAAGTGAAGAAATTCAAGAGCAAACACATACAGATGGGGTATTTTATTGCTAAATAAGGGCCGTACATTGTCATTTGGGTAGAGCACACGGGAGATGTTCTCTGCCAGATTTCGGTCCAGAACTGCTTGGATGTAATCTCCCACATTAACTATAAAAAAAACACATCACCTGCTGATAAGAAAAAAGGAACATTCAAATCGGACAAGGGAGGAAGTAGGGAGGAGGAGTCTTGCAATTTTCTCTGTCAACAACTTAAACTGAAACTCAGATTGTGTTGCAAAAGTGTATTTTCCTCTTCCTCTTGTGAAAGCGAGACATTGTTCAGAGCTCACAGTCTTTCAGGTTGAAGTCGTTGGGCGCGCGGGCCGACCACAGTCTCATGGTGTTCACAGTGTTGTTCATGTAGCCGGGAATGGGCGTGTCGTATGGCATTGCCAACACAACCTGCAAGAGAAAACGCAGAATGGTTGACTTGGCAAATAAGAGGGGGAAATCGTCCTTCCTCAACTCTCAAATGCTCACTTTATAAACAATTAAATCGGTTTTACTGATGCGGAGCCATGCCACACACCATCTGAGACATTGACATTAGCTGTTGGGGGTGACCCCAGTCCAAGATGGCTGCTACAGCTGATCGATCAACAGAAGAATGGCTCCAAGGCTCCAAGTCGGTCGGTTTTACTGACATTGATCTGCGTTGCATACATCTTCAAACTTGTGGATTTAATACCTTTATAAGTTGTGGTTGACTGGAAACCATTTAAAAAGTTTTTCTGATTATAAATCGGTCACTGAGTTTTTCATTCTGGCTGAACATGAAAATAGTCTCCTACACATATCTCCTGCATTAGCTTCAGATAGAAAATCGACGGTGAAACCTCAGGATTTGAAAATGCTCATAGATCGACGTCACACTGTGATTTAGTGTTCATGATCTCAACTCATGACAGGGAAGGCTGTTGTTTTAATGTCCAGTAATCAGCAGAGAAGGTCTCGGCAAGTTTAAGCTAACCGTTAGCATTAGCAACTCCACCATACAATATAACTCCTCCAGGTTTATGTTATTTGTAGAGATAAAACATCCATGTGGCAAGTCATTGGTAAAGTTGTGTTTCTGTTATTCAATCCAGGGCGAGATGTCCAAATAGGAAATAAGACTTTGAAACCCATCGTGTTAAACTCTACTGTGATGCTGCAGACTTGGCTCTGCGGAGCCAGGGGTTTGTGGGCTTTTATGTGCCCCGAGGACTGCCTGCAAGGCATTCAATCCTCCAAGAGGCCAACGCAAGTGTATTAAACAAGTCAACTACTCCTTTAATAGCAGATCGTCACATCTGATGTTCCACTGACAATGTATCTATTGGCAGCCATATCAGAATCAGAGAATCAGAGAGAATTTTATTGCCAGCGCTCCAGCGAAACAGAGCATAGGAACTTGACTCCGCAGATATAAAATGTTTTATCTGTGCACTTTTGCAAGTTTCCTCTTTTTTTATGCACGTTGTGTTTAAAATGTGCAAATAATTTGTCCAATTTATGACTACTGCTTTTGATGGAACCCTTTATCACTATAGTTATAAATTTTGTATTTTTCAAATTTGATGTAGCGGCTGAGAGTCAAGACACATTCTCCAGTCAAACAAAGATTGTATAGAATACTACCAAGACTGGACCTAAATGGCTCATGATCCATGTTCAAACTCTGGCACAGAATGCAATGATTCCTTCCAGAAATGCAAGGTCTTTAATTATGTTCAAGCACCTGAGTATTGACCCATTTGGGACCGTCTCTGGTCTCCTCTACGTGTCCATAGAAGTGAACCGGCAGCATGTACTCAGGCCGAGCCTTCTCCCATGGGTTTCCGTGTCTCAACCAGTCGTCGGCCTCCTCCACCTGCAGCGCAAAAGGTCAGACAAGTTAAAGCTATAGGACAAACGTCAGCAAGTGAAAAACAAAGACTGCCTTATCTGGCCATTTTCTTCACCAGCCTGAAGCAACAAAAGTGCTGCAACATTAACACAGCCCAAAATAAGATGCAGTTTCCAGTAAATGACGCTCATTAGCAGCAGGGTTTAGCTGTGCATGTTCATCATGTGTGCAGAAACACCAAGCCCGGGTTCAGTTCAGAGTTCAGAGGGACATGTCTACAATGAGCAACTGAACAGCAAACAAGTAGCAGAAACACAAAAGAGCAGAAGCCTGCAGTTTTGTCAACCCTTATCACAAGATACACAAGATTTGTTTTGTCATCTCAAGCCAACCTTCAGGGAGGAAATTGCACCATTTCAACTGCGCTAAATGAAACCGACAACCAGTTTTTTTGTTAATCATTAGCTTGTGATGTTTTCTGACCTAATTTATTTCAACTTTGCCCTGACTCAGCTATGACAAGGGAATCCTAATTTTCAAGAAGAAAATCCTGTGCAGAGATTTATTTATTTATTACCTGCCAGCCATCTCTTATTTTCTGATTAAAGATGCCGTATTCATATCGGATGCCGTAGCCATATGCTGCAAGGCCGAGTGTGGCCATGGAGTCCAAGAAACACGCTGGAATGGAAATCAAAAACATTAAAAAGGGCATTTTAAAACTTAAGCGAGAACTGAAGTGAACTCTGCAAAGCAGGCTGGGAAGCTTGGAGCAACTAGTTGCTAGTTTCCACCGTGGTTTGGCAAGTTTGAAGCTGAGAGTTGCTTCACATGTTCACATTTTTTGGATAACTGCCAGTGTAACCTGTAGATAAAAATGAGTGAGTGAGTTCACACTAAAACAATTGTGTGTTGCAGCCGTTCTACCTGCCAGTCTACCCAGACCTCCATTCCCAAGCCCTGCATCCTCCTCAACCTCCTCCAGCTCCTCCATGTCCAAGCCAAGCTGCAGTAGAATAAAAATCCATTAGATCATTTAGAGCGATTGAACTAGAAATAAAAAAAATTGAGCTCTTACAAAGCCAGTTGTCTGACCTGGTAGATGGCTTCATCGCAGGCGTTCTGCAGCCCCAGATTGATCATGGTGTTTTGAAGCGCCCTGCCCATGTAGAACTCCAGAGACAGATAATAAACCCTCTAGAAACGCAAAAAAAAAAAAAAAAAACAACAACAATAAAAAAATTTAAACTTGTATCATGCAAAAGATTTTTTAAGCAAACTTTAAATGAATGTTTGGGGTATGCATTTGTCTGATTTGAGGTATAAATGAGCGAGAAGTGGAACAAACACGCATTCTCCTGCATAAAGTGATGAGTGACCTGAATCAAACAGAGCCTCTTTGTGGGGTTGAATGGATTGATGGATTTCCAACAGAAATTTATCAGTTATTCTGTTCAGATATTTAGTTTAGCATAAGGTTTTTCTACGTGTGGAGATAGTTTGGACCTTTAGGATTCTGAACTGCGTTTCTCCTCCACAGTGATCTGTACCTTTGGGTCTGCTTCATAGTAGAACTGTTGCGTCCTGATCCACCTCCCCACTAGATGGTCCCTCACGGTGTGCGCCAGGGCAAAGTAATAGTCCCGGGTCGTTGCGATGTTCCTGTCTTTGACCAGGGTGAAGTGCAGGTGGCGATTGAAGCCCTTCTTGAGCTCGGCCACGTTTTCCACCCCCACGATGCCCCTGATGCTGATCTGCTTGCGTTTTTCCTGGTCGGTGAGCGGCGTCGCCATGGCGGCTGTGCGGATAGTCGTGCGTGCCGGACTGCTGGAGTTCGACCTGTGGCTGTTTGGGAGCGAAGTTGGTCAACACTAGAGCAGTATTCATGCACAAGTCTCCTCCCCACGCTGCATGTCATTGGTGAGCGCTTCAGGAAGGGAGAGGGGGAGCTTCTCGGTCGGGCCCCAGCTGAGCTGCGTGGAGAAACAGAAGAAAACTATTTGCAGATCAGCTGAGTTGAATTTCAATTACTAGGATGGGCCAGCTTGCATCCAATAGGTCAGACGAAAGCATGGGGGAGGGAAGGAAGTCAAGCTGGAAGAATGCAGTGGTGTGTCCAGGCTTTTATTTTTTTTAAATGGAGTGATGTAACCTGGTTGAGCTGTATCACACTGTGTGTGTGTGTGTGTGTGTGTGTGTGTGTGTGTGTGTGTGTGTGTGTGTGTGTGTGTGTGTGTCATGGTGTGGATGCAGCAACATAGGTGATTTCAATTAGAAATCAGGCACTGCTCTGCTGAAGGCACATAGATCTGCATGTAAGTTTTTTTTCTTTTCCCTGTTTGGTTTTGTTTTGAGAACGCTGTTCCAGACCACACTCCACACTAGTTGGTGGCGGTAATGCACCATTCGTTGTTTGCCAACCGCCAATAAAAACCCCAAAGAACAAGATCTTCATATTCTTGCTTATTTAAAATATATTTTTTACACATTTTCTAAGTGCTTTTTTATATTGTTACAACTTTTTATATTTTTTGTTTTTGTGAAGCGCCTCGTGATTTTTATCTTGAGAGGCGCTATAGAAATGATATTTTCTTCTTCTTCTTGATGTATTGCGGCTGTGCTGAGCTCTTTGCAGAATTCCTCGCAGAAGCTCACAGGTGTGCCAAACAGGGAAGACCAGGAGTCACTGATCAGAAGGACCAAACACCTGTCCAGCACTGAGTCGAACGGCTGGATGAACTGGGCCGATTGGGGGAAGCTCAAGTCATCGTCACTCTGGCTTCATACATGTTGGTTTGGTGAAGACAATTCAACTTCCCCCTGGATTTTAACTGGTCTCCCTGCCCTGTTTTGTAGGCACAACCTGCACAGACTGAGCTTTTATATGGACTTTTAGCTTTTTCAATTATTTTTAATAAATTATCTATTTTTGAAGCGATCCTATTCTGTGCTTCATTGCCCACATTTATGCTGGTTGGTCAGCTTCACTTCATGTAACATCTTGGGGGCTGATCTGCGGGTGTTACAGGCGGCTGACACCCATATGACGAAAAAAATCTTGGTAGCGTCATCCAATCACGAGGCCTCCTGCTACCAAGAATTAACCAAGAATTAGTAGAGATAGCCAATCACGACACACGCTGCTACCAAGATTTGCCTGAGCTACAGGGTCGTTGGCCAACCACAAAGAGTCCGCCTCCAGCTACAATGGACGAATCACAGTGGTGGAGCACCCGGCCTGTTTACTCAGGTAAACAGTTGTTTATTACAGTATATTATTATTGTGTGGGAGCATTCCCAGAGGAGAGGGACCTCAAACTTTACGTTTCGCCATTTTGTTTTTTTAGAAAATCAGAGCTAGCTTGTGGTAAGTTTCGTACTTGTCCCGTTGGGAAAAGTTTTGAATTACAACTGTATTAGCTATGTTACTACCCGGGAAAACGTACCGTTGTTATTTAATGAATCACTATACTTATACTGAGTTTATAAGCTTTTTATTTGTTTTGTTCATGTATGAGTGAATGAATTCAGTTTTTCAATTATTCATTGTTTGTAGAATATTGAGCATAGTAAAAGTACTTTTTGCTTTTAAATCAAGACAAGACGGAAGTTCTCATCTTTGGACCAGAAATCCAGAAAAGGAAATTGCTTAGCCAATCACCTGACCTGAATGGCATTATATTAATCTCCGAGAACAAAGTAAGGAACCTTGGTGTTATCTTTGACCAGGACACGTCATTCAAATCCCAGGTTAAACAGGTTTGTAGGATTTCCTTTTTCCACCTTCGGAATATTGCTAAGATTAGAAGCATCCTTTCCAGGAGTGATGCTGAAAAACTAGTTCATGCATTTATTACATCAAGACTGGATTACTGTAATTCATTACTCTCAGGAAGTCCACAGAATGTAGTTAAAAGTCTTCAGCTTGTCCAAAATGCTGCAGCTAGAGTTCTGATGAATCAAAATAAGAGATCATATCTCTCCTGTCTTAGCTTCCCTACATTGACTACCTGTTAAATTCAGAATAGATTTTAAGATCCTTCTTCTCACATGTAAAGCTCTTAATAATCAAGCTCCATCATACATCAGTGATCTGATTGTTCCATATGTTCCTAACCGAGCACTTCGTTCTCAGACTGCAGGTCTACTGGTGGTTCCCAGAATATCTAAAATTAGGATAGGAGGCAGATCTTTTAGTTATCAGGCTCCTCTCCTGTGGAACCAGCTCCCAGCCTTAGTCCGTGAGGCAGACACCTTGTCTACTTTTAAGACTAGGCTTAAAACATTTTTATTTGATAGGGCCTATGGTTTAAATCTGATGTTAGCCTAAATCTGGACAAGTGGGGGAGTACAGGGAGGTGGAGTGTACAGTCGATAAAGACGGCTCTCCCTTGCCCTGACTCCAACATGCCTCCATCTAAATAGGATAGATTATCCAGAGTTATTTCTGTAGTTATGCTGCTATAGGCTTAGACTGCTGGAGGATACATTGACCACTTTTCACACTACTGCTTTCTTCTACAGTCTGCTCTTTAACTGTATTATTTTCTGCAATTTCAGCCGTTAACTTTATTTTCTCTCTTAAGTGTTTTTGTCCCCAGAAGAAGCTACAACGATGTTCTGCTGAGCTGTGTTAATTTTGACAGGAAATTTTAATTTTATTTTAGTCTTAGTCTTTTGGCTAAAAATCAATTTTAGTCTTAGTCCAATTTTAGTCATTAGATTTATTTTAGTTTTAGTCCCATTTTAGTTGATGAAAATAACAAGTAATTTTAGTCGATAAAAATAAGCAATTTTAGTCAACAAAATGCATCTGTTTTTTCTAATGAAGTAATTTCCTACTTTTGTATAGAGCACTGAAAAACTAGTGTAATTTAATACACAGGGTCCAAACTCTTAACCACCACTGATCAGATATAGCACACACAGCTAAGAACATAAAATATTTGAATAAAAAAAACACTTCACATGTTTAACACTTACATGTTTAATAAAAAACAAAAAGCACACTGGAAATTACAAAGGTGCTCTTTTTAGCAATTGCACAACAAGAATTTACAAGAACAGCAAATTTAAACATGTTAACCCTGAGTCTGTAGATATTCACTTGTTACAACACTGGCTCAACCAAACAGTGTGAATATTTATTTGCTGCGATTCATTTTGAGAAAAGCACTTCGTGCTAGTGTGACCTTTGCTCGGTTGCGTTTCCCTCTAGTGAGGTCATCTGTGATACTGAACACTCTTTCTGCAAAAGATTGAGAAGCTGGCATTGCCAATATGTCTAATGCTAATGGTTTCAGGCTGTGAAATGTGTCACATTTTCCAAGCCAAATCTCCATTCCCGTTTCCAAGTGATGGACTGTGAGAGCTCTTCCTTATACTGGCTTATCTGATGTCTAACACTACACTTGGAAGACTTTGGTTTAGGCTTTGCTCCGAATTTGGAGAGAAATCTAAAGACTGGTTATCTGGAGGAGGAGGAGGCAGATGATGAAGAGGAGGCGGCGGCGGGTGGTGCCGGTTCAGGTCCATTCAGTTCCTCCAGATCAGAGTGGTTCTCCTGTGTCTGAGAGCACCGAACAACATACCCTTCTGCCTGCTTGAGCAGCTCCTGAATGTTATCATCAGCCACACTGAGGAGGGTCTGACACACAGCAGGATTGAGAAAGCAAGCAGCTGCTACAAGTGGGGAAAACTTGTCATCTGAGCGATCTTTAACACGTGCAAAAAGCGCACCGGGTTAGAAAACGTACCGGTAAAACATCCGTGTGGGCTCGGGACTCGGATCATATTAGTGCAAACCAGACATTGTGAAAATTTATTATGTAAAGTGACATGACATAAGTGACTTTAGAACCGTGTTACTGATTACTTTTGTTCTATAAACCTGTGTCTGAAAGTGTGTGTGTGTGTGTGTGTTTAATAAAAGGTTTTGATATTTATGTTTAGCTGCATCTCCATCAAGGCTGCCTGATTTCCACTCTGATGACACTACTCCAGGGACATCAAGGAGACAGGTAAGTTAGATATGATTTGGCTACCTTTGCCCATTTTTTTTTCTTATAAGTACATGACAAACTTATCATTTAGGACTCCGCTGGCCCCAACAACACCGAAGGTTTCAGAGCTGTGCAGGATTTGGCACTCTTCAATCTGAGAAAGCACAGCCTGCCTCTCACCCTTGAAGAGTCCAATAACATTGTTGCTCTTTGGAAAAGATTGTCAGAGCACGACAGGCAGCGCACCGTTTTTTCTCCACGCCACCAAACAACCCTGAACAAAGGCCGTTTTAGAGCAACAAAAAAAAAAATATATATATATATCGTTGCACCAGGCGTGGAGACGACAAAACGGTATGTTGGTCACAGCCACTGATGCATGTTCTTCTACAGATCTTGCCTGAGTCCATTTTTCTTGCCTTTGTCCTCCTAGGTGCTATTCTGGAGCACGCATTCCTGGACAGTGGCCGGATTGCAACCGGATTGTTGAGGCCATTTTTGTCCAGCTCTGCATGGCTTACCCAAACCCAAAGAGAGTGGAAGGTGTGACATTTTCAAGGTGGACCCTCATCATTCGTGCTTACAAGCACATTAGAGAGTGCATCCTGAACAATTTCACCATCATGGAGGAGACGACCATACAGTTGCCAGAAGTCAACAAAACAACCCTCACACAGTGGTGAGTTAAAACTGTGTCATGATGGATAATGATGGACTCAAATTAGCTGACCCAGAGACAAACAGAATGACGTAAAGAAGTTTTATTCACAAGTGAGATACACAAAAAGTACTCCACAGGAGGATCAGTGGGGTAATGATAATTCCCTTGTAGCGCTCACTCCACTGGAGGTACGGTCTGCTCAGGGGGGTGTGAGAGAGAAGGGTGAAGGTTAGATGGATCCAAAAATTATTTGTAATCTTTAAAGGGGTCAAAGGATGGCTCACAGTGTCCTTGTGTAACCCGGCAGTGGTGGCAGGAATCACCATCGGATTAGAAGAGGGGGTTTCCAGCTGAGATGGGTAGGTAATGCAGTCTTATGCTGCATCAGCGTTCCTCTGGAAGCATGAGTGAACAGAAAGTTAGTTGACTGCAGAGTTCTTACCTGAGAGTTTTCTGAGTGTACCATAATGACTAACCAACTGGCCTCTCAGATCAGTAGATGAGACTCAGCTACAGAGACTGGGACTGGTGTCAGGGACTCCTCTGCTGGAGAGAAAATGAAGATGAGAATCAGTAGAGAGAGAAGCAAGCCAACAACTTCATGACTGCTGGGATATGACAAACTATTTGTTAACCTCAGTGATAAAATCTGAGTGACTTTAAATATAGGACAGAATATTAGTTGGTTTGTATTTCACAAATATCACAGAATCTGTAATATCGATAAGAATATTATTACTTGAAATTTAAATAGGCTGTTCTATTTATTTCATATGCAGGTATTGCACACACACCCGGACACAGGAGAAAGACATTCTTGAACAGGGCATTCTGTCACCAAAGCCAGCCATTTCCGGTGATGGCAGTCAGCACCACAGCATAAAGCCATTCACCCACAAGTTATTGCTGCAGGAGAAAAGGCTCAAGTTCCTTTTTTGAAAATATGTGTTTTCTAATGAATTTAGTTAATTTTAGGAGTTGTTTAGTCGATGCTTTGAATGTTTTAGACAAAGCAGCAAATCCTGGCAGCAATGAAGTAAAATTTATTTCAAACAATTGCTTTATTGTTTGTTTGAAAGTTGTTAATAAAGGCTTTTGAAAAAAGTATCACAGCGACCAGCATCCCGGCATGCATTGCGATCGATGATGCAATGCTCCCTGTCTCAATTCGACAATTATTTGCACACTTGTGCACCACGCACTCGAACCCTACTGCACACTTTCTCCAAGCGCACTTTGCTGAAGACCGCAGGGCGCAGTGTGAGTTTTGAGATTGGGCCCAGGCAGGGCAGATTATGTCTGGATGACACCTATGATTTTATTTTACATTTCCGGGGTCACCCCTCAAAAGTTCATAACGTTTTTCATTCTAGTGAATTTGCGAGTTCCACATTAGCCCAATCCCAATATTGCACTTCCATCCCATTATTGCACTTCCATCCCAATATTGCACTTCCATCTTTGCGCCCTTCAATTGTGTGTTCCAGTCTAGTGCCTAGGGTGTCCCTGATCCTGTGCGGAAGTTGACCACGTCCCTTTTGCGCCCTTGATCCACACTTGACAGTATTACCCATAATCCATTGCCACTATTATTATTTAAAATAATAGCCCAAATTGCTTAGATGTGTAAAATAAAATCTAAAAGTCTAAATAAAGTGATATTAAGGCAGATTTGTTGTGGTGATCCAAGACGTTCTGTTACAGACATAGCTCGGACCATCCGCTCTTCTCATTCTCACAGACTCTGTCACATTTGTGCAATACCTGCATTTTCTTGAACAGCGGATTTTTCCCCTTCTCCACTCCTCCGTTGTGTTTTCTCTTCATCTAGATTGGGATAATAATGGTGCATGCCAGTGCACCGAGCAACAGGGAGCAGGTGTCACATAATATAACCATCCCCGTGTCACTGAAGGAAATTCAGATGAGCTACAGAGCTGTGTGTGTTACCAGGACGGCAGTGCAAACTCCTGCTGAGTTTATTTGCCAAATGCAGGAAGGGCCAAAGTGCGTGACGGCTGCAGAACCGGAGACTGCAGGTTGATGCCTGCACCATCTCTAGCAGAAGCGTGAATCTGCAGCAGCAGCAGGCGTAAATTAGTGGTTTCCAGCTCTTCAGCCGTACCTTTCTCGTTGGCAGGGCCGTGCAGTCAGACACCTTTGAAAGGGCAGGTGCTCCAAGTGGGCTGCATGGTGGCGCAGTTGTTAGCACCGTTGCCTCGCAGCACGAAGGTTGCAGGTTTGAAACTCGGCTGCGGCCTTTCTGCGTGGAGTTGCGTGTTCTCCCCATGCATGTGTGGGTTTCCTCCAGGTACTCCGGTTTCCCCCACAGATCACAACATGCCCTATAGGTTATAAATTGTAAGTCGCTTTGGATAAAAGTATCTGCCAAATAAATAAACATAAAAATCAACATAAGTAAAAAAAGGGGCACTTAGTTAGAGCAAAACTAAACAGATTCACGATCCAACAACTTAGAAAATTCAGATAGTGAGACCCTTGGGTTCAAACAACATGATAAATTAGGAAAAGTATATAATTTAGTGTCATTAACTGAAGTTAATGTTAGTTCATAAATAATTTGTTTTAGTTTTTAAAGTTGAATATCTAGAGATGTTAAAACCACATTTTTGCCCCTGATCTGAGTCCAAGTTGTTTGATTTTTAAATATTTTCCAATACTGCACGAGTCCTGTTCTGATACCAGGTGATGCAATGCATTAAAAAAGAAAGAAGTTGTCTGTATTTGTCATTTTGTTATTTTAGCTTTACAAGGTCAATCATTTAGGAAGTACATTTAACAGTTCTCAAGATTCAAGATCATTTATTGTCATTGCACAGGTGTACAACAAAATTGACTTTGCGTTTACTAAAGACAGCTCTAGTAAGAGGTAGTAAAATAAATGCAACCACAGAAAGTTATCCAGTGTGATTTACAGCTATGTTAGCTGAGATCTTTTTCCTGTCAGTAGAAAACTCTCGATCCCATTCCATGATCTCACTGAACTAACAACCAACCTAACAACAACATCCTTTGCACAAAGGCACCGTCATACCATACATGTCTCAGAGAAACTTAGAAGGATCTTCCCCAAACACAACATTCTGGTAAACCCAACAACACCCTCAGACAGAAACTGGTCCATCCAAAAGATAAATGCCCCAAACAGAAGCTCAGTGGCGTCGTTTCTGCAGTCCAATCGAGTGAGGACTGTCCAGGGGCCTCATTTATCAAGCTTGCTTACGCACAAAACGAGGTCGGAAAACTGCGTAAGCAACTTTCCAAGCAAACTTTGGGATTTATAAAAGAAAATGTAGTGGAAAAATGTGCGCAACTTTAAAGGTTGGTTTATGCTTGACGCGTCCGCATGGCTCCGTGCGGAAAAGTTGCGTCATTTTAACAACCACGCCCCTCCACCGCACCTCCGCACAGCCCAGAATTTCCACAACGCGCACCTCGGAAAATTTCTAACCACGCGGACGGACGGACGCGGAAAAACATGGCAGACCGGCAAGAACTAGTATGGCAGAGGTTCGTAAATACAGACATTTGTATGATTCAGCTCTCAGAGATCACCGTGATCAACATGTTGTTAATAATTCTTGGAGAGAAATAGCTCGCACTGTCAGAAAAGACGAGAACGCTGTTAAAAATGCTGAAATGCCATGTTGTAAACAGTAATTTCTACTTCTACTACGGTGTAGTGTTGGATGTTTGTCGTAGAGCTCCATGCTGCCCCGTTCAGTTTGGGAGAATATTGGCTCACCGCAGAGACGAGCCGCACGAACCATGAAAGCTGCGAGTTGTGAAGCGGGTTCCATCCGCGAGCCGCATCACCGCGCGGAAAGTGAATGCGTCAAGCATAAACCGAGCTTTAGTTGATCAAGGACCTGGCTTACACACGTTTTGGACATGGAGAGCACCTGCAGTGCTGCTGCTGAGAAGGATAAAATTATGAATTCCAGCAGCATTATCACTTGTACTGCTTCGTTTTAACCCCCCCCCCCCCCCCCCCCCCCACACACACACACACCACCTGAAGCGCAGAAAACTGAATGAGACAGAATGAGTCTGTGACAGTGTGAGCGTCCTGTAACTGTGGCCCGCTTGATCATGCGACCGGGCCCAGGAGGAATACATATATGGAAAAGCTAATAAATCTCAAATCCATGGCACAAAACAAGTGGAATTAGAAAATAGCGTTTTTAGCCCCAGTGACTTGCATTAATTTTTTTCGTTCTTTCGTTCCATGATGCAGAAGTGACTGAAGGTTGGTTTATGCTTGACGCGTCCGCGAGGTCCGCACGGCTCCGCGCGGAAAAGTTGCGTAATTTTGCGTCATTTTAACAACCACGCCCCTCCACCGCGTCTCCGCAGGGCCCAAAATTTCCGCAACGCGCACCTAGGAAATTTTCTAACCACGCGGACGGTCGGACGCGGAAAAACATGGCGGACCAGCAAGAACTAATATGGCAGAGGTTCGTAAATACAGACATTTGTATGATTCAGCTCTCAAAGATCACCGTGATCAACATGTTGTTAATAATTCTTGGAGAGAAATAGCTCGCACTGTCGGAAAAGACGAGGACGCTGTTAAAAATGCTGAAATGCCATGTTGTAAACAACAGTAATTTCTACTTCTACTATGGTGTAGTGTTGGATGCATGCCGTAGAGCTCCATGCTGCCCCGTTCAGTTTGGGAGAATATTGGCTCACCGCAGAGACGAGCCACATGAACCATAAACGCTGCGAGTTGTGAAGCGCGTTCCAGCCGCGAGCCGCATCACCGCGCGGAAAGTGAATGTGTCAAGCATAAACCAAGCTTTAGGCTCCCTATAGGCTTCAGCTTGAGGCGGCTGCCTCCGCATGGCCCTAGCACCTGACCTGTATCAAAGTACGACAGTTTAGGACAGTAAAATCCAACGAAAGACCGGAAAAAGGGCACTTTGGACAAAAGGGGCAGGTGCTCAAGCACCCTCCAACCAGCAGCACTGCCTCTCACTCTGCCACTAAGCTACAGATAGCAAACGATGCGGGCTATGCCTGAGCGTGAACGTGCATGACGTCATCACGCTGCAAGAAGCAGGCCTATTCGACCCAAACACACTTTTTTCTGTGATTTTACAGGAATACAGAGGCAATCACAGGAAAAAGGCCAGGGATCATTCTGCAGGACCAGGGCATTGAATGTATGAGGAAGACATTTTAAATTTCTGTACATGCATTGGTTGTTAAATCTACTTATAGTCCCTGTAAGGAGACAAAAAGACCAACTCACAGCAAGGACATACATTTCACTTTTGCTTTATCTAACAAACACTAGGGGGTGCTAAAAGCAAGCCAGAACTGCATCGTATCCCTTTAATTGTACCCACAGAGCTAAATCCTTGCAACAGTTTGTCTAGATATGTACTCTGTTTAATTAGACATAATTAGACATGTCTGTAAATAACATTTCTTGAAAACGTAAAGCTTTGTTGACATCTATTTATTAAATATTCACAAGTACAGGAAACAGAGGCTCATTAAATACTTCAAATAATCATATTAGTGGTAATATGATAATAGTAAGCATAAAGTTATGACATTCAAGGTAACCATATAGTGTGGAAATATTTCTGATATTGAAAGATGTTTCTGGTTTTGCTGGGAATAAACATTTCACCTCAGATCAAACAAGACAAGAAACGTTCTCTCATTCTCACACACGCGCGCGCGCACGCACACGCACACGCACACGCACACACACACACACACACACACACACACACACACACACACACACACACACACACACACACACACACACACACACACCTAAAGAGTGAACACCCAGTGTCGCCCAGCGACTGGGTCGATGATTCTGAGAAGTTTTGTCAGGTTTTAGTTGAACGGAGCTGAAATGTACCTGGCTGGTTTAAAAATCACAAATGTTACAATCAACCTTAGAAATGTCCCTCTTGTCAGAGACACATTCAGGTCATTTCTTGTCAAAATAATAAGATACAGACATAGATATTGTTTTTTTAGGAACAAACAAACAGTTTCATGAATGAAAAGTTGTGCTAAATTACACATTGTATGTCCTGAAATCTGAGGTGGTAGAATGATCATGGCTTGCATGAGCAAGAGTAACAGGCTGTTTTATAGTGTTATAGTGCTAGAAAGATCTTTTATTTTGAAAAACAGGTGCTTAACTGTTGAAAAGCTCAAATTTGGCCTTGCAGCATCCAGTCAGTACACATGCATGTACAGCACATACCTGGAAGTAATGATGCTGACCATGAGGAGCAGCAATGTAGTATCGTGGTGTGATTTACAATCACCAGAGAAAACAGTGGAAAAGGAAATCCTGACTGATTTTGTTTCAGAAACAAATCCATGGTAGAGTTGATCAATGCTAAAATCTGCCCTTTTTATGATAGAAAAAGTGTAGCAGCAGGTGGAGTTAGGCATCACAGATGTTACAGTTGACTCTGCTGAAGCAATAGATATACTTTTCTGTAGCAAAGTTTCACAATAGTTTAGGTGAATGGGAAAAGGCACACCCATGAAGCTCAAAATCAGGATAGCACCCTATGATCATGATGGAGATATAAAATTATACCGCTCAAGGCTACAGAAACAGCTCAGAAGACTCAAACTCACCATAAAACATTTCAATTACTGTTTGTATTTCTCGTTTCCCACCTAAACAATATTTGATGCAGAAATTTCCACCTTCTCACGTTGAATTTCCTTCAGTTGGTACACAACCTTAAATCTGAGCTAACTTTAATTATGTCCCAACCTTTATTTAGAGAAATTGTAGAGCTCAGTAGTATCCTGGTCATGTTATGATTGAGATTTGCTGCTGACGTTTATTTAGCAACAGATCGGATCTTCAGTTCTTATTTCACACGATTGTATGAATGAAATCATGAACATGAACACGATGTTATACTTTTGCTCGTTGCGCCACCAAACACTTCAGTTTTAGAGTGCACACAGAAATGCTATTTTCAGTAATGACTTGTAAAACTGAGGTATTTTCACATCGTTGACAGTTGGTGGAAAAAAACAGAAACACTTGGCCTTTGGGCTTTAACACGGTACGAATAGAAAGCTAAGCTGTAGACTTTTAAGTACTGCTAAAATATGTATTTATTTTATGACTTAATGGCAACAAATTTCACATATTTAGATGTCAAAACTTTCACTGGGAGTGTACAGACGATGGCGTGGTCGGCAATGGTCAGCATATAACTGTGTATTTGGTTCCAAATAGCAAATCCTGGCCTAACAGAACAATTATTTTCTATTTCTTATGCTTTGTTTCATGTGTGAGAATCGGTTGGCCACTTTTGAGCCGAGTGGTTCATAGTTTGTTGTTCTAGTTGTGTCGTATTAATTGTCTAAGCTCTATGTCATGAAGCTAAAAACATTCCAGTGTCTCGCCTCCTGTTTCTTTAGTAGAAAAGTGAACAAAATAGCCTCTTTATCTCCAAAAAATCTCTAAGCTGAAATTTTAAAGCAAAAAAAAATTCTTTCTTTCTGTTACTATAGGGAACAAGGATTAATTCTCACAAAAAACTCTTACCATCAATAACTTATTTAATAAACACCTTTCGTAATAGATTATTCCAGTAACAATAATACAAAACTACCAGTATTCAGTCACAGTAAAAAAAAAAAAACCAAAACTATGCAGAGCTGCTTTAGCACCTTAATAAAACATCTTCACAGTCATAAAACCAGTTTATCTCACTTCTATATGATACAAACATATACAACCAAAATCCATCACCTCCAGTTTTACAAACTGCACTGCAGAGAAAGGTTAAATAAAGACTTTACTCCAATGCTGTAATAATAACAATAAAAAACTGAAGTTTCACTTGAGCACAGCCACTAAAATAATAAAGCTGTCATTTACGGACAAATGAAACGGCTGAAAGTTGGACTACCGCTCTGATCCTGGGTTCTTCCAGCCTCAGCTCACCCTCACACACAAAAATACTTTCTTTCTTACATTTTGGCTTTAAATGATTCACTCAGAGCAAAAGGATAAAACGTACTGAACTATGTGAGAAGAGTGAGACAGAATCATCCACAATGACAGAAAACTCCCTTTCAGAAAGAGTTTGACATTCTGGGAAACATTCTGATAAATGGACTCTCAGAAGTTTTCCGTTTCTAGCCCTGGAAACTATTATTACCTTTAGCTTTACTATTAATAATGAAGCTGTGTCATTCCTCTCATCATCTCAACCCAAATGCAGATTAGCACATGTCTCTCAGTGCCAAAATATGATTTATAGCATTTAAAATCCATCTGTTTTACATGAAGATTAAATTTAAACTACCTCTGACCTTTTTAAGTGCTGTCAAAACTCAAGTTATGGGTGGCGAAGCACCGCATGTGTGGAAATTGTCCTGCACAAGTTTGTACACGTAAAAGATATGGCTCAGGATGGTTGGCATCTCGCTGATGAGGAGAACGAAGGAGAGATCGGAGTTTTGACAGGTGGGAAGGGGAAGTGGGAAATCCAGAGGAGGGTTGTCCTTGCTGAGGTGAGTCTTCAGCATACGGAGCTAGTCGGATCTGCCTCCCCGGGGGTGTAAAAGTCAGGGATGGGTAGACCAGTGTGCAGTGTGAGCTGAATAATAAAAAAAAAAAAAACACTTTTACAATATTAACAAAAATGTAAAAAAAAAAAGGATGGTCAGGATGTTTACTGTATTGTTTTGCCAGTAGATGGGAGTGTTGATCTGTTATCTAAAGCTTTGATTGGGAATCTGGCAACAGTAACCCCCATTTAAAAATAAATACAACAATTCCCAGATAGCTGAAATGAAAATGAGGCTCTACAGTTTCATTCCTCACCTGTACGTTCCGGTTGAGGCTGATGGCGGGGTAATAGGTGCCCTCCAGGCCTTCGAAGGCAACTGGACCCTGCTGCTCATCGTTGATGAGGAAGATGAGGAGCCCGCGTGTGAAGTCCAGCAGAACCCCTATTGTGGATCCTTTAGTGATGCCACCATCCGTCCTGCAGTCACACAGATGAAAGTTTTATATTTGTACTGTTTATTATTATTCAAGCTAACAATTACACGTTTCTCGACATTTCAACAGGAAAGTAAGTGTTTCACTGAACCACATTTATTTAACACACATATGGGATCCATTTTTGGTAAATGTGAGACAGGCCCTCATGTTCTTTCTGGAATGGGAACTCTCCCATCAGGACCTCTGATCTTTGCCTGAACCAAGTTAACCCTACCAGGCTCAAAATAAGTTTTGATGACAGGACGAACAACTAAGTCCTTCAGGGGTACTTCTGATTTAATAAATGCTAATGAAATACGTACGTGTAACCAGGTAGGTAGGTTTTACCGCTGCAAATCTGCAACGCCTGCCTCCAGAGGGTTAACTCTGCAGTTCTTTAATTGTTGTTCCGCGTTCTTTTATTAACGGGATATGATGCATTGCTTTTTGAGATCTTTTGGCCTTCGTGTTGACAGACGGAATGTAATAAAGACCAAATTTACTGGTTTTACAACAGATAGGCAGTGATATACGACACACACACACACACACACACACACACACACACACACACACACACACACACACACACACACACACACACACACACACACACACACACACACACACACACACACACACACACACACACACACACACACACACACACACACACACACACACACACGCAATAATCATCAATAAAATCCTATTCAACACATAGTGAATCGTCCTCAGATCTTCGTACCTGTTGGTGTGTGAGTTGTTGTGCATGAACCAGGAGCGGTTGTTGTCCACGTACATGGCCCAGGCCTTGTCGTCCTTCCCCAGCATCACGTCCTTTAAGACGTCTCCCCGGGCGATGCCAAAAGCTGGGTCGGGATGGTTGTCATAGCGATCGATTGTCATTTCCCAGTAATGAACGCCACGGGAGAAAGCGGAGCTGCCCATCACCACCCGGTCATCGTAGCTGTTGCACGAGATGGTCAGGTTGTCGTTGGAGAAGACGATGTCTGGGTGAGCCGAGGCCGGGTCAAAGGTGAACCATGCAACTGCACAGCAGACAGTAAGAGTACCTTAGGACTGGAATTATGACTGCAGGAGGGAACGTGATGACTGACATGACATGATTCTGGGTGACAGGCTAAAATTATTTGAATGGAGAAAAAAAAATGACAAAGATGAGAGGAAGATTCAGCATCACTAATAGGATCTCACAGAGTTAATTATCCTCATCATCAAGCTATACGACTTATATTAAACTAACTTATGATTATTATACTTAATCATTTTTAAAAAAGGAAAACTGAGTCAGACAGTCTGCAAATATCTGGCTTCTGCTTAAATTAAACCAATTTAACAAAGCAAACCTTCTCTTAAAGACATTTGACCGCCTTCATCCTGGACATCCTGTTTCAAATGTTGCCATGACGACATCATCAACTTTTCAGCTGAGACCTGTGGGTCTGAACTAAAAATAAGCTTCTTTTGTTTGTTTATTTGTTAAAGAAATTACATTAGTATTGTTTTTATTCTTTTATTCATAAAAATGTCCCATTTATACTCTCGGAGGGGGTGGGATTTAAAACAAACACTGCAGCCAGCCACTAGAGGGTGCTTGTTTGCTTGGAGCTGAGTTTCTAAGTTTTCTCAAATAGAAGTTTGGTCAAATTTTCTTTTTTTTTTGTATCGTTTATCAAAACTATCTGTGCAGTTTCTTATAAGTATGTGTAGTTTTATTTTTATAATTTTTTTTTCTCCCTGGGCTGCCACCTTACTGTGGTGGAGGGGTTTGAGTGTCTCAGTGATCCTAGGAGCTAAGTTGTCTGAAGCTTTCTGCGTCTGGTAGGGTCACCCATGGCAAACAGGTCCTAGGTGAAGGATCAGACAGAGAGCAGCCCGAAGACCTCTTATGATGAATTATATAAATGGAAACCGTGTTCACTCGCCCGGTGCCCCTCTCTGGAGCCAGGCCTGGAGGTGGGGCACGTTGGCGAGCGCCTGGTGGCGGGGCTTTCACCCATGGAGCCCGGCTGGGCACAGCCTGAAGAGGAAACATGGGTCCCCCTTCCCATGGGCTCACCAGTCGTGGGAGGGGCCAAAGGGGTCGGGTGCAGTGTATGAATTTTCTCCGAAGAGTGGCTGGGCTCTCCCTTAGAGAAAGGGTGAGAAGGAAGGTCATTCGGGAGGGGCTCGGAGTAGACCTGCTGCTCCTCCACATGGAGAGGAGCCAGTTGAGGTGGCTCGGGCATCTGGTCAGGATGCCTCCTGGACACCTCCCTGGTGAGGTTTTCCGGGCACGTCCAACCAGGAGGAGACCTAAAGGTAGACCCAGGACACGGTGGAGGGACTATGTCTCTCACCTGGCCAGGGAACGCCTTGGGATTCCCCCGGAGGAGCTGGCCCAAGTGGCTGGCGAGAGGGAAGTCTGGGCCTCTCACCTTAGGCTACTGCCCCTGCGACCCGACTCTGGTTAAGCGGATTAAAATGGAAATGGATTTTTTTTTCTTAGAACTGTTTCATCCTTCAAAGCAGATGCTAAATTTGCTAAATGGTTTGACTCAGTTTCAGAAAAACAGTGTTTCTTATAACATCTATAGCTTATCTTATCACATTTCTATTGTCCTTACACATAAATATGGTTGTTAAGCAGGTGGGCCTTTGGTGTTTTTATGGGCTCCACTGGCTTTTACTACAGACCTGATGTGACGTATAGTTTTATTACCTGGAATGATTTCCCCGCAGAAATAAAACAAAGACCGTTATTAGAAGCCTGTCATAAATGTGTAATAGGTGGAGCCCACAGCGCAGCAAACGGCCCCTCTGCTGGTTAGAGAGTGACGACCTCACTGATGAAACGGGCAATGGCCTGGAAGGGATTAGTGTGGTCAGTGCCATCCATACCTGTGCTTATAGACTGAATATCACATGGAGGGACTCCAGCTGGAATGAGGAATCAAGAGGGAGAAGAAGGAGTAAAAAATTTTAAAATAGGTCGGGGAAAGGAGTGAAGCGATGCAGTGATGCAGAGGGATCAGGAGGGAAGGAAGAGAGCAGATTTAGTTTGGGAAGCTGGTTCAGCCTCAGCGGCATAAAGACCAGAGGCTGTCCCCAAAAACAAAACCTGAAAACAACACTAGAAGAACTTAAGTTACAGAAACCTGAATTTTTCCTTCTTTGTGCAAATAAAACTTAACACCATCAAAGCTCAGTCAGCCCTGTGTGAAAGCTGCAAAAGACGTCTAAGAGGTTAGATCAGGTAGTGCTTTCTCCATCAGATATGGGTCTGGGCTGGCTTTCGTGTCATGTGATGATGAGGAGCTTCCCTACCTATGCAGAGCAGCTTTCCACTAATGGGAGGGTTGCAGCAGGGGTGGATTAATCATGAACCAGCTGGACGGCACTGGCTTAAAAGGCTTAAACAAGTCAAAATCCACAGCTGCTGTTAGATACTAACAATGATTAAATAGAAGAATGATTCAGCATATCTGAAATCACATTGGTTGAAGAAAGTTTCAGCTTTGAAGACAATATTTTAGTCTGGCAGCAACTTTTTATTATTATCTGCATCTTCTGGAAACATTAGTTTGCAGACGAAAGAGAAAGAGTCGAGACTCAGGGGGAAATATCTTAAGATGAACATCAGGAGCTGCGTATTTCTTCTGAGGACTGTTAACCCTCTCAGGCTCGAAATAAGTTTGATGAAAGGACGAACAACTAAGTCCTTCAGGGGTACTTCTGAGTTAGAAATGCTCATGAAATACGTATGTGGAGTAACCAGGTAGGTAGGTTTTAACTGTTGCAAATCTGCAACGCCTGCCTCCAGAGGGTTAAATGCAAAAGTGAGCAAATTTTGGCGGTAAAATAAAAAATGTTAAATCTTTATTTATTCAAGAGAAGTTTTAGGCATGACTCAAAGTTTGGTCACCAGCCTAAGTCATTGATTATGTAACTCTACTTTAAAATGTTGCTGTTAGTCTAAAGACACAAAGCTTGATTGCTCACCAACTAATTCATGAGGGTGGTCTCAGATGTTAGCTGGTAAAGAAACGCTAACAGTATTTGAGTCTCGCCTCTTTCTGGTTTCAAACTTAGCAGGATTGAGCAAATTCAGATACAGACTATCTTGAATCAGATGAATAAATCAACTAAAAATACTTTAAACTGATTAGCTGAGATCAATTGCAGTTTCACATTATTGCTTGACTGCAACCGTCTAAAAAGAAGAGATTTGGTCAGTTTCTGTTTTGAAATCCATTGCAAATTAGATCCATTTCAATTGAGTTTTAAATAAACTGCAGTTGAATCCGCATGAAGTTGAAAACACATAAATCTTAAGTATTTAATCACTTGACCGCTTTAGTTTAAATAGTCACTACGTGTTTTTCCATAAGGACCTGCAAGGAGGAGACGAAGCTCAACGTACCCTCAGAAGTCTGCATGATCAGCGTCTTGCTGTACTGGCCCACTCCACTAGCGTTGAAGGCCTTCACTCTGGACTTGTACGTGCTGTTGAAGTGGAGCCCGTCCACCGTGCAGATGGTCTCCGGCCCCACATACACCTCCTGTAGAGACATGCGGTGCTTCCTGTTAATTTACCAGATACGTCTGGAGCACAATTATAAGGCCATGGAGTCCCTCTCGGCTCTGGTGTGTCCCATAGGGATTTAGGGGCGGCAGCAAGAGTTGGTAGAGTGAACATAATGTGGGCTGCTTCTGCCCACGATGCTAAATAAATAGACACACAAGTAGCTGATATGACGTGTTTTGGTCAGACTCAATGAGTCAGAATAGAAGAGGATGAAACAACTTCTAAAATGATTTGGCAAACAAGTTTTCTGGCAGACGTTTCACTTGACATATTTGTAGTCATCTGTATTGAGATTATTTTATGGATTTTTGCTATTAAACCCTTGGATTATTCTTACCTGCCTGCTCCTGCTTCCCATTTGACTCCATTCTTGGGTCCCATTTAAAACTTTCCATAATATCAAAGCTGTTCTGTAATTTTTAATATTTAATTTAAAATACCCACCTCTTAAAGAATGATGAATATGAAGGCAGAGTGGTTAAACACAGGAGGAACCAGCAGGTTTTATCTAACAGGCATAGGTAAGAAGACAAACAAAAGATGGTGGTCCTTAAACACCACACGGGTGGTATCAGGTGTGTCCATTTTCAGCTACAACATAAAACACAACAAACCTGGCCTGATCTGGCATTGTTGCATACGGAAGCCCATTCCCACCACTCAGATAAAAAAAAATATTATCTCATAATTATGACTTAACTATCTCATAATTATGACTTAGTATCTCATAATTATGACTTAGCATCTCATAATTATGACTTAGCATCTCATAATTATGACTTAGCATCTCATAATTATGACTTAGCATCTCATAATTATGACTTAGCATCTCATAATTATGACTTAGCATCTCGTAATTATGATTTAGCTATCTCAATATTATGAGATAGCTAAGTCATAATTATGAGATAATTTGTTTTTTATGTGAGTGGCGGGAATGGGCTTCCACAGTGCAACTGGGGTTGTAAGCCTTAATATTATTAGTCCAACAGCGTGGATTATTTTACTTCATAGCCAGCTTCAGATAGCTTGTGTTAGCATTAGCTCGTTGTCAGTAGGGTTGCGGCAGGTTTGTTTACAACTGTTGTTATTTCACTTTCAACCAGTAGGAGGGAGAAGCAGGAAGCACATTTAGCAGAGGTGTGACCAAGTCACTGCTTTGCAAGTTACAAGTAAGTCACAAGTCTTTCCAGCCAAGTCTCGAGTCAAGTCCAAGTCAATGATCTGTAAGTTCAAGTCAAGTCCAAGTCTTTAACTTTGAATTTTTAAGTCACAATCAAGTCATCTGTCCAACTTCAATTTAATGACAATGATAATAAATAAACTCCAGAAATAAAGCAACAAACAGAAAGTGCAACTGAAGTTGATCATAAAGTGCTGCTGCATTTAGCCGTACAACATCAAACTCAGAACGAAGAATGATTTATGATTTTTGTCCATGTCGTGCTACTTTTGTGCTAAAATATCAAATATGCTCAAGTCATCATCAAGTCAACAGATGCAAGCCAATTCAAGTCGCAAGTCATTGGTGTTCAAGTCTGTGCCTGTCTGTCTGTCTGCACATCACGTACTTCTGCTGCAGCTTCTGAGATTATCACCATCACCGCCATTTCAACACATATTTTCTCGATTCAACAGACAACACAGCTACATTTTCTGAAGGGGGGGGGGGGGGGGGTTTAGTTTATGAAGCTGGAAAATGTTGCTGCAGATCATGACCACTTTACTGTAAAACCAAACAATTGCTTTCCCTTTGCATGCTGGGAAGTCTCAGCCTCTGGGGTTTGTAGGATTTTGAGATTAAAATGTATCCCTCACCAAAATGAGAACAAAAGTCAGAAGAAAAGGACTCATTTATTTACCGCTCTCTGTGCACTAATAAAAGAAGATTTTAAATGCTTGGCTGGGGGCTACATCTCAAATGTGACCAGACATGGATATCCTCGACTGTTGTACTGAAAGAATCACTCAGGAGGTGCAAGTCGCCTTCGTAACAAAGCAGAGCCTTCACCATCTAACAAACTGTGTGTGTGTGTGTGTGTGTGTGTGTGGGGGGGGGGTGTAATACAAGGAGGGATTACACTGTGAACCTCTGCATGGAGATGGAGACGGCTTTGATCCTGGATCAGGATTCTTGAATCGTTCCAGCGGACAGCTGCATTACAAGCCTGTTCTCCCGATGGCATGTCATTCAATGCGACGCTGAGTCACATGACCCTTCGGCACAAAAGGGCGGGTCCCTCACACTTGACTCACAGGACACAAGACTTTGCTTTCACATTCCCAGGAACTGTGGCCTTCTTGGCACCAAATGAACCAATCTTTGTTGCTGAACATGGAAGGCACATCCTATATAGCTGACTTATTTCCCAACTGGGCTGCCATCTCATAAAAAGTACCCGCAGATGGAATCTTACCCTGAACGGCCCCCCGTTTCCATCGTCCAGCTCCAGAATGTATCCCTCAACGACGATGGTGGAGAGAGGCGGCTGTTTCCATGACAACGTGGCGCTGTTGTTCTGTGTGCAGCATTCCTCTAGCTGTAGCATGGGAGCAGCTGGGACTAAGGAGGCGAAAAAGCAGGTCAGATTACATCCCACTGAGACAGACACACACACACACACACACACACACACACACACACACACACACACACACACACACACACACACACACACACACACACACACACACACACACTCATCTTACCTTTCATCTGTACGAAGTCCAGCTGGTGGATGGTTTGCAGGAGGGGTCCGCTGTCCAGGGTGAGGTCAAAGTCACTGGTCATCCTCGGGGTGAGGGTTCCCTTCCCCCACTGACCCTCCGTCATGTGTACCCTCCGGATCAAAGCGTCAGAGATCTGAGGCAAGCAGGGGACAAATGAGTCTACAAATTCACGGCCAACACAACAAGGACAGGACACTTACAAATAAAGCAATGTAGAGTGATCAAGGTTTGAGCAAAGTGCAACATATTTGTGTTTAAGATGGTCTTAGTTTAAAAGGCTGACATGAAAGCTGCCTGGTGAACTTCAAAGTAAATAATCACCAACCTTCAGAAACATCAAAGGGAATATGACAAACTCAAACATCAAAATTATATTTTTTCCTCATGAATATTTTATTTTTATGAAAGAATGTTGCACCTTGTTAAAAAGACCTGAGAAAATGTGTCTGCAGATGTGACATAGGAGTCAAGTACATAAATGACATCCCCTCAGTCGCAAAATCACACCTTTATAGCTTCTAAACTTTCAAAAATATTGATTTACCTGTTGAAATATTTCATAGAAAAGGTCAAAAATGTAAGTTAAAGTGTAATTTTACCGCCCGTTTCATCAGATACACACCCCTACCTGGTGGTAGGGCTGTGCAATTATAGGTGAAACTCAAAATCTTAGAATATGGTGCAAAAGTTCTTTTAATTTCAGAAATTCAACCTAAAAGGTGAAATTAATATATGAGATAAACTCATAACATGCAAAGCCAGATATTTCAAGCTTTTATGTGGCTATAATTGTGATGATTATGGCTTACAACGTAACCCCAAATTCGAAATCTCAGACAATTAGAATATTGTGAAAAGGTTCATTATTCTAGAGTCATTGTCACTCTCTAATCAGCTGATTAACATCTACAAATGTTCCTGAGCCTTTAGATGGTCTCTCAGTCTAAGCTGAATTTCTGAAATAAATTGATGTTTACACTATATTTAAATTTAGAGTAAATCTATATTTCAGTTTTTAACTTTGGCTATAAATTATTACAAAGGGAATAAAATCAAGAATAAAGTAACCCTGAATCTATCATAATCATATTCTGCTTTGCAAGCACACAACACTTCTGATGGCAAAACTCATGCATCCTGTGGAGAAAATGGTAGAATGAGACCAAAACACACCACTAGTGTGAATAAAACATTAATGCCTCCATTATTTCAGGTATGACCCCCCCCCACCCCCCCCCCACCACCACCACTCTATGCATCCAGTGACAAGTCTCCATTTTGCTCTATATCCAAGCATCATCTCTTGGAAAAACAGTTTAGCACAGTTACTCCCTGTTTGGACATTTAGGCTCCCGTAGTGGCTTTTGTCTGCTTTTAGAGCAGCGTTCACGTGACTGATCACTCAAGTAGAAGACTAACCTCTTCTAGATCATTTGACAATTTCCATCAAACTACATGTGGCCATAAAGCATCTAGTTGGAGAATCAGAATTAGTTCCTTCACAGGAAACATGCCTTATCCAGTGTCATACATGTCTATTGCCTTCAGGTGGTAAGGGCCAATTTTATTTATTTTTATTGGTATATTGAAAATAAAACACTATTCTATAGTTGTTATATTAGCATTACAAAATAAACATTTCAGCTTTAAAAACTTTTTTCGTTGTTAGTACATCTTTCGGGCCTTAAAGTCGGCGTTTTAAAACAACGTATTTTATTTGTCCCAAACATAGTTAAACTTTTGCACTGATTCTAGTGTGAAATTTTACTTTGACTTTATAAGCAATACCTTTATAAGTTTTAGTCATCACTAAGGCGCTCTACTCTGCCACCCGCTGACACAAATTGGCACTGGCAGTCTTCTTAAAATACGAACTCTGAATATTGTTCTATATAACTTTAATCTTGACTTGAATATTAAATTAACAACGATAGGTTTTTTTCCTCTATGATCAAACAGCTCTGTACCTCACCACAGTCAGATGTTCTTTTGGGGTCAAAATATGAAAGAAATAAGTTCTAAATCAATATTTCTGTTCAACTATCTTCTTTAGATGTTTAACACGATCTTGTAAATGTGCGGAGGAGTTATCAGCATGAACTCAGGGACTTTTGTACCTGCAGGAAACCGCTGGGGTCGTTCTCCTTGATGACCTCCAGGCAGTACTCCATCAGTCCCGTGGCCTGTCGCAGCTTCACCGTGCAGTGAGAGATCTGATCCCGAACCACCTGGAGGACATCAGTAAAGGGAGGAGTCACAATGGAGGAGAATATTTAGGAGGATCGGTTATTAATCACAGCAAAAGGAACGTGACAAGAAGAGATCAGAAAGCATGAAGGAGACAGAAAAACACAGATTTGACTAAAATGTTAATGAGGTTAAACCAACCAGGAGGAAAACTGTAGCAACGAGAATCAGGATTATCGGTTCATTTCCCTCCTGTGACAGAATGGAGGAGGCAGAAGGGACATTGTTGGCTGTTATTGACGTTAGCGGCTGGAGAGTGACCTTTTAGTTTTACACGCTAACCGAGAGAATCGTCATCATGAGTTACATCATGGACCAATGTGAATAGAAGCTGCGAACAAATGAAGCAAACATTTCTAAAATAATGAGACAGCTCATTTGGCATCAGGAAAATAATTTTTTTTTGCTATAATCTTGAATCCAGCTTGGAACCATATTGTGTCAACAAGAGTAAAACGTTCTTATTTTACTGGAAGACCGTTGACTGGTCTGGTTGTTTCTTGATGGTTTTTGAGGTGGGAGATTCCCTGTTTCTCACGGATGTCCACAACCTCTCTGCAACAGTGTGAAATAAATGGAAATGCTGGACTTGAGGTTGCTAGGAAACAGAAACTTCAGTGCTGCCTTCTGAGAGGCTCTGAGGCTAAACAGAAAGGAAAATCCTTTACAAGCAGCAGCACGGAGACCGACAGCGTGCACGAAGATGATTTGCTGATAACTGCAAACCTCCAGCAGGTTCTGCAGCACAGATCCACAGAAAACATGAATCCTAGACATCTGGATGCTCACTGGGGCAGTCAGGAGGGAACATGTACCCTCAAAAATAATGAATCATAAGAGTCCAAGAGATCGTCCTTCCATAAATAACATCACATACAGAGAATCCCAGATATACGTGTGTGTGTGTGTGTGTGTGTTTTTCTGTTGTAGACGTAGTTGGCAGCCTTTTTTAATCATTGATTTAAACAACAAATCTGATCAAAAATAGTCTTTTTGACTCATATCTGATGGGAGGTGAAAAGCTTTGATGAAAAGACGTCATCACCGTCCCCTCTCACTTGGGTTGGACCATCAGGTTGGACGAGGACAAGATGAGTCATAGCAATGGCTCTGGTACACATCATTAAACACACACACGTGTTAAAGTAGATTTGTGGCACATTGAGAACAAAGTGTCTACATTTTGGCCGTGGAGTGAATTTGTTTTAGGCTCACTCAGTTTTAGTACAAGTTTCATGAGAGCAAAACTGAAAAAACTGGACTAAATCCAGCAAACACGCAGTATAGAAAACCTTTTTTGTGTTTACAAAAATGAACATTTTCTATTAAAAAATGGGAAAAACCAAACAGATTTAGTTAATGTTGCATGTTTCATGCATTTTTCATTAGTTTGAAATAAAACAATTACATGATGATATCATTCACTGCTGTTTTTGTGGGTAAAGGTTAACAAGATTATTAATAGTAATATGAATGGCCTCAGTTTGGAGAAATGGAGTTTACTGATAAGCTAACGGCTATTGTGAGCAGACTCAATAACAAAGGGTTTTGCAGCTCTAATAAAATAACTTCAAGCTACAAACTTTCTGCAGCATTTTTTCTGTACGTTTTAAACCTTTTAACTGAAGCCTGTGTTTAATTTCCCAGTTATTTACATGAGGCTCTGTAGTTGTCTACTAAAACCATCAGCAGATAAATGTAGCCCTTCTGGTGAGTCTGGCAGCCCCATCCTGCTGAAATAATCATGCATTTTGTTAGCAGGAACTGGTGCAGAAATTCAGGGGATTTGAGACATTTAAAGACTCTGCGCTTGGACTAGCTGTTAGCTCATCAATCCTATAAAACTCGTACGCTAACCAAGACCATTCAGAATGATTTCTGATTATTTCTGTAGTAGGTAATATACCAATTATCAATAACATATCTACAGAATCACACTTAAAAAATACATAAACACATTTTAATGAACAACAACCAAGTCTTTCATTTGAACTTGTTTTTAAAGAGACACTAGGCAGTTTTGGCTTACTTTTAGCACCCTCTAGTGTCCAGTTAATAGAACCAAAAGTGAAACTTAGCTCCTCGCTTTGCATTTGTCTTTTTTAACACCTTAATCTAACAGCTGAAATGATTCCTCAACCTTCATTAGGTTCTACAGGAGTGGTTCATCACTAAATTAAACAAATCAGCTGTGCTCACGATCTAAACATGCAGGAAATGTGCTGGAAGCAGACTGCAGCACAAGGTATGTCAGCTCTACTTTACTAAATCCAACAGGGACCAGCTCTCTGAAGTTGCAAGTGCGATATTCTGGACCCAGAGGGTGGTGGAGGTATGAGTGACATTCCATTAACCCTATAAAGGGTCATTTTAGCCCATAGTGGCTCATGAAAATGTTTCAAAAATAGGAAAAATTTGCATTATATGCCTTTAAAAACAACAGAAACTAACATATTCACACATAGCGATGTTTACACATTGCAAATTCTCTTCTCACAGCAATAATGAGCCACAAAAACGTGGCCCACTCTATTTAAAACCTCTCATTTTACAAAAACGACGGCTGTTCTGAATGTTATTTATTCAGGAGAATTAATGTTTACAGCAATGCCACTAATCCCGCCTTTTAACGGAGAATCAATCAGCCAAATGACCGTGTTTCACCTCTCTCACCGATATGAGGTTCTGCTCCAGCTCTGCTGTCACTGCTGGGCAGAAACATCCACAACCTGCAGTGGCCTGGCGGAGCTCCAGGAAGAGCTTCCCACTGCTGTCCCTGCATGTTAAACAAGCACGCTCCTTGTCCATCCTCTGCAAACTCAGCTGATTTTGTTACATCTTTTCGTTTTTGTCCTCTCAAATCTACTGCTCACAAGAACAGCTACTCTCAGCAGCCACCTCTCCTGAAACCTGCTTTGAATCAGCTCCTCACTAAGATAAAAAAAAACATCTGCCAGACGCCGACATTGCTGTCTGCCACCTGATTGCTGGAAAATCATTGTGAGAAAGGCTCATTTATCTGAATGCAAGCAAGAGGCTTCAGCAGCACGAGGTGTGGTGCAGTGGAGGAAATTTAGCATCTTGATGAGAACTGTGGGAATATAGTTGTCAAAATTTCAAAGAGAGGTGCAAAACAAGGTTTAGGGAGAGTAAGACATGCAGGATGGAGGGTGGAGGCTGATTCTGGTGGATGGGGCAGAATTCCTACACCGGGTAAGCACAGCGGTAGCAGAAACCCAATACGTCCAGGTCATTGTCAATTATTGTTGCTCCATTCAGCAACACTGCATCTATTATATATCAGCTGGTGTGTTTGAGGCTTAGAAGCTGTTACACGATGAACTGGATCTGCAGCTCTTTGTGCCTCCTTCCTGCTGTCCTTACTGGGCCACTGCAGCCCGTTTGGCCTTCAGATGCCATCTCATTCTGGCCAGGACCGTGCATTTAAAAACAGACTTATTTTGTTAAGAGTTTAATGATGCAGAATAGAAATAACAGGAAATTATGAAAGGAAGGAGAAAGCTTGGAGCATTAACTGTATTGGATGAAAGCAGGAATAATCTGAGAACACTGATGGACAATGGAAGAGACAGACGCCACATCCACTGACGCTCTGCTGTCAGCGAGGAGCCACAGGAGTGTAGCTTTGGCATCAACAGGGGGGCGAGTGTAGGAGGGGGAGCTGCATGAGTGGAGAACATAATACCAACAGGTCTCAGTTTTATCCCACTGCTTAAAAGCTCGGGGTTGGAGGACTCTCAGCAATTGTCCACTTGATGAACGTAAACAGCTAAGATGACCATCACTGCTAATTAATATATTTTAAAAAAACTTTGTTTGTTTTAAAGTTGGAAACTAGAAAGCAACTTCAGTTTACTGTTAGAACACTGGAGCTGAATTACTGAGAACATTTGATCTTCTCCATTGTTAAATGTGAGGGGTATCTATAGGAAGAGGGATTCCTGGATAAATTAATCAAACAGTGAGATGACAAGGATTCTGGAGGTTACCACACGGGAACAAAAAGATGCGTCCTAATTAACCAGCCTGCGTGGGCGTAGCGTGGAGGAGACATTTGGTGGCAAACGGAACATTCTGATGTCATTCTGAATCATTTCTTGCTGTAATCAGCTGTTGTCTGTGGAGTCTGAATTGACACCAAATGTGATCTAATGACAGGTAGCTCTTATCAAAACGTGTCACTGTTGGTGGAGTTTATGTTTTAAAGCAGCGTCTTCTGATTCCTGGAGTTTGACCCCCGCTCTGTTACTTGACCACTGATTCTCATTGCATCTTCCCTGCCAAGTATTTTTACTTCATCCTTGACCCTTGCCTTTCTTGATCACGTAATTGGATTTTGGCTTGTGGGTTTTTATTGTGGAGTTTTTCAAACTCTGAGATGCCTAAAAAGAATCCACACACAGAGTGAAGACATGTGTCTGTTCAGTAAACTCCTTTTCTATTGATGCTTACTTCTTTGGTGAGGGTCATCAGTGTAAATCCTTACAACAGAAGTGTGTATGGAGGCAAACCAGAGGCAGATCCACAGTATCTGTGCTGTAGAAAGACCTATTTTGTTTCATTTCTGGCTTTTTTTTTTTCAATTTTGCTTTCCAAACCAGATCTCCTAGAAACAGGGCTCTCCTCTCCTTGCAGGAAACTCCTGAAGGAATTCTGATTAATTATCCACCGAGTTTCCCAGCTGAGATAAATGGCTGCACGGACGCAAGACTCTGAAAGTAAAAAATCTTAATCTTCCAGATTAAGTATTCATGTTCAGTTTAAAACCTTAAACTCAATTCTTGTGCATACAGCGACCACCGCAGCCTAAACACTCACTTTGTAATGATAAAACTACGTATGAGGTTTAAAATCCCTCATATTGTGACAAAAATCTTGAATTTTTTTGTTCAAACACAGAACTGACTACGTTTTACATTTCCAGGCGAATGGATGAAGCAAAGCGGCAACTGTGTCTGTGTGGGCGTCGGCTTTTGTGACCTGTACATGTGACGAACCTTCAGATAAATCAACCCTCCGCCTCTGCCGTCTCCTCCAGTAAACACACGGGCTTGTCCTGATGTGATGAGAAAAAAAAAAGAACCTGACTCATGCAATCAAGGACTACCTCTTACCTCCACGGGTTCTCAACAACAAGCTCAACAAGTCTCGTTACTATGGTGATGGCCGAGGCTACAGCAGCAGCGTTGAGAGCAGGTGGGATGCTGTTCTGTGCTTTTCATGCTTTAGCCAGTCAGTACCATGGCAGTGTCAGAGGGGCGTCTCATCCCCCGGAGGCCACTGAACGCATCTCATTCGATTACAGCTGCTGGACGACTTTGGGCACAAGCTAATGAAGCAAAAAGCACTAATGACTACCTGTGTAGACAATGTTTCCAGTGCCCATTGCTCTATTCTCCCTGTTCTCCACCTTAAATGAGCTCTGCTGTATTTAAAGGAGATGAAGGTCATAAAACCAAGAGTTATTCTGCATCATAGCAACAAATTTGTAGGAATTCCAACAAAAGCAGCATAAGATCACTGCTAAAAATCCCAAATATCCGATTTATTATAAAAAATTCCCCTGCATTAGGATTCAGTAAACTGCCATTGACGACTAAAGTTGCATTTGTTTACTGTGTGGGCGTGGGAACGAGCCCCTGCACCGTGACTACAAACATCTCAGCTCTAAAGCTGATCTCCGTTCACGTACGTCACACGTCACGTGACCAGGAAGCAGAAAATCCGTGTTTTTTTTGCGCCGCTGCTGTAAAAACAGCGAGGCGTGAATCGGAAAAGCTCCTGCTGCTCAAAATTCGACAACAGATTATGAAAGCATGCAGATTCTTCCTGATGTAAGAGGTCAGTCCTACTCTTTGTTTTGATAGTTTTGGCGTTGACGTCATCATATTGCGCAACGTTCTTTGACTCTTCAAAAAACAGTGAAAATGCTGAAAAACGCTGGCAGCAAAGGGCTTTTCTGATCAGGAAACGGCTGGCAGTGAATGAGTTAACTGACAGGCACATTCCCACACATGCAGCAGGTCAGAATGTCCATCCATCGTCAAATACCAGTACATTAAAGGTATTCTACCATAGCCATCTAGCAAGATTAAATTTTCATCCTTTCTTTTATAGACAAAACGGTGAGAGCTTCAGCAGCATCTGTTGGAGAAAACATGCTTATTTAGCTAAGTGAGACTTTTTAAAGGTGCATGACGTAAGAATAAAGTAAGAGTGACATCCTGTGGTCAAATTTGGTTACTGCAGTCCATTTTCTAAACCAACAAGGGACTCCCCACTCATTACATGACTTTCATGGCTGTTGCCAGCTGCGAATTAGCATCAGAAGAATCTTGATGACGAGCGAAGACAAGTCACACTCTTTCTGTCGGGGGGAAAATAATCCATCTTTCTTACCAACACTCCTTGCCAACTTGAAGAATACTTTGCAAAAAAAAAGGGGTCATACACAGTAAGTTGATAAATAGATAAATCGTTGTAATATTGAGTTGTTGATAAATAAAAAAAGGTGGCTTGAGATCTTTTTAGAGCTGACTTTTTGTTGCTTATTCACCATTAGCATGGCTTGCTCGACATTAGCCTCTAGCCTTCTTCACCCGATATCAAAGTAAAACAGAAAGGATGCTGTGGCTTCTAGGTCACTCCTGTTTACTGTCTAACATACTGTCCACAATTCTATAGCTTTTTGCTGTCCAGAACTGAATTACAAATGTTGATTCAGCAGTGACAGCTGGTGCAGACTCGGCAATCCCGTGGACTCGTCGACTGTAAACAAAGACTACGTCCCTCTTTGGCCATTTTGAAAGGAGAAAAACTGACAGCCCCCCCAGCCGGCTGAGAAGGAAATCTGCTTCAATGTAACCATCATTCAAACATGATTAAGACTGTTTTGTGATTAAAAATTCTTACATAATGATCAGTACCTTTAAATTGCTATTTGTATTTTTCTCATGGATGAGCAGGTGTCTCACCAATCAGCTGACCACATTTTGTGTAAAGATGTCGCATGACTGTTGCAGAGATCGACCCTGATGCTGAAGCCTGAGTTACAATATTAACTTTAGCAGAATACAGCCCAAGTAGACCAATTCTTTGTCAGGGTTGGAGGAAAAGAGAAATTAAAACATGATTAAAAAATGTAATGCAAGCATTTGATGAGTTTGCACTTGAGCTATGACTCTAAATAGCTGTTTTGTTCTTCAATATGTAGATTATTATTCTTGACTGTTTAAACCCTGACAATGACTTCATATTTGAGCAAGGAGGTTCAACACCTGCAGAACTCTACAAAAACTGGAGGATCTGCTTCCTGCGTTCTGACAGAAAATGCATTAATATGGAAACTTCCCATAAAGGAAAAACAAGTAGAGCTGACACACAGCAGAGAGGGAGGGGAAAGAAAATTTTGGTACCCTTATTTGAAGGTGCACGCCCAATTAGTTAACATTATGGTAACATCTAGAAAGCCCACATTTATTTAATCAACACAATTCATAAGTTGGCCATTTTTCCAAATCTCAAAAAATAAAAAGATTTTAAATTCTTCATGTCCACAAAGACCAGACTCAGAAGGAGGAAACGTGAGTTAGTCAGTGCTGCGTGTGAGCGCGCTCACATGTTGCGCAGGCTGTTTCTCAACCCACCTACATGCGCGAAACCTCGATTCTACACAGCATCCAAGCATGAAATTGGATGCTTTACCGAGCAAATTCATTTCTCTCCTCTCTCCTCCCACTTAGATCTCGCCTTCAGCGTGCTGTAGAGGCGTAATGGGAAATAATACAATACTAAATGCTTCTAAAATCAACAGAAATTGTTTGGAGATGTCGTGAAACTTTGTCAAATCTATGCAAACACAAATAACAGCTAAAAAATTGATGGGTGAAACGTGTAGATACAAAAGAGGATCTTTTGTATTTTAGCCAACAATGACAGCTTTACTTCCCTCAGGGCAAGAAATGAATCAAGCTTTTCAGTACAATCAGGTTTTCTTTCCTCCAGAGGAGTTTCTGTTTCTCCTGCTATAATTCAAAAACTAATTTGCAGATCTGGCTCGCGCATCAGTCACAACCACGGCCTTTCTGTTAGCCCACTTATGTTGCAAGTGCAAATTCTCTGCCTGCATGTCACGAATAAATCATATTGGTTCACAGATGTGATGCTGGTGACTAACCTTCAGCTTGTGTTCATGCTCCTTGGTGACCTGGGCCAGCAGCTGGGCCTTGCGGCGGTTCAAGGCATCGATGAGGGCATCACATTGAGCCACCAAGCAGGCCTCGAACTCCACGCCATTTTCCTTTGGGATGAACAAACCACACAGAAGCTGTAGTGGCACAACATTTCAGCTCCAGATCATGCAGCTCTAAAATGTGACAAAAACGACCTATAAAGCTGTAAGATGATTATTTATAATTTCCTCCTCATACTCTTCCTCTGCAGCCCTTCCTGTCTTTAGGGTCTGACAATGGGATGATTATTAACAGAGACATTTAATCCCACTTTACTCCTCTAATCGCCCCATTAAGCTGACCACGGCTTTGTCTGCACATAGACATTTAAATCTAGAGTTTCTTGTTTAAGGCTGCACGTGGATGAAGGGTCAAATCAACGTCAGACACTCAGGGAAGACAGTTTCTGCTGTCAGTTTTGATCATTTGAGCGCTCACAGATTTTAAAGTGGTGCAGCAAATCTTACCTGGATGTGCTGCACCATGTTTCTCAGCTGAACCAGGAACTCCTTGGCCTCGGTGGCTCGGTCTGACAGGCCGTTCAGAGCCTGGGACAGCTGACCCTGTGGAGGACGAACACGTCAGATCAGAGATAACGAAACAACAGAGACTAGTGACGAGCCCTTATGCAGAATTCAGGTCTTCTGAAGCGGGTATCTGTGATGAACAGTCAACATCTTTCTTGCTGTAGATAGCTCAATCTTAGATTGGAGAAACAGAAATTAGCTCAGATTAGCTAAAATCCTTCAGATTGATATCTACTGTTGGCAGCTATTCAAAAAAACCTCATTTTAAATGATCTTTTTACTTTTTATTTGTTGGGCAGAATCAGAGATTATCTGAGCAATCTTCCACAATTTTTCCCATTTTTATTCAAAATAGTCTGAAGTAGCGTTTTGGGAATTATAGAATCAACAGGAAATATCCATGGATGCAGAATCCCAGCTCTTTCTATGTGGAAGTTCACCAGATGTGTCGAACTCATTTCATGTAACTATTATTATCTGAAAACCTCTGAATGCTTCAGTAGAATCCAGAAAGTAAAACAAAGCAGCTTTTCTATGCTGCTGCTGGGACACTGACATTTTGACGTGTCAAGGTCTTAGCCTCAAGACAAAACGCTCTGCTCGCCTAATTCTTTCACCAAAAAGAAGCAATATCCAGATGAAACTAGGAGGAAGCCTCCACTCACACATTAAGCACTTATTAGATTATAGCCCCCGAGGAGTTGATCTCGGTGCACGTGACGGGAAATGCCTTTGGTTAGACATGTGAGAAGACTCAGATAGCAAAAAACAAACATGAGTAGTTCACATGTGGGGGGGGGGGGGGGGGGGGGCATGTGAACATGGAGGTGGCGGAGGGACCTGACCTTGTGGGAACTCTGTTCAACTGAGTGAACAACCGTCATGTTGGTGGGTTTATCATCATCTGAGGACTTTAGGCGTTATCACACACAGAGAGAGAAAAAAAAACTCGCCTCTACAGCGGAAGATAGCAATAAAACCAGCCGCTAGCTGATCCTGTGGAAAGCACTGTGAAAACAAACCAACCCGTTCAAGCTGCTCTTCCGTGACAGCCAGGATTCTGGCATCTGACGTTACTCAACCAAATGGGAATCAGTCTGCGGGGACCGACAGCTGACCTTTGACCTGAGAGTTTGGGAAACCGTGACAGCTGCTGCTACAGGAATCCAGCTGAACTGGGACGGTCTGGGATGGCAGCAGCTGAGCAAAGAGCCAAGTGTAAATTTTCCAGGATTTGTCACGTTTGATCCAGGAGGAGGTTAGGATCCAAGATGCAGAAACCCAGAACGACACAAGGCAGGAGCGAAATCAAAGTAAAATCCTTTATTTAGGAAGAGAGTCCAAAATTCTAAATTTCAAAAAGGGCAGGAAGCCAAGCCTAAAGTCAGTAACCTGACTGACAAACACAAAAAGCTCTTTGATGAGCAAAATCTAGAGCTTCACGAGGAGGGACAGAACAACACTGACAACGACAATGGACCGACAAACACTGAGAGACACAGACAGGGTTATATACACAGGGCTGGGTGATTATGAGACGAGGAGCAGGTGCATGGGGAATTGGGCACAGGTGAAACTAATGAACTGAGGGAAGAAGCAGAAATAAGCAGGGGAGAAAACTATATCTTAAACCTGTAAACCAAAGCTACTAAAACAACCCAAACTAAACTTAAAACACTGTAGAACAAAGGCACAGGGGAATCTAAAAATAAGTAAGCAAATGATCTAAGTGGGGAGCGAGAACTGAGGAGAGACTAGGAGAACATGAGGGAAACCTGGAGGGAGCTGGGGACCAAAAGGGCTGGGGACTACAAGGAGCACATGGACCTGAGGGGATACCTGGAGGGAGAACAGGAGGGGGCTGGGGACCAAAGGGACACAGAATCTGAGGGACACCTAGAGGGAACCTGGAGGGGGCTGGGGACCACAGGAACACAGAGCATTACAGGATTGACTTCCTCTGTGTTAACAAGGGACTCAATTTTTAACATAAAAAACCTGTCAGCATAAAAAAAACATGGATATAATTATTATGCCTACGATAGTACATTTTTGCAGGATAGTTTAACAAAACTTCACAAGAACTGACATAAGAATTGCAGCATTGTCTTAAACTTAGTATTTTTTAGAATCTGAGCTAACTTAAAACATCAATGTGAAAATCTAGTTTGGTTCCACATAGCCAGAAGTTGTTGTTTTCCTTGGTTTTGAGCACAGATTCCACAAACAAGATTAAATGAGCTTTAGAGGAGCTGGTGGGCAGATTTCAAGTTTGCTCCATGCAGCACTAAGCTAGCTACCTTCTGGCTCCTTCCATGATGGTTCAATCTACATAAAAAGCAAATTTCCTCAAAAATAAAACTATTGCTTTGACCTGGGGATAAATCTGGTCAAACTAGGGTTAAAAAAGCACCCCAATGCATTTGTGGCTATATCTGGTGATTTTAATCATGCCTCGCTCTCTGCTACACTTCCAACATTTCAAGTTTGTCAGCTGCTCCACCAGAGAAAACAAGACATTGGATTTGCGTTATGCAAATGTAAAGAATGCATACATGTCCAAAACAAGACCTCCTCTGGGACAATCAGATCACAATCTTGTTTTTCTCTGCTCAGAATATAAACCACTTGTTCAGAGGCAACCTGTGACAAAAAGAACTGTGAGAAAATGGTCACAGGACGCTGAAAAAGCCCTGCAGAGTTGTTTTGAGACCACAGATTGGATGACTCTCTGCCAAGGATATGAAGAGGACATCAATGTTATGACTGGATGTGTCACTGACTATATAAACTTCTGTGTGGACAACCTCATACCCACCAGAACAGTGAGATGCTTCGCTAGTAACAAACCCTGGATCACCAGTGAACGGAAGATTCTGCTAAATTAGAAAAAAAGAGCCTTCAAGGAGGGAGACAGGGAATTATTGAGGAGTATACAGAAGCAACTGAAGATCAAGATCAGAGACAGCAAAGAGGCATACAGGAAGAAGCTGGAGAACAAACTACAGAGGAACAATATCAGAGATGTCTGGTCAGGGATGAAGATCACAGGCTTCAAGCAGAGGAAGGATTGCACAGATGGCAGCCTGGACACAGCCAATGAACTGAACAAGTTCTTCAATAGGTTCAGTTCAGGAACAAATCCAGCATCCTCCTCACCTGTCCCCAGCCAATCAGACATCCCATCCTCCTCTGATCCAACATTTTCCTGTCACACGCCAGCTCTTTTGTCCTCTGACACAGTCATCGACTCTTCTGGTTCTATAAATCTGTCTTCAACCAAGTCAGGAGATGCTGCTGCCCCATTTACCTCCCACCTATCTGTCTCTAGAAGTCAGGTGAAGAGGCAGGTGGAGAAACTGAACAGGAACAAGGCTGCAGGTCCAGATGGTGTCAGCCCCAGGGTACTGAAGGCCTGTGCAGAGCAGCTCTGTGGGATTCTGCAGCACCTCTTCAACCTCAGTCTGGCCCAGGAGAAGGTTCCAGTCCTGTGGAAGACATCCTGCCTTGTTCCAGTTCCAAAGAAAACTCGCCCATCAGTCAGTGATGACTGCAGACCGGTTGCCCTGACATCCCACATCATGAAGGTCCTGGAGAGACTCCTTTGGTCCACCTGAATAAGCAAACTAGGACATATCAGGACCCGCTGCAGTTTGCTTATCGCCATGGAGTTGGAGTTGAAGATGCCATCATCCAGCTGCTTCAACCAACCCACTGTCATTTGGACAAAGCAGGCAGCACTGTGAGGGTCATGTTCTTTGATTTCTCCAGTGCATTTAACACAATCCAGCCTGATGTACTTTGCCAGAAACTCCAGAAGACCCAGGTGGGGGCCTCAACTATCGCCTGGATTAAAGACTACCTGACAAACAGACCACAGTTTGTGAGGCTGAAGAACTGCACATCAAACCAGGCGATCAGTAACACTGGAGCACCACAGGGGACTGTACTCTCACCATTCCTTTTCACCCTGTACACCTCAGACTTCCAGTACAAATCAGAGACCTGTCATCTACAGAAATACTCAGATGACTCTGCAGTTGTCGGGTGTATCAGAGATGGACAGGAAGCTGAGTACAGAGATCTGGTGGAGCGCTTTGTGGCATGGTGTGGAAACAATCATCTGACCTTGAACGTGAACAAAACAAAGGAGATGATTTTAGACTTCAGAAGAAACAGGGTGGAGTCAAACACTTTCAATCACGGGAGAAGAAGTGGAGGTGGTTGAGGAATACAAATACCTTGGAGTCCACCTGGACAACAGACTGGACTGGAGAAAGAACAGCGAAGCCGTTTACAAGAAGGGACACAGCAGACTGCACTTCTTGAGGACGCTTAGGTCCTTCAATGTCTGTAGCAAGATGCTGCAGATCTTCTACAAGTCTGTTGTTGAGAGGGTAATCTCTTCAGCCATGGTCTGTTGGGGTAGCAGCATCAGAAGCAGGGACCTGAAAAGGCTCAACAGCCTAATAAAAAAGGCTGGTTCTGTTCTGGGGACGACTGTGGAACCACTGGAGGAGATAATGCTTCTCCAGAGAATCAAGAAAATGATGGACAACCCTGAGCATTCTCTTCACAAGCCTGTCCGACAACGGAAGGGTGTCTTCAGTCAGAGGCTTCTTCAGTTTCACTGCAACACTGACCGCTACTGGAGATCCTTGCTGCCAACAGCCATTGTAATATACAATAACTCTTTGATGACTTGATTATTGTTATTTTTCTGAGCTACTACAGCAATCAATTTCCCTCTGGGATTAATAAAGTATTTTTGAACTGAATTGAAAATGTAAATCCTCAAACATAAAAAACCAGCAGAACACGTTTCCTGCAGACTCCATCTTTTTAAGATCCTGTCAGTCACTCTCAACCCATTCAACATATTCATTCACACTCTGTTGGTTTTATCACACATCTACCGGTCAGTCACCTGCCCTTTTATCTGACCTCAATTTAAGTTGTCTCTCTTTCTCAGTTCTCCCGTTTTTCCCTCCAGTGACGGGCTTTCAGGGCTCTGCGGCCTCGCCCTGTTAGCAGTC